TTGTGAAACGTCTGTTGATTTACGACATTGTACTAAAGATAAATCATCACATATTTGAAGTAATGTTTAGGAATATTTTCAAATAAATCATTAACCATAATTGAGAACAGAATTGGGCCAAGGCGTGTCCCTGTACGCAGCGGGGGCTAGGGTACGTCGCCGCCCCCACAAATACAAAAAACATAGAAAATGCAATAAATTATCAATAATTCATTGCATTTTGCCCCGAACCCTAAGATTTAAATCCTCTATGTGGGCATGCCTTTACCTATAATGCATTGCCCTACAGAGGATTTTTTTTAATGTTGGAGACCGGGGGAAAATGTACTAAATTATTGATAATTTATTGCATTTTCTTTGTTTTTTGTACTTGTGGGGGCGGCGACGTACCGGCGTACTATATTTATACAGTCTGCACACAATTTATAGTCCCGCTTCTTGTGTTTACAGTCTTTTCCCCAGGACAACCTCCTATAAATCCAAGGCTTATCATAAATTTATTCTGGAAAAAGTCACAGATTTTAAATGATAGACTGGCAAAAGGTATAGGCTACACCAAATCTCACGAATTGAGTTTGTAAATTCGACTTTTCTTCAGCTTCAAAGGGGGGCATATCCCCCCTTAGACTCCCCCTATCCGCTAAGTTTCTCACGAATTGGGCCACCCTCCTCACTGCCAGCTGGATCTGCCCCTGTAAGGTGCATACGGTTGTCTCGACAGCACATACAAAATCAGAAGTTTTCTAACCTCTAAAATGTTGCCAGTAGACTTTCGTGGACAAAGATAGCATCCCAGTCCATTCTGAATGCCTCAATGACAAGGTATAATGCCTAGGTCACATATGAACCGGGCCCCGTACGATTTTCCCTACCCGGCGGCTCGCCGTGGATTTACAGACCGTACGGGAACCGTCCGATTTTCATTTCTACGGCATGTGTGGTCACATATTCTGCGGCACCCGGGAGGTGCCCGGAGAAAATTGGTCGAGTGAAATGCAAGGCGCCCGTAAGGGTGCCGGCCGAGTGCCGACCGGTATCCTTACGGGCTCCGTCCGATGAGTAGGTGTACCGATGGCTCCCGGAAGGTGCCCTGCCGGGGCCCGGCCGGGGTCCTCAGGGCGCCCGGCCGGGTGCCGTGCGGTGCACTGAACTAAAGAGTGAATCAGCAAAAATGTCCCACTTTTTAAGTATGAATATTTAATCATGGGTTTCATGATATATCTTGATAGAGTATCCTCCCAATACATTTAGGTACCATTTTCATTTGAATCTCTGCACGCATCACTGAATATCAAACAATCTTTACAAGACTGCCAGATCTCACTTGCGCCAAGTTACTGGGTGAGGAATAAAACAGTGCATTAAACAAAGACAGTCAGACACGCGCAAACTCACACACACGCACACGCCCACACACACACACACACACACACGCGCGCGCGCGCGCGCATTCCATTCCCGACAAGACCAACCCAAACTGTTACTTTTTGTCTGGAATTCTTCTTATCGTACGAAAAGTTGAGTGGCCACTGTCCTCTTGGTTCGTACATATGGAAAACTTTTAGCCCTAAACGCGCATAAAAGAATACAGCACTAAACAACCGCTTTAACGAAGAGAGCGCGCTCAAGTGCACTCTTGCGTGAAAGTACACTGATCGGACTAGTTCAATGCGACAAAGCAGGGGTGCGAGCGCTTGCTCTCGTTGACTACTTACTAACACTAACAAACTAGAATTAGAAATGAAACTCACCTATAGTTAAATAAATGCAAAATTACGGTAGACTACACCAGCAGAGGCTTGCCATTACACCGTAGACGAAATCGAACTCATTCCCTTTGCCAATGATTATACTGACTTCCCTCTAGTTGGAGTGCAATGACCCATTCGGGTGCCCATGTATAGACATGATGCGCGTAATGCGGTCTCCGATCCGAGATTTTGAGCGCAACGCACACACTCTGTACGCACTGCGTTAAATACACACACTGACCTCTACAGCGATTGCACGGAAGCTATAACTGTGCATTGTTTGTACGGTACGGGCGCACTCGTTGTGAGTAGCTATAGCGCTACACTATCCCAGTCACCTTGGTTTACTATGAAAAGCTACCTTTTATTTGTTGGAAAATTGCCACCGTTTCCCCTCCACAAATGAAAACAATCGTTATACCAACGTAAAGGTGGGATGTCAAGGTTTCTGAATCCGTCCGAAGATTTTTTATACGTCACTCGTGTAAGATTTGCCGACTGGTTGACTGAGCGAAACCCGACAAAAAAGGGGAAAAACAGTGCAATCTCCATAGGCAGGCTGAAAAAGTCAAAACTTTTAGGGGAAAAGTGCAACCGTTTCCCCTGAAAGAATAATCCCAAATTTAGTATCATTTTTAAGACGACATTTCAAATTATAAGAAACCGTCCGAAGATTTTTTTTTAAAAATTCCATTTTCCCGTAATACCAGCAATTATATCAAAACATGGCTTTTTTGGTGTACGTTCCCCGTGCTTAACAGGATAAGCGACGAGGCGCAGAGCAGATGCGCGTAAGTTTTCCATATGTGGCGTATTGTTGTGCTTCATGATAATGATGATGATGATGAAGATTAAGATGATGACAATGATGATGATGATGACAAGATGGTGGTAGTGAATGCGTACAAAAGGGAAAGATTTTTAAGGTTATGCCACTTAAACATTCAGCGATCTTGATAAAAATCAATGCTCAATGAGCTAGGGGTAATTATTTGTGTGTTGTGTGTGTTGTGTTGCGTGTGTGTGTATGTGTGCGTTTTTTGTGTTTTTGTGTGTCTTGCTAATTGGATAATTGAAAAAAAACTGGCTGTCTTTGTTCAAAACATTATTTTATTCCTCACCTAGCAACTTGGCGCAAGTGAGATCTGGGGGGTGTTTCATAAATAGTTCGTAAAGTTACGCATGACTTTACGAACGACTTGTATATGAAAAGCCAAATGGGATGCTCAATTATTATTGATTATTATTTATAAAGTTGAACTGTGCAGAGGTTATTGGAAATATCAGAAAAAACTTTGGGCATCCTATCTGGCACTTCATATACAAGTCGTTCGTAAAGTCATGCGTAACTTTACGAACAGCTTTATGAAACACCCCCCTGGCAGTCTTGTAAAGATTGTCTGATGTTCAGTCATGCATGCAGAGATTCAAATGAAAATGGTACCTAAATGTACTGGGAGGATAAGACAAATCATGATTAAATATTCATACTTCAAACAATACAACTTTTAAAAAGTGGGACATTTTTTCTGACTCACTCTGTATGTGTCCTTTGGTATCCGCACCTCCTGTATTTAAAACTGCGTTGTACATTTCAAGATGCCGCCGTGAGGGCCCCGCACGGGCAATGTTCATTTTAAATGGCCCCCAGATGGCAGACGCCTGTTGTTGTGCATATCACCCGGGGCTCTTGAGGGGCCATGAGGGCGCCGTAGGGTACACGTACGGAACCCTTGAGCACCGCAAATCGCCCGTAAAGATTTTTCATGAGAATTGACCCCCAAAATCGTGAGGGGCTGTCCGGGCACCGTCCGGAGCCCGCATGGGACCTGTAAGATGCCCTACGGGCCCTTTACGGGCTTTTATACGGCCTAACGGTCAGATAAAAACGCCGGGAGAATTAGGAGCAGCCAACTCAGCAGCACGGCACCCGTACGGCTCAAAAAACTGTCCCGGCGTCCGTAGGAACTTTACGGCAACCGTCCGGACACCGGCCGAAAATTCCCAAAATGTCTGTTTTTACTCGCCGTACGGGCCCCGGAGTGTATAAGCCCATTAACAAAGAATACGAAATAAGCCAAGATCGTGTCATCAGAACGACGAGAAAATCATAATTTCCTCTTGCAAATGAGTCTTTTTTTAGCCGAAATGGACATATTCACTTTTCCTACGCACTAATTGCACAAAATATTGGAAATAAGTTATCGGACTGAAATAACAGTTCGTAAAGGCCTTTCACCCACATTGAATGGTGCAGCCCGAACTTTTGGTACAAGGAGATGTTGACAATACTTTTTGAAAAGGCTGTTGCCCAATCATCCATAGCAGCAGCTTTATGAGGAATGCGAATCATAATTCAATGTCATACAGGTTCTCTCTTTTGATCAGGCTGGTGTGATTTAAGGCTACTCAAGTGCCTTCCACACACACACACACACTCGTATATACGTACACATATCGACATGCATGCACACCAATGTTATTTCAAACCCACAATCACGCTTCCCACACACATTTATTTTCTAATTCCATACATTTTCACCCTCTATATCTCTACCGGTTTCAAAATAGCATGTACAGTCCAGTTCATGCACAATGTACCAGCTATATTTCTCTCCCCTCTCTCCATTTCTCATTCACACCCAAACATAAGACCCCCCCCCCCCCCCCCCCCCCCCACACACACACACATTCTCTTTAAACCCAAATCCATATCATTAGGGACTTTTAGATTTGAGCGGACTGATACGTGTGACGTCCATTCAAGGCAGTGCATTAAAAGGACGTCGATCGTAGCATAGACCTATTGTCTTGGTGCGAATCTAAAATTCCCTATTCTCTCTCCCCTCATTCACTTTGAAACCAAACCCACATTATCTACACGCACAATACCCCTCCCCCTCCTCCTAGTTTAATCCCTAGCCCACACCTAGTCTGCAGGCACAGACCCTAATTTGACACTTAATCAAAACATCATTGTGCCTTGAGAGAAGTCTAGCCCAGCTACCTACTGGTTGTGTCAGGAGCAGCTACAGTACATGGCCTATGGTAGTCTTATAGTGCAGACTCACTTTTACGACTGACCAGGGTTTGTGCTTGCAGACTAGCCCACACCCACCATCAGATCAATTTAAGAGTCATAAGAGTGAATTTGTCAGGGGACGGGTTTCCCGTTTGCAATGGAAGCGTTATGCCAATTGTCTATGCGACGCGGGGGGTTCAAATTATCAATAGTAATATACCAGAATTCTTACATTCATATCGTGTTTGATGTGCACGCCTACACACGACCCAGGAAAGAGTCAAGTTCAGAAGGGCATGGCGCATTATATGCGGGATAGATCACGTTGACTTGAGAGTTACAATTTTGTATTTTACAGTAAATTGGCTGGTTTTCGGCATCAATATATCAGTTATACATGTACCATTGCCAATGATACATGCATACATTTGACATTGGCGTTGACGATGAGTGTTTCGTCTCTGTGTATTACAGCAAGTGGGAGAATGATAAGCAGAATTGGCTTCCCTTCTGAGTTTGATTTGGTATAACGGTTTACACCTACGTCAGAATATAAGGTAAGCGTATCAAATAGTATTCCTATTATACCAACAAGCTTTAATACCCTACGTCCTGGGGGATGTTTAAAAGTAAGGCTTCTCGATCTCATATATGTTTGATTTTTCAATTTTGGATTGTTCTAAAGATTTGATGTAAAAGGAAAGTTTCTTTTTCTTTTGCTTTATCGAGTTTTAATGCTTGGGCCACTTTGTTTACGTCAGTTGGTTTCTTTGTTGATTTTGTTCGGGAAGGGGAGGGATATTTGAATATGGATCCGTTCATTTCCGAGTTTTAAATTGAAACTCGTATAGATTTACTTTAAGGGCTAAAGTGCTGACTCGAGCTTGCTGGCCTACTATTTAAATAATATGTCTACCAGATACAATTATTAAGGTATTTAATTTTTATGTGCTATGTTTGTCATTTTAATATCATATATGTCTGTAATACTTACATTTTAATGTATATATATGTTAATTTACTTTCTGCCAAATGAATAAGGGTCGAAGAACAATGACCCCCCCCCCCCCCCCGCTTATTCAGCAGCTGGCTGAGTTGTTGCGATTTTTTTTGGGCCCCCCCCCCCCAAAAAAAAAGAAGTGTCCTCTTACCCCCCCCCCCCCGCTTATTCAGCGGCTGGCTGAATCGTTGCGATTTTGGGACCCACCCCCCCCCCCCCCCCATTAGAAAGTGTCCTTTTACCCCATCCCCAGCCCCCCCCCCCCCCCCCCACGCTTATTCAGCGCCTGGCTGAGTCGTTGCGAAATTTTCAGCCCGATTTAAAAATGTTAACCCTCCCCCCCCCCCCACCCTTGAAAAAATACTACTTCTACTACAACATCTACGTCAGCTACTACTACTACTGCTACTACTACTACAACTACTTTCCTATTACTACTACTTCTGCTGCTACTAATATTGCTACTTATACTACTGCTTCTACTAATAGTACTACAACTAATAACTAGCTACTATTACTACTACTGCTGTTGCTTTTACTACTACTATGACTACAACAACTACTACTACTACTACGACTACGTACTATTCAGACGCGTACGCAGGGGGGGGGTTGACCCCCCTCAATTTTTTTTTCGGGGCAAAACAAAAATGTGCTCTTACATCTCCGCCCCCCCCCCACCCTTATTCACCGGCTGAGTCGCTGCGGAATTTTTCCTAAAAAACGACCAAAAACTATATAACAAATATGTGCTCTTACATCTCCGTCCCCCCCCCCCCCCCACCATTCCCGCTTATTCACCGGCTGAGTCGCTGCAAGATTTTTCCTAAAAAAACGACCAAAAAATATATAAGAAATATGTGCTCTTACCCCAGCTACTACTAGTACAACTAAATATATTACTACTTCTACTCATACTACTTTTTCTACTTCTACTACTTATGTTGACTACTGCTACTACGATAAATATACTGCTAATAATAAGAATAAATTTACTTCTGCTACTTCTAACCAATATTTCTACATTTACTACTTCTAATATTACTGCTAATACTACTACTACTACTGCAACTGTTACACAAACTACTACATGTATTACGACTACGTACTTCTCATAAATGTGTTACTGTAAAAGTGTGGACATTACCAATGCTATGTTTCATTACTTAGCATTCTGACCTCTTATCTCATGATATCGGAGATCTCTCTGCTCACTTGTCCATTTCACCATTTTACATGCATGAGGTGGTCAAGGGGCATACGGTGTTTGAACTGTTTCGAAGGTACCGAGTGTGAGTAATTTTACTAATGCCCGAACAAAATGATGTGTATTATTTGTTTAATAAGATTTTGATTTATTTGTTTTTAAAAATGATGTTTTAAAAATGACCGGTGATTCGTAAAATTAGGTATTAGGCAAAATAAATGCCCGGATCTGCTTCATCATCTTATAAATCTTTATCACCCTTCTCTCTTCCTTCCCCTATCACCCTTCTCCCCCCCCCCCCATCCCCCTCTCCCCCTCCCCCCGCCCTCCCTTAATCTCTCTCAATCTCTTTTCTCCCCTCTCTCTCTCTCTCTCTCCTCCCTCCCTCTCTTTCTCTCTCTCTCTCTCTCCCCTCCCTCCCTCTCTCTTTACCTTTTTTTAAATTTTATTCTATACTTGCTGAGTGAAGGGGACTTGCTACTCCACCCTTTCCTCTTTAGATGCGCCCTTTGAACGTTTTCTTCATGTCTTGTTTACGTCAATGATAAGCTTTTTTAAGTATACGTCTTTTAACGGGATACGCGTTTGCTGACTGAAATTCATGCTCCACCCTATTACACAGTAAATGACAACCTATCACAGGAGAAAAATGAAATGGTGTAAAAGCTAACATCAATCTTCAAAGTATTCGACCAGCAAGAAATATGATAATCCCTTCGTAAAGGTCCGGCTAACAGGCTTGTTGGACATTGAGTGGCCATGACACTGTTTCATCGTAGGAAATTCAGTATGCATCAATACTTATTTTTCGTTATCTCACTGTTTATATTTCGCGTAGCAATAATAACTTGTACCATGTTTATACGAGTGGATAAGAAGAATAAGGGAAGCATGCATCATTTTGGACATGGATTTTCGGTAATGGTCATTGTTTGGATGTTTACAAGAACAACCTTCTGCCAAGAAACAAGTATGTCACAATAAATCTTTCTGTTTTTCTTTCATTTGTATCAATTTTATTTTAAAACATTATCGACACTGTTTGCTCATCATAGATCACTTATTGAACAGCGATGCCAAGTTTTTATTATTTTGTTAATACCCTCACATTCGAAATATGGGTCATAACATTCGACCTACAGCCCAAAAGACCTTGGAAACAAAGGCATACATCAAGGAAGATATTTTGAAAACATCTGACTCGTTTGCTGTCGGTCTTGGGGGCCGTCCGTCTACTGAAGCCTAAAAGTGTTAAGTGTAGTTATTATATCGTTTATCGCAGAACGTTATTATTTCTCTTTCTTTATCCCAGAGATGTTATGCAAGTGAAGGTACTAATTTTTAAAAAAAAGACAGGATTGAGGTTCTAAGTGATATAAGCAGTGGGAGAGTCTTTGACAAGAACTGTGATTGCTATCCACCTTTGCCATTTCACGTCGATAATGCTCTTTAGTCTTTGGTCAGTGAATTATTAATCTATCTATCTATCGTGATATTTTTTTTCGCAAAGATGTCAGGCTCGTGAATGGACTAAGTCTAAAAGAAGGCAGAGTTGAGGTTCAAAGTGATGGAACTTGGGGGACAGTCTGTGATGAGAACTGGGACTACAACGATGCCCTCGTGGTCTGCCGAAGCTTGGGCTTCACCGGCGCTCTTGGTACCACCTCCCTCTCAGAATTTGGACCTAGTGACGGAACGATGCACTCGTATGATTTCCGGTGCAATGGGACAGAATCTAACATCATGGAGTGTTTGAGGAACATTTCAGAATCCAACACACAGTGTGGCTCCAGCTTTCGTGAGGCTGGCGTAAGATGCTCAGGTATGATGATAATAATAGTAATAATAAGCATAATAATTATAATTAGGATTACGATTAATAATAATAATAATAATGAACATTTGTATAGCGCCTTTTCTACAAGTAGATACAAAGCGCTTAAATTACGATAATAATAAAAGAGTAATGATGATGATGATGATGATAATGATGAAAAAGATTTTGTTTACCAGGGAAGCTCCATCAGCATCAGTTCTGTTCCTCCTGTCATTAAAGCCTCGATTTATTTTTACCCCAGCAATTGCCAATTATTGATCTATCTCTGTGTCTCTCGAGATAGATAAGTACAGTTCTGAGAAAATATAAACTTTATCTATCAAGAAAGAATCATATTTTCAAAATCATTTCATGAAAAGAGTTGAAGAGAAATTATTCCAACCTCAAGGGCAACATTGCACTAATAAAAGGAGGAGGAGTAGTAGCAGTAGCAGTATGAATAGTAGTAGCAGTAGTAGCAGTAGTAGTAGTAGTAGTAGTAGTAGTAGTAGTATTAACAGTTTTAACAGTAGTTGTCGTAGTAGTAGTGGGAGTAGTAAGCCTATAATACTATAGTTATTATTATTATTATTATTATTATTATTATTATTATTATTATTATTATTATTATTATTATTATATTCTTTGAAATTACAGTTTTTTCATTCTATAGACGTTTCTTAAAATCTTTTAAATCGCTCTTCTTTTCCCAGATTGTAAGAATTTCTATCCATACTGTACATGGCGGGCTGGTGCTGGAGCCTGTGGATCATCCTCTGGAGAAGTAATTCCTGTTTGCCAGGCCAGCTGCCACCAGTGTAAAATAATCTCCATGAATGGTAGGTGGATTATAGCTGAAATTATATTGGGACGACTGAATAGTGGTAAAATAAACGATGTAACTCTGATAGTAGGGACTTTTAGATTCGCACGAAGACAATAAGTCTATGCTACGATCGACGTCCGTGTAATGCACTACCTTGAATGGACGTCACACGTATCAGTCCACGTAAATCTAAAAGTACCTAGTAGTAATGTGTTGTGGCCGAGTAGATACGTAAGCGGACTGTAGACCACATTTGAGTCCCGGCGCGGCACTAATGTCCATTGGGAAGACATAACATAATTGCCTCACTCCACCCAGGCGATGTAAACGGGCATTTGGCAGGATTCCTTAAAATGCTCGAGCGCTGTAATGGCAGCCGTACTATAAGGCCGGGGTAATTTATTTATTTATTTATTTATTGTGGTATAAAAAACATTGTACATGGCAGCCTTTCGGCTGAATTGAGTGCAATTTACATAAGTAATAACACAAGGATACTGCACAAAATACAATAGTATTACAAAGTCATTAAAAATAGTACATTCATAACAAACAATTATAGGTACACCTTAGATCAAAGAATATTGATGGTGGGATAACGGAAGTGGGTAATGGATGTGGAAAAATAAGTGTTTTATGATATGACTTGAGAAAATTCATAGAAAGAATATAATAGTTGAATAAATTATGATCAGTACAAAGAAAATTATCTGTTTTGCATGCTTCAAAGTAGGCCTATAATGTCATGTGAGCAAGGTACATGTATATGGAGAACAAAATGGACATATAATTCACCTAAGACGAATGGAGAAATTATAGTTTCACTTCCTATTATTGGCTAATAGAGAATATGGTTGGTAATGCAATATTGAAATTAATATAATCCGTATAAACAAAATTCAAGCACATCTATAAGATAACAATTTGATTTACGTAAATGCTTAGCATTAAGAAAAAGAGATCTGTCTTTACATTATTCCAGTTTTGAATTGAGTAACCTCACAATGAAGGGGAGTGCGCTCTTTCTGTAGCGCTCATTTTTGCATTTTATTTCCGAATAGTCTTTAGCGTTGCGCAGGTTGCGGGAAGTGCGGGAAGCCCGCGTAGGGGGGAGCCAGTGATAGAAGGGGGACGTTTCCTTTGTGAGGTTACTTGCAAATTTCTTTGTTAACCTTTCCCTCCTCTCCTCCAGTGTGGGAAGGTCAAGAACATTGAGGGCATCATCATAACTCGTGTATCTTTGGCCAAGCATGAGGCGACACGCTCGTTTCTGAATTCTCTCTATCAGTTTCTTGTCTGCCCGAGTCAGACCTGAATGCCCAACAGGTGCGCAGTATTCGACTTTCGGGCGCACGTACGAACAATACACAACTTTCAGATCTTCAACAGGTAGCCGAAAACCTTTCAAGATACGCATCATGTGTAGCCTCATGCTTGTGCCGCCTTGACCATTTCTGTGACATGATATGACCATTTTAAGCCCTTCTGTACAAACACACCCAAAAGTTTTACTAGTTGTACTTCACTTATTTCCAGGTCACCAATTTTTACCTTTGGGACGATTGCCTGGTTTCTCATGAACTGAATGTTTATGGCGACACATTTGTTAGGGTTCAGTTTCATGCTATTGTCTTTGGTCCATTTCTTAAGTTCATTTACCACTTCTTGGATTTTGGGTTCATCCGCTGCCTTCCTACATTCAAGCAGGGAGAGGTCGTCGACGTATTTCAAACACTGAACATCACTGTCCTTGAACACGTCGTAGATGATGCAGAGAAAGATAAGCGGCCCAAGTCGAGTGCCCTGTGGGGCACCTGCTGAGATCTCCATCCAGTCAGAGAGCTGTGACATGTAGCGCACACATTGTTCTCGATTGGAAAGGAAGCTGGAAATCCATGCCACCAAAGACGGGGATGCCCTCATTTCGAGTAGTTTCCTAACCGCTAGTCCATGATCTATCCTGTCGAAAGCTTTGCTGAAATCTGTAGCCACCAGTGTTGTGACCGTTTTCGGATTTTCGGCATTCCGATGGATGGTATTTAGTATATCTTTCAGATAATGTGCAGTCGAGTAGCCTTTCCTATTGCCGTACTGTGACTTGTCAATCGCAGATCCAATGTCACCCACCAGCCACTTTGAGATGAATTTCTCCAGGATCTTTGCGAAATGATATGTGAGCGATATCGGTCTCAAGTCTCCTATGGTGGGTTTGGAGGTCTTGGGGATAGGTACCACAACTGCACGTTTCCAGCGGTGTGGCACCACCGATTCTCTGATAGATTCATTGAAAATGGGCGTAAGAGGGCTACTCAGTTCTAAAGCAAATTCGGAAATGATCCGAGCTGGAATGCTATCTGGACCGGGAGCTTTTCGTCTGCTAAGATGTTGCAATTCCCAGTAGACATCCCAAGGTTTAATAACAGGCAGCGGCAGAGCAGGGAGATAGGTTGGGAGATCATTCAGATCGAGTCTACCGATGTCTTCAGCTATGCTGACGAAGAACCTGTTGATCGTGTTAGCAATACCAGCGAGGTCTGACTCGTCGATCCCTTCGACCTCAATGGCAGGTGGTCTGGGCTTATTTCCTGCCATTGATTTGATGTTCTTGTGCCACTGAGATGGATTACTCTCCTTCATCTTACGCACGCGTCCGACATAGAACTCAGATTTTGCTCCTTTGATTAGTTTGTTTACTTTGTTCCTCAGTCCTTTCCATTTGTTCGAACCTTCAGTGAAAGCCTGCTGACGTGCACCAATAAGGGCTTTGATCTAAAGGGGAAATCCATGGTTTGTCATTGTCGTGGCATTTGACAACAACTAAGGGGAAATACTCGTCAATCAATGTCAGAAGTGTGAAATAGAACTTATCGCACTTGTCGTTCGTGTTCTCGGCTTGATAAACTGGAGACCAATCATAGTTCTGGAGAATCTGTCCAAATTCCCGAATAGCACTGTCTTTGATTGGTCTTGCAATCCGAGTTCTTGTGCGATTGGGCTTCGGTGAGTATTGGGTAGGGATCCAGGAAACCGCAAGGTGGTCGCTGGAGCCCAATGGGGGTAGAGTGGTTGGGGAATTATAGTAGACTGACATATTGGTGACTATCTTGTCCAGAATCTGGTCACCTCTTGTTGGTACACTGACAACTTGTCGGAACCCCCTGTTTGCGGTTAGCGTCGAGATGTCTAACTCATTGTAGTCCCCCAACAAGATGAAACCCGTCTCTGGATGTGTAGATGCAATGGCGTCCATCGATTGTAGCAAATGGTCGATCAGGGTGTCAGCAGTCGCGGCATTAGGAGGATGATATATTGCCGCAACCACCACCATTTAAACAGAGCGGGGAAGTCTTTGTGGCTGGAGCTTGATCCACACCACCTCAAGGTCATCAGGGACGGCGACACTTGACATTGGCTCAGGTTTCAGGAACTGTCGTGCATATATAGCTACTCCGCCTCCTCTGCGATGAGACCTCGACTTCGCAAACGAGTCATAATCATTTATGGAGACATTGTCTTTTGATAAATTACCCGCAAACCAAGTTTCGGTTACTACGGCAACATCTTTATAGACGATACATAGGCCTCAAACTCATCAAATTTATTGTTCAAAGATCTTGCATTGCTCATGATAAACGTTGGGAATGATACTTTCGAACGATCTCTGTTCTGATGATGTTTGAAGGTTTGCATGGTGGTATGAATAATCACGGTAGAGGTTTACGGTACACCATGTGTTCTGTTTGGTTCTTCTTATTTCCACCAAATTTGTAATAATAATAAAGCACCAGGAATGACAATGTGCCAGATATTATACTATTACTACTACCACCACTACTACTCATGTTGCTGCTGCTTCTACTACCACCAGGGGCGTACGCAGGATCTTTTCAAGGGGGGGGGGGGTTTAGACAAAACAAAGGGGGGTTTTAGGGGGGTTTCTTAAAAATACACACATAAAAAATGCCAAAGGGGGGTTTAACCCCCAAAACACCCCCCCCCCCCTGCGTACGCGCCTGACTACCACTGTTACTACTACGTTTACTACCACTAACACTGTTACTACTGCAACCGCTATTACTTCTTCTACTTCTACTATTTCTATTTTTTCAATATATAATAATAAGAAGAAGACAATTAAAGTGGAAGAAGGTGGAGTAGATTTTTCGTAATACATGTAGGCAAGTTTCGCTAAAATCGTTAGACTGTAAATCGCAGATGTCAAATTTTACAATGAATTGTACTTTCTCATCGGACATATTAATAACTCGGTGTGATCAAGAAATTCCCTTATTTAATATCTATATTTGTACAGATTCAGCCTTATTTCTGCCGCAGAATGAAACGTGTGTAGCTGGACATTGCTATCTCGATTCAGACAATGGTAAGAAGTATATTGATTAATGGGCCTACTAAACACAACAAGTTAAAAATTAAATCTTAGATCGAGGCTCTATTCAAATTCATCTTTTATGTTCAATTTTAGAGACATATATTACCAATCACGTTTGTAAATAAGATATCTTCTTTTTTGTATATGACGGGCGTTAACTCTGTGGAAAATGGAACGCCCTTCTGGTTACAAACAGTCTATATTTACTTCGCTCTTGTACGAAATCTAATCATATGAAATTATTCATTTTAAATTTGATCTCGCTTTCTAATTGACTTGTTAGCGTAATTCATATAAGATGTAGAAAAGGGGAAAAAGTGACTTGTTAGCGTAATTCATATAAGATCTAGATGTATAAGATGTAGAAAAGGGAAAAAAGAAAAGTGAGAGTTGGGTGTGCCATTGCCTACCTCATTTTAAGATTTATGTTTATGGGTCTGTTCAGACTAAAAGATATTCATACGAATCTCTTCTAAAGAAACGTCGTATAAGAAAAGCCAAAGGAGGTACATACTACACTGTCGCTCATAAAGGTTGAATATTTTAGTTTTACCCCAATTTATGGAATTATTTTAAAAATTATTTAAAAATAATAGATATAGATAATAGTATACATTCTCAGATTTTATTGAATAATAACTTTCCAATGTGTGTTTTGCGGAACTGTTTATTATAAGCATGTGTATGCTACTATGCTTATTAACTAGGGGACCTACGCTCTCAAGTCATAAATGACAGTAGTGAGGATTAATGCCCCACAAAAGGGCACTAATATAGCACATCGACACGGTTTTGATCCTGGGGCCTCCCAGTTACGAGGCAATTGTTTTGTCACTGAACCAAGACTTTACGCAGCGGGGGCTAGGGTAGGGGGCAGTTTCCATAAATAAAAAAAACACACAGAAAATGCAATAAATTTTCAATAATTTGTTCCATTTTACCCCGGTCCCCAACATAAAAAAATCCTCTGGACGGCCATGCATTATGGCTCAAGGCATGGGCACACAGCAGAAGAAAACAATCCCCGCACCGAATTTACTTAATCAGGAATCACGTTGCACAGAATATGAAGTTATTTGTGCACCTCACTGCCTGAAATCATCATGTCACTAAATGTGAGAAAAAAAGACACTTTATTATCTTTAAAGTGTGTTTGTATGATTGTGCGCTAGTTACTTAGGCGGCTCAGCTGTAACTGAGGGAATGATGTCAGAGCACCATGACGGTCATTTCCTGATGAATACAAGCGCTATAAAAATGATATAAGTGGCCATTATTTCTAAAATTAGTAAGTTTCATGAATACCGACCTTTTACAAAATTGAATTCCATACAGTAAGCCGATGCATACCAGTTGTGGATATTTGTCTGGCGGTCGGATGGTACCATGGTGAGAATTTTTTCTTCTTCTCATACATATAATTTTTTCGAATAATTTCGATGGCTTTTTCTCATGAATATGTTTTATATTATACATGTGTTTATGACATTTTATCAACTTAATATTGTTTACATATTAAAAAAGAATTCAGCAAAGGCACTAATTCAACTAGTCCAACTTACATTATTGAGTTAAGAAGAAAAATTCAAAACAAATTCACAAGGAGAATGAACAGGTCAGCTGCTAACTGTGTATATATGTGTGTGAGTGTGCGTGTGCGTGTGTCTGTGTGTGTCTGTAAATGCATATGCATGTATATAACTTTAACTGAATATTTTTCCATTTTATCTAAAGGTATAATATGTATAACTACACCGATTCGACCCATCCCTTCATCAATACGATGCATGTAAGTTCATCTCACTTGTAAACATTTGTGACTATATACGACAACGATCATCTCGATCTACTAAAGCAGTACCGCACATCACGCCCGAATCATCACTGTATTTTGCAAAACAAATTGGATACCTTACCAAAGGGTACTAACACATTAATGAGCATCTTTCGAACCCAGGACCTTCCAGGCACGAGACCTCTGCCCTGTTGCTGTCCCATTATGTCCAAGTCCCGTCACGTTCTATCACGTAAAATCACATCCCATCACGTTCCATCACGTCCAATACAGTCCAATGACATCCCATCATTTCACATCCTGTGTTGTCACGCCCCATCACGTTCCATCACTTTCCATCACTTCCCATCATTTTTCTTCTCGTTCCATCACGTCACACCATGTCTGATAAAATCTTACCACGTCCTGTCACGTCCCATCACGTATGTTATTACGTCCCGTTATGTCATATCACTTCACAACAGACCACTTAAATAAAAATTTGTGGCATGAAACAAGAAATTAAAAAACATTAAAAAAAGAAATAGCCGAATAAAAATGGGGCTAAAAGACGAGCCTTGGAATGCAACGAGATCTATGAACTTACAGGAAACCGATGTCGCAGCAAAGCTATTTCTAGTGGTACTCGGTTTATACGCCAATTTTATTTAGTCCTTTATAATTAAAAATGATCTAAAGATCATGATTTCCTGGATATTTCCCCTCTAATTTAACATCTGCTTCAAAACTTTTTAGGGGCATAAGTTGCCTACCGTAGTATGGGTCCAATTCCTAAGAAGAACTTAAATTTAAATGATTTTCTTTTTCTTCAAAAATGATGTCGCAGCAAAACAATTTTCAGCAGTATTTACTTTAATTTTCCTTAAAGGCATCGTTAAACAATGTTAAATCTGAGATGCATGGCACTAAGTGTTATCAGTGTCTGTGATATGGTGTAATATTGAAGCCCTACAGAAATGCGCTTCAAAATAATCATCAAGTGCCTCAAAAAAGTAGAAATCTTTAAGTGACCAGTTTTACCTTACTCATTTTTCCCAATAGACTGTAGTGTTATGAAAACCGTTAGGAAAACGAAAAATGGAATTTAGATTTCCAATCATAAACATCTTGATAATCAGGCAGGCGATCGGCTTGTAAAAGTCATGGGATTCCTGACTGACCTAAAGGTTTATAATTATGATTGCATCATTAGCTAAATCCAGGATTTTGTTTCAGAAGCTGAGACAATGTTGCCGAATTAATAAGTGCCGCTGTAAATTTGTCGACATCTTTAGGTCATGATTTACAATTTATTAACTAATTTTCCTTTCTGTTGTTGGTTACTTTTTTCAATTTTCCCTTGCTTCGGATGAAGGACTTTTAATGAGAGGGCCCACACTAAAGTACCTATACCCGAAGTGATATCCGCTCTGAATGATACGATAAGTGGACTGCTGTTTACTACAGCTGCAGTAGACTTTGCTGTAGAGAAGCTCTACGGTCCTAGAGACCTACAGCTCCTGCCGCAGCATATCTACGATCGTCAAAGACAAGCTACAGCACTGTGAGTTGGTATTTCCCTCTCTGATTCGTGACTCTACATTTGCTTCCGCCACAATCGAACACTCTAATGGTGTCAAAATCCCCATGAGAACCCATTACTATGAGCCTTTGAAGAAAAAAAAGCGAAAAGAGTTTTCTGTCGTTTCGGCTTGATGACAGTGGTTAGACACGATTGCTATTCAGTCTTATCACCACGGGATTTATAACCTTTTTTTAAGTGTTTGTTCAAAATCGGGCTTAACAAAGATATTTAGTCCGAGGTTTAACGTTTCCTTTTGTAATTTTAGACCAAGAGTTTGGTTTAGCCGAATTAGTTGAATAGGGACCATTGTGTCAATGGTACTGGCAAAGCAAAATTAGGCTTATAATTATGTTTCCTTTCGTATTTCTCTACAGAGTTCTTTTAGGTAATGAATTACAACACATTGAAGATAATGCGTTCACCTTATTTACAAGCCTCCGTACACTGTAAGTACCTTATCCTATTTTCCGCAAATGATTTCAAATGATTTCCGCAAATGAGTGCCTACTTAAAAACAAGTACCCCACTCTCAAGATTTAACTTACTCTGTCTTAGATACTTTTTTCCAAACAACTTAAAAGCCACTCTAAAGTGTTGGGAGCCCCACAAATTTTATGGCGAAATTTCACTTAAGTTGTATCGTAATATGAAAGAGGATCTCATATAAGACACATTTTTGCAAGGTTTTTCAAAACAATTGTTGATGAATTTTGGGCTCCCAACACTTTGGAGGGGCTTTAAACTTTAAAAGATTTGTCTTTTAATTCTTCAATTTATTTCATCTTAAATGGTATCTAGCATGAATGTGTATGTGTTAGGTGGCGTGTTATGTGTAGGCATTGTACATACGTTTCTTCTTGATTGATGTTTTGTAGTCTTAAGGTTACACAACTGACAACCTGTGCTTTATGGGTCACTTTGTCTATTTTAACTCGGTAGAATCGTTAATTTTAAATCAATGAGAAACAAATAAAGCTTTGACCGTATCTGTAACTCTCGTTTTTTGTTTGACTAGAATACCAGAGATTAGAAGTTAAATAAAACATGGATTATGATTTTCAATATGTGCAATTATCCAAGGCTTTCCTATTGGGGTGCAAAAGATACAAAGAGCATATTCTTCAAAAGATAATCTGCGGATGAAAATAATGAATGGGTAAGTTTCCTATATTCTGACACGAGCGGGTTTAACTCCGATTCAAAATGCAATTAGACGCCAAACTAATCAACCTAGAACGCTTTACAGAGAAAGGATATAACGGTAGATTAACTTTTCGGTTGCTTTCTTCGCATTTTTGCACTGTCGCTCATTTGACACTCCTTTTATTTTGCACGATAGGCACCAATTGACCAAAGGATTGCTTTGTGCAAAACAATGGCTTAGCAGACAACCTTTTTAACACCAGCATCTTACACAGGAAACAGCTAAATTATCTTGAAATCTTTGGTATACACATTGCATGATAAATGTAATGTAGCACGAAGAGAACTTTTGTGTTGCATATAAAGAGTTAATAAAAAATTCTTCCACCAATATCATAAACATTGTTAAATCGGTACCATTGTGCTCTTGATGTAATTAATAGTTTTCTGTCAATATAATATCTCCTTAATTCAGAAAATTGAAGACAATTGGAAGATTTTATTTCCAAAATTTGATTTACATTAGGCGATGTCAGACAGAGGCCAACTATCTAGATCATAGCTTTCTAGATAAGTCGCTGTCTGTCATCAATTATCCCGCGAAAAATCCCACGAAAAATCGAACAATGAACCAAGATAATTCTCCATTATCATGAAATTTCACGGGATTTTTCGCAGGTAATTCATGTCTGTCACCTATCTGCCACGTACGTAGGCCTACGTGATTTATTTTGATAGCTGTCATCTAGGTAATTCAAGATGGATCGGTACAATAGTGTCTGACACCTCCAAATGATTCCTTTCGTTGCCAAAATGCTTACGCTTCTGATTTTTTAATCTGCTTCATTTTACAACAACAGGTGGTCATTAATTGATATATATGCCATTGGACTTCTTTAGAATGAAACACTCCTCGGGGGGGGGTGTAATTGTGCACCACTATGTGCGGATGAGCAATTAAATCCAATGACTGGGTTAGTAATAGTTATCATGTAGTGGGCTTAGAAAACTAGAAATGTGACTTTTCTTATCATTAATCTGCATGTTTTTCACCCATTTTCTCCATTTTTTTTTTGGGGGGGGGGATAGCATCAGGAAACTCAATGAAAATTCCTTTGTCCATCTACAGCGTGGTGTCTTTTCAGGTTTGATAAGTCAATAAGATTTCAGATTTAGAAAACGTGTACTAGATGCACTACAGCAAAATCCCCTCATACGCCATCTCAGGTCAGCTGTAGCAATATATATAATCCCTTATCTTGCTACTACCTTAGCTGAGCCGTTAGTTCTCGCATCGATTCCCCAGTCTGTGAAGTGGGAATTAGGTAATGTTTGCAAGTTGACAATGAGCAGGCGCCATGCAAGAAACAGTACGGCAGAAAGCTCATTAGTTCAGTATCGCTCTGAGTCCAGTCTTGAACGCCCCCCCCCCTCAAAAAAAACTTCACTACACACGTGTAAAATGTACGATGACCGTGTGTATATGCTACAGTCCCCACACAAACTATATCTAAGTTATCTGGGGTAAAATTCGAAATGATCTCTTACATATTTGTTTTGATACGAGGAAAAAAACTTGTCACAAGTAATCATCTCTCTCAAAATGCTATGGTCAATACAGGTAACGGCTAAAAAAGTTTTATGTGCTAAACAGATACAAGTTTTTTCTGAAGCTGAAGCGAGTTACAAATGTTTCACATTTCTTCCTTTTTTATCCGCATTACGCTTTAACAACGCATATTCTTGTGTGTTTTTTCCAGATATTTGTCATCGAATTCCATTCAGCATTTACAGCGTGGGGTATTTTCTGGACTCCGGTCTCTTCATAGTCTGTAAGTGCAAGACAATTTGGGGGCAAGTCTAAGCTATTGCCCCCGCCCCCACCCTTACGTCACAAACCACATCTAAGACTTGAGTATAAACTAATGATTGTGTTAAATTATTAGCAATACTTGAACTTTTATCTGGCCAAATATGAAATGAAAAGACACATTTGATGTCAAAATAATGTTGAGGACTCTAAAATACTGTGTAACGTACGGGACACCAAAGTACAAATTAACAAATTGATCAGTATTTCTTATTGGCCCTAAGCCTTCCTCAAGTAATACAGTTTGAAAAAGACAATTGTGTAGTTTATCGTTTGGCTGAAATCAGGGGGGTGGTTTGGGGGGTCGAACACCCCCCCCCCCTCAAACTGTGTGTGTGTTTGAGGAACCCCCCCCCCCCCATTTTTTCGTTAAGAAACAAAAAAGGTGTCTCATTAGGCTATTGAAAGTGATTGAATTTTGAAAATCTTAATGATTGTGTTTTATCTGATATCATTATCCCGATCAGGTTTCTTTCAGACAACAAGATTCGAGGCATTGAGGTTGGAGTTTTTGATGGTCTGCAGAATTTAATGTCTTTGTGAGTAAAATTTCCTTTTTGCTACTCTACATGCTAACCAAATGCTATGAATTACATGGTTCCTTTGATCACTTGACCACGCAAGAGACCTGTATATCAATTGAATGCATACTTCTTAAAACAAAAGTTTCTCTTGACTACAAAAAGACTTGCCATAGACCTATCCGACACAGCAACCACTAATATATGCAAAGATTATTCCATCTTTGAAACACATTTTGCAGGTTTATTTGCCAAGTTCTGGGTTTCAAAATTGCTCCGCTCTATTATAATTATGTTAATATTTAAAGAATCTAAGTGACTCTAGATTATGATAATATAAGCAATTTAACTTCCCCCCCCCCCACACACACACACTTACGTCACAAACCACATCTAAGATTTTAGTATAGACTAATGATTGTATTAAATTAATAGCAATACTTGAAATTGTATCTGTTCTGTCAAGTGCTGGGTTTCAAAATTGCTTCGCTCTATTATAATTATGTTAATATTTAAAGAATCATGACTTTATTCTAAGTTGAAGTGACTCTAGATTGTGATAATATAAGCAATTCAACTTGCCCCCCCCCCAAAAAAAAAAAAAAAAAAAACACACACACACACGCACCCTTACGTCACAAACCACATCTAAGATTTTAGTATAAACTAATGATTGTATTAAATTAATAGCAATACTGGAACTTTTATCTGACCAAATATGAAATGGAAAAACACATTTGATGTCAAAATAATGTTGATGACTCTAAAATACTGTGTAACGTACGGGACACCAAAGTACCAAATAAATAAATCTGGCTTACCATTTAACGATATAATCACCCACTAAACAGGAAACTAGTGGAAGTAGTAACTATATGCAGCGTGGATCAGCAACGTAGGACCTTGACAAGAAATCTGTGTCCTATTTTATACATCTAGTTCGGTTATCAATAAAAAGTAACAATAATTGTTATAAGTTGTAATACAATTGTGGCATTTGATTGGCTTAGAGTGATTTTGCATATAAATTGATCAGTATTTGTTATCGGCCCCGAGCCTTCCTCAGTTTATCGTTTGGCTGAAATGGCCAAAAACATCATGACAAATAACCACAGGTCGTTTGAAAAAGGAGAGACTGATATGAAGGCCATTGCACGCTATGCCTATGCGATCCTATCATGATCCGATTTTCAAAGAAATCTCAATAACATTAGATTCCAAAATTTAAACTGATATCATCTTACCTAATCAAATTCTGAATAATAATCTGTGTTTTTACGTAATCGTAGAAGAAAATCAGTGAAGAAATGCTCCAGAAAAGGATTTGAAATGTCAGGAGAAATTTCAATTTCAATTTCAATTTCATATTTATTGCCCAATGGAAATTTGTTTTTACTCACATTTTACATAGCTTTATAGAAATATATGCAGAAATCATAGAAAATGTGGATAACTGTAACTAATTCTTTCAATAATTTTCATAACAGGCTTTACAGACCTATAGATTATTCATGGATTTAGACAATGTGATATGCTTATCTCCGTCTATTATGATCAACTGCAGTGCAAGTAACTAATAACACGGTCGCCAAGACGTTCAGGAAATCAACTATGGACTTCCTAATTTGATATGCATTGCCTTTAGAAATCATGTTTCCATTATGTAATAGTAATTGTAATGTTTAAACAGGTGTCTCATTAGGCTATTGAAAGTGATTGAATTTTGAACGTCTTCGCGATTGTGTTATATCTGATACCATTATCCCGATCAGGTTTCTTTCAGACAACAAGATTCAAGGCATTGAGGTTGGAGCTTTTGAAGGTCTGCAGAATTTATTTACTTTGTGAGTAAAATTCCTTGTTGCGACTTTACATGTTAACCAAATGCTATGAATTACATGGCTCCTTTGATCATGTGACCGTGCAAGAGACTGGTATATCAGTTTAATGCATACTTTTTAAAACAAAAGTTTCTCTTGACAACTACAAAAAGACTTGCCAGAGGCCTACCCGACATAGCAATCAAATAAAATATATAGCATGTTTTTACAAAAGAAACAAAACAATACATCAAATACACATAAATAAATAACAATACATTGCACATACGAATCCAATGAAATGTAACATTAAACCAAATGGACAATAAGTAAGTTAGCTGAATCAATCTCTAGACCTAAGTAAGTAATAACTTGTACAAGGCCATCTGTCTTCTCGCTGGAAATTGGGGCACCAAATCGCTCACACATCGCCTTAAAACACCGCATGAGGTGAGTACACTCGCCAGCAGACTTACCCGCACAAAAAGAAATCATCGATAAATAAGATCTGGCTATTTGTGTCAGTAGACTTCAACAATGATCACGGTCTGTAAACAAATAAGATAAAAGAAAATACCCTTAATTAAGATCAAACTATAACATAATCCTCTATCTCCCCCAAGTCTTTGGTGCATAAAGAAACGAAAGGCTAACAGTGCGACAAAGACTTAAAGATAAACTTTAGTACTGGTAATGCGATTGCATTGTGAAAGAAAAGGTGTGGAAAGGATCAGAAACAGTTGATCATGTAGCATGTAAGTATTGGTATGCACTGCAAGGTTCTGGAGTCATCAAAATCATAATAAATTTGACCGAGTCTTGGTAAAGTAACAAGCACTCACATAGAAAGCTATATATGGGACAACACACATGATGTCGGGGCTAGTACTACCTTGATTTCCTTGTCTTTCTATGCTCATTACTCAGCTAGTATACATTTTCTTCCAAAATTGTTTGGCACGTGTCATTTATTTGTAATCTTGAACATTCAGTGTAAGTTTCGTTTGATTCTGCGAGAATTTTTTTTTTTTTACCAGTACTGGAGTTTATCTTTAAAATGAGACCCAATGATCAACGACAAATAAAATGTAAGAACAAAAAAAAATGAACGCGGACCAGGCTAAAACGAAACCTAACACATGGCGGAATGTCATCAAAAACTAGCAAAACGAGAACTGCAATAGCCAAATATCGAAAGAATTAAAGACATAAGGCAAACTGTTCGAGTGTCAATGTCACATGTCATAGTCTGAGTGCCAGACAGGTTTGGCTGGGCGAGGGGTAGATCGCCTAGGAGGAGGACTGGCGCGCCCGACGGATGTGAGCGACGGCAACTGCGTGTCGACAGACGAAGGGACAGGAACAATCACAGATGGGCGAAGAGGACGACGGGGCGGGCCATGGGACGTTCCAGAAGAAGCGGCATGGGTCGTTGGAGCTGGCCGGGCAGGAGGCATGACAGGTCCCGGCTAGCTGGTGGCAGGGGTGTCAGGGCATTTCAATGGTGGCACCTGGGGGTAGTGCTGTTTCAGGGCCTGAAGCGGGATCCCCAGTCTGTTCAGTAGGACGCGGTAGGGCCCCGAGGTCTGGCCGCAGGACGGGTTGACGAGTACTCGGCCGAGTTGTGTCAAAGTCACCGCCCATCACCAAAGGAGGGGGGCGTGGGTACACTGGAACATACTGTCTCGGGAACTTCCTGTTCCTTAGTGTAAGTGTAACTCTCCCGGAGCCGTCGGCGCGGATCACGTATTGGTCGAACTGGCGAACCTCGACCACGACCCCAGTCTTGTCCCATTTAAGGGGGTGGGGTCCCATCTGGTTCTGTACGCGGACATGGTCACCAACTATAAGGGACGGAAGTCGCTTGGTGTGCTCTGACCATCGTTCAGCACTTCTCATGTGGCGATTGCGCAGTGCATCTTCCCGAGCCGCGAAGGTCTCACGCCAAGTGCGGTGAGGCTCGTATTTGCCGGGCGCCACCGGAATGAAGTCCCGAATAGGATGGCCGAATACGCACATGGCAGGCGAGAGCTTGGTGTCCCTGCCAGGCGTGTTCCTGTACTGAGTGCCAAGGACATCGGTAGGGCTGGTGTTGTCCAGAAGGCGCTTGATGGTCTTTACACCCACTTCAGCGCGACAGTTGCTATGATGGTATGCCACGGAGGAAAGGCGATGATGGATACCCCAGTCCTGGAGGAATCGACGTGTGGCTGCTGCTGTAAATTCGGGGCCACCATCTGAGGCCAGCTCGTCAGGGATGCCGAATGTGACAAAGATGCATCGCAGGCAAGCGGTGAGGCCATCTGCGCCGTGGGTAAATCTCTCAACTATTGGCCATTTGGAGTATCGGTCGACGACAACCAAGTAATTGCAGCCTTTGTAATGAAAGAAGACAGCACAAATACATTGGAATTGGTAGACCGGGGAAGTCAGCGGAGTTGGCGGCGAACTAGGTTTGGACGGCGCAATCCGATTGCAATTCCGATCTAGCACGGAGGGTAGATGTGGCCTGGGTGATGCCGGGCCGGAAGACAGATGCCTCTGCCCTGGCGGTCACCAAGAGGTGACCCCTTGGTGGGCAGCATGGAGGTGGGTCAGCACTTCCTCCCTGAGAGAAGGAGAGATAACGATGCGGTCCTTGTAATGCACAACTCCATCAACTGTATAAAGATCGTCCCGAAACTGGAAGTAGTCACGGAGGGGACCCGGGAGTTCATGGCGGAAGGCTGGTAGGCCAGACTCAACTAAGCCAACGAGGGAATGCATGTCCTCGTCGCTGGTTTAGGCAGTACAAACCCTGTCCCACGTGACAGATTTGAGGTGAAGGGAGTCCAGGGAGGACACAAAAGACGAGAGGATTCCTGCTTCGATGGCGTCAGCATCTGTGTCAGCGCGAAAGCCAGCCATGAGTGTCAGGGGTTCTGTCAAGTTTATGGGGGGGGGAGGATTAATGATCGCGACATCGTCAGGCAGGTGTAACCTCAGAGGTGCACCAGTCGGGTGACGTGAGAGGCAGTCCATTTTTACTGTGTCGGACACCTGGGACATGGATGATCCGGAACCTGTATCCCAGGGTTTTCTCTTTCAAGTTCCTCAGACGAGGGTTGGGGATGTCTGCTAGGGAGCGGTCAGTGATGAAGATCTTCAGAAGGGGCTTGTGGTCGACAGCAAGGATGGGGTCCTCACATCCAAGTACGAATGAACTGGTCTTGTCTAGGACATCAGCCACGGCGAAGGCCTCACTTTCGATCGGAGCATAGCGTGATTCAGCGGCGTGCGCGAACCTGCTGCCTACAAGCGTGATATGCCATCCAGTGGGACAACAAAATGGTTCCGAGGAATTGCAGGTGCAGTGTTTCAGGAGAAGCCAGAAGCCAATGCCATGCTTTGACCAATCTGTAGCCAGGCAAGTGGGTTTGCTCGGGTCAAAGATCCTCACACCTTCCTCGATTTCATTGGCGATAATGACTTTGGATTCATCAAAGGCACGTCCCACGTGAAGGCTGTGGTAGGCTTCAGGAGCTGGCGGAACGGCAGCATCTTTGCAGTCATGCTGAAGGCATATAGGACACTTTATTGACAAGCCCAAAACAAGAGCGCACGTCGGTGATGTTCTTAGGTGTAGGGAAGTCCAGGATGGCCTGTAAGTTTTTCTTGCATGGACGGAAACTGTCGGGGGTGATCTCAAATCCAGCAAACTCGACAACATCTGTGCCCAGCACAAACTTGTCAGGGTTGAGGGTAACGCCATTCCGACCGCAGACATCCAGCCACTCGACAGCTTGGAAGTAGCTATCCGCCAATGTGTCCGCCCACAGCAGAGCGTCATCCACACATTTGGTTTTGTTGTGAATGTCCGACGCGATCTCATCACAATGAGGCGATGTATCCATGAGGGGCCGTCTTGTAGCGGTATCTGCCCCAGGGGGTAATGAAGGTGGTCAGTTGATAGTCCTCTCTGCGGAGTGACACGCTATGGTAACCATTCCATGCATCAAAGACAGTTGTCTTCTTCTTGTGTGGGACCGAAGGAGCCTGGTGGAATGGTGATGGTGTGTGGCGTGTCTCGCGTGTAGCGTGGGCGTTGAGCGCCTGGAAATCGACAGTTCGTCTCGGTGTGCCATTCTTCTTTGCGCAAACTATCATCCGATGACACCAGGTAACAGGCTCGCAATGGGGACCGGTTCCAGCACACTTAATTGCACGTCATGATCCAATCCTGGTTCACAGCATCCCGCCAGTGGAGTGGAACGGGTACTGGTGTGTGATGCGCAACTGGCTCAGCATCGGGGTCGACCATCAGTTTCAGGGGAGGGCTGGCCATGAGGGTCAAGCTTTGATGTTCACAAGTGTTGAATGTGCTCGATTGGTTGTACTTGAGGAGGTGCTGTTGTAGCTTCATACGGTTGTCATCAGTGGCAGCTTTGTCGGAGGTGGGGGAGGCCATTGACGCCTGGGGCAGTCACAAATTCCTCCAGAGCCATCTTGGAGGGCTGCTTGTGTTTCTATCTAGTGTGCCGGTTGAGTCGTACCCAACGTAGGGAAAGTATTAGGGATGATCCCTAGGGCGATGCATGCTTCTTTGCTGAGGAAGAGTTCGTCAGAGCAGTCAGTGACGTAGATCATCTGCCGAGTTTCAATAACCTGTCCTCGCTCGCAGCATCGCATCTGTCCTCGCTCGCCTCTGTCAGAGAAACGGATGATGGCGGCCCCAATGAGAAACGGATGATGGCGGCCCCAATGATCCGGATTCCGCCTTTCGTAGCGGTGCACATCTTCATGTCGACATCAGAGAAACGGATGATGGCGGCCCCAATGATCCGGATTCCGCCTTTCGTAGCGGTGCACATCTTCATGTCGACCGGTAGGAGATCCGATTGACGTAACCCAAGGCGGCAGATGACCTTGATACCAGCAAGGCAGCTCTGGCAACCTGTGTCTGCCATAGCAGAAACCGAGCAAGACACTGTAGGGGTAGATAGGTTGAAACCAAAGGCAGTGCAGTCATCGGGCGCGATCCTGATGGTCACGTCAATGAATTGCTGGGCCGATGACCGTTTCTTGAGCCACGTATTGGTGAAGTTGTCATATACGTGATGGTCCAGGGGGACGGCTGATCCACGATGAGGCGTTTCCGTAGTGTGGCAGGAGCAAAGGGCATCAAAGATAGCACCTTCATTATCATTTGGGACACCGGGTTACGAACGTTTAGGTTTGTCCTTGCTGCGGCATACGCTCTCCACGTGATTCGGCCTATCACAATGTGTGCACCTGTGGCCATGATGCTGGGCACCGAGTTTGTCGGACGCTTGCCGGGGCATTCTTCCCGTGTCCTCTCCTGCCACAGTAACCACAAAGGTCCTGTTTCTCCTTAATAGTTGTCACCTTGGCTTTCCTGTAGGTGCTGCTAGCCGCGTCGATCCACTGAGGAGTGGGAGTCCAGGAGCGAGGAGGCGGATCATTTGCCGGCTTCTTTGGCTTCGACGAACTGGAAGACCTCTTCCAGCATCATGTCCTGATTCTTGTTGACAAGGAGGTCAAGCTGGATTTCGGGGTTGCTGTTGCCCCGAGTGAGGACGTCCCGCATGATGGCGTCAGTGTAGTTGACGTTGGCGTCACAGCCGGGGCACTTAAAGATGTCTGCCTGGCCACGTAGGCACGCCCCGTAACTGCGTACTGTTTCATCTTGGTCCTAGCGCAAGTTATAAAGCACTACACGGGCCACCACAGAGTTCTCTTCACAGAATGCCAGCTTTTTGATGGCTGCCAGAACATCGTCCACGGGTTTGCCGGTCAGACTCCCACCAGCTGACCTTGTGAGCTCTCTACGTAGGGGTTCGTCGCAGCATTCGAGCAGCTGGATAACCTTGTCCCTGCCGGTGACCTTTGTGGCCGCGACATAATCAGTCCATCGAGACAAGAAGTACGCCCATTCTTCACTTGAGCCAACCGCAGCAACTGCAGGACGTTTAACCTTCTCCACCTTGGCAGCAGGTCCAGCGGTGTGGAAAGCGCTATGGGCAGTGGGCAGTCTGTAAACAAATAAGATAAAAGAGGATACCCTTTATTAAGACCAAACTATAATATAATCCTCTAATCGAGATAATGGAGGATGCACTGTGAGGACGCAATGCGCCTACAGCAATATAAGAAGGGACTGAATCTCTCAAATACTGCACAGGACACCAAACAACCCATCGGAATACAATAAATAGAATTGTCCTTCAATGCACATACCAAGAAGATCAAAATCGGCTGGATTCACAGGCAACAGTCGAAAAGTCGATTTAATATTAGATTTCCCATGAAGGCGTGCCGTCCGAGGGTCAAACTACACGACCGCACATTCTTCGCGATGGTGATGTAGGTCTTGGCCTTCTCGATGAACCCAAATATATGCTAAGCATCATCACATATTATTAATCCTAGATAATTGATAACATTTCAATAGATTATTTATTGTTGTGTTATCATTATAATCAGGCATCTTAAGTAAAGCAACATAAGCTGGATTCAAGTTAGAGCATTTTCACCTCTGGAGAACCTTTGTATATTGTAAATTGCAATTAATTTAAACATTTTAAACAATTTTACATCCTACTGTTTATCGTATGCATGCATGTTAAAACGGATAGGTCATGACATTCACAAAGTTCCATTAATACGTACATTATTCGATATTCCACTAAGGTAACTCGATGTGATTGATCCCAATAGCAGATTTATATGATTTTTCTAAGTATACTGAGACGAATGAATTCCTTGCCACTTCCTATAACTTAATTTAAATCCTGTCTGCACTACTTGTAGCTACTTGAGCCCTCTATATAGCCAACAATGCCTAATTGGTGGACGTTGATCCCAATATTGTCCCCTTTCTCTTATGCTAATTGAGAGCTGATTTGATGAGTTAACCACCTGCCAGTGACCAGCAGTGGAGTCATGGCCTTTGCTTTTGCATGGTGGGTAGGAGGTATGAAGCGAGCGGGGTTGGGTTGAACAGTGCCTTGACCTCCCCTCAATTAATGCTCCTCCCACATACAGGCTTTAAAGGACATGGGAGGTTTTCGGTAAACCCGTTTGAAGAAAAAACAAATCTTTGATGTTAGATGACGATTAATATGATACTAGCAATGCTAAGCTGCTGTGCAATTTTTCCAATCTCAAGTAAATTCTTAAACAAATGAGAGGTAGAAAACCATTAAGATACCATCCTGGGACGTAAATTAAACAAATTTAACAAAGGTAACCTTCACTACACATGTGTAAAACGTATGATGACTGTGTGTATATACATACTACTGTAGTCCACACACAAGCTGTATCTAGGTTAAAGGGATAGTTGAGAACTGTTGCAGAGGGCGCTACACAAAATATTTGTTTGTGAGATAATGAAAAACTGAGTGTCAAATTTGGAAAAACATACAATTTAAATGAGAAAATCATCTTTGTTTGATCAAAATCAGTTCATGGACGGCTGAAATATCCATAAATATAATCACAATCATTGGTATGTTGGCTCAGTAGAGCGTCCGCCTCACAACCGGAAGGTCGTGGGTTCGAACCCCGGCCGCGTCATTCCAAAAGACGTTAAAAGACGGGAGTAGCTGCTACCTTGTTTGGCGTTCAACAATAGGGGATAGAGCAACGTCGATCTGGCGCTGCTCATTGGCTGACGGGGTCACGATCAATTGGGCAATAAGAATTTCCATTTTCGGTTTAATAAAATTTGGAATGGACTTTAAAAGATTATTATTATCATTATTATTATTATTTATAATATTTGTGTACCACCAAGAGTATTAGATAGGCCTAATTTAAATCAGCCGTTGAAAAAAACGAAATAGCGCCTTATACGATGTTGGCATTTTCGTGTTGGTTATAATACGCACAGCCAGCCAGGCCCATGTATTGTTATGATTTGTCACCATATTTTTTTTGAAAGTAGAGATGAATTGGTATTATTGTATTGGCTAAATTTCACGCATTTAGGGGTCCAAAATTACCTTCATAGCAAATTCAGGTTCTAAAAGGGCACAAGAAATGTCATAACTAAGAATAAGATCAATAGCAATGTGATTTGAAGGCATTTGCGGTCTGAAACAAGAACTCAACTATCCATTTAAGTGATCAGTATTTGGGGTGGAAGGGTCCTAGCATAGGGTAGCGTATAGCAGCTTTCTAGCAATCCTTGCAGATATTTACACTTTAATTCACCGGGTAAAATACGAAATGATCTTTTACATATTCGTTTTGATACGAGGAAAAAAATATGTCATAAAAAAAAAATCATCTCTCTCACTATGCTATGGTCAATACGGCTAAAGGCAAGAAAAATTTCATGTGCTAAATAGATACAAGTTTTCTTGATATTAAAGCGAGTTACGAATGTTTCACATTTTTCGTTTTCAAACCGCATTACGCTTTAACAACGCATATTCTTTCTTTTTTCCCAGAAATTTGTCATCGAATTCCATTCAGCATTTAGAGCGTGGGGTATTTTCTGGACTCCAGTCTCTTTTCCATCTGTAAGTGCAAGATAATTTGGGGGCAAGTCTAAGCTTTTGCCCTCCCCCCCCCCCCTTACGTCACAAACCACATCTAAGATTTTAGTATATAACTAATGGTTGTATTAAAAGGGATAGGGTATTTTTGCCTCAGATTCTAAACAAAATCATGCTGCAATCATAATTAAAAACCCTTAGGTCAGTCAGGAATCCCATGACTTTTATAAGCTGATCGCCTTTCTGATTTTTAAGATATTTATGATGGGAATTTTAAATTGCAAAAATTGTTTTCCCAACGGTTTTTATTACACTACAGTCTATAGGGGAAAATGTGTATGGTCGAACCGGTCACTCAAAGATTTTTTAAGGCACTTAATGATCATTTTTTTAATGTTTATGGCTTCAATATTATATATCACAGACACTGATAACACGTAGGGCTATGCATCTCATATTTAACAGTGTTTAACGATGCCTTTAATAGCAATAATAGAACTTTTATATGACCAAATATGAAGACAAAAAGACATATTTGCTGTCAAAATAATGTTCAGAACTCTAAAATACTGTGTAACGTTCGGGCAACCAAAGTAAAAAAAAAAAAAAAAAAAAAAAAATCATTCGGACTTACTATTGAACTATGTATCACCCACAAAACAGGGGACTTGTGAACGTAGTAACTATATACAGTGTGGATCAGAAACGTATTAAGATCTAGACAAGAAAATCTGGGTCCTGTTTTGTAAAACTTGTGTTCAATAAAAAGCTACAATAATTTTTATAAGTAGTATTACAATAATTGTGGCATTTGATTGGGTAAGAGCGAATTTGTCATAGAAATTTATCATTATCTGTTATTGGCCCTGAGCCTTCCCCAAGTAATACAGTTTAAAAAAGACCATTTCTTTGTTTATCGTCTGGCTTAAATGGCCCAAAACATGAAAAATAACCACAGGTCGTTTGAAAATGGAGAGACTGATATGAAGGCCATTGCACGCTGTGCCTATGCGATCCTATCGTGATCCGATTTTCAAATATATCTTATCTCCGTCTATTGTGATTAATTGCAATGCCAGTAACTAATAAAATGGGCGCCAAGATGTTCAGGAAATCAACTAAGGTCCTTTCCGATTTAAATTGCATTGTCTTTACAAACCATGTTCACATTATGTAATATGTCATGGACCTTTACAAATCATGTTCACATTATGTAATACGTCATTGTAATGTTTGAACAGGTGTCTCATTAGGCTATTGAAAGTGATTGAATCGTGAAAGTCTTCATGATCGTGTTTTATCTGATACCATTATCCCGATCAGGATCCTTTATGACAACAAGATTCGAGGCATTGAGGTTGGAGCTTTTGATGGTCTGCACAATTTAATTAATTTGTGAGTAAAATTTCCTTTTTGCTACTCTACATGCTAACCAAATGCTATGAATTACATGGTTCCTTTGATGATCACGTGACCATGCAAGAGACCGGTATATCAGTTTAATGCATACTTTTTAAAATAAAAGGTTTCTCTTGAAATCTACAAATAGACTTGCCAGAGTCCTACCCGACACAGCAACAACTAATATATGCAAAGATTATTCCATCTTTGAAATACATTTTACAGGTTCACTTGTTAAGTTCTGGGTTTCAAAATTGCTCCGCTCTGTTATAATTATGTTAATATTTCAAGAATCATGACTTCGTTGAGTTGAAGTGACTCTAGATTGTGATATTATAAGCAATTCAACTTGACTTACAGTCCGTTTATTGTACTCTTACTGCGGTTTATCCTGCTTTACAGTTTTACGACCAATTAGATTTAAATCATATATTATACCTTAGTCACACCATCAAGAGCGACACCAGACTGACTAAGACCGAACCATATTATTACATTACCGCCAATGGCAAAATATTCGGTCGGTTTGGCTTTGGGTTGGAGTCGGTTTGGCGGTGTGACTTAGGTCTTAGATTTCTCGATCAACCAAAATATAGTTTACGCATCATCACATATTATTAATGCTAGTTAATTGATGGCCTTTCAATAAATCATTCATTGTTGTGTTATCATTATAATCAGGGTTCTTCAATCAAACAACATCAGCTGGATTCAAGTGGGAGCATTTTCACATCTGGAGAGTCTTCTAATATTGTAAATTGCAAATCATTTAAACATTTTAAACAATTTTACACCCTATTGTTTATCGTATACATGTATGTTAAAACTGATTAAGAGAGAAAGGTTATGATATTCACAAAGTTCCATTATTACGTACATTTCGATATTCCAATAAGGTAACGCTATTTGATTGATACCAATAGCGGATGTGTATGATTTTTTAAGTACACTAAGACGAATAAATTCCTTGCCACTTCCTATAACTTAATTTAAAGGGCATGTGAAGTTTGTTGTAAGCCCTTCAAAATAAGAAATATCTTTGATGTTAGATGATGAATAAAACGATACTAGCAATGCTAAACTGCTGTGCAATTTTTCCAATCTCAAGTTGAATATTAAACAATTAATGAGGAGTAGTAAACCATTGAGATGTTCACATTATGTAATATGTCATTGACCTTTACAAATCATGTTCACATTATGTTATACATCATTGTAATTTCTGAACAGGTGTCTCATTGTAGAAAGTAATTGATTTTTCGAAGGTTTTCGCGATTGTGATTTTATCCCGATCAGGACTCTTATAGACAACAAGATTCGAGACATTGAGGTTGGAGTTTTTGATGGCCTGCACAATTTACAAGTGTTGTGAGTAAAATTTATTTTTGCTACTATACGTAATTACCGAATGCAATTTATTACATGGTTCTTTTTGACCACTTAACTATGCAAGAGACCTGTATATCGATTTAATAAAGACTTTTTAAAACAAAAGTTTCTCTTGAAAACTGAAAAGGGGCTTTCCAGAGGCCTAATGTTATGATATTAACAATGTTTTATTAATACGTACATTTCGATATTCAAATAAGAAAACGCAAAGTTATCAATACCGGTGTGTTGGCTCAGTCAGTAGAGCGTCCGCCTCACAATCGGGAGGTCGTAGGTTCGTACCCCGGCGTCATACCAAAAGACGTTAAAAGACGGGAGTAAATTCCTGCTACCTTGTTTGGCGTTCAACAATACGGGATAGAGCTCAGCGGCTGCCGGGCTCACGATCAAAAGAGAATTTGGGCAAAAAGAATTTCCATTTTCGGTTTAACTTCATATAATTTGGAATGGACTTTTAAAGATTATTATTGTATTATTATTATATTATTATTATTATTAGCGGATTTATATGATATTTCTAACTCCACTAAGACGAATAAATTCCTTGCTACTATAAGTTAATTTAAATGACATGTGATTTCTTTTTAGTAAGCCCTTCCAACAACGAAACAAAACAACAACAAAATCATATTTCTTCGATGCTAGATGATGAATAATACGATACTAGCAATGCTAATCTGCTGTACAATTTTTCCAATCTCTAGTGAAATATTAAACAAATTAGAGGTAGAAAACTATTAAGGTACCATCTTTGGACGTAAATTTAACAAAGGTAACCTTCTCTACACACATGTAAAATGTACAATGACTGCTTGTATATGCTACAGTCCACACACAAGCTGTATCTAGGTTACTAAAGTAAGAGATGAGCATCTGGAATGGAAGGGTCCTAGCGTAGGAGGCGTATAGCAGCTTTCTACTGTGTATGATCGAATCTCTTTGTTTCTAGCAATCCTTGCAGATACTTACACTTTAATACACCAGTTTACAGTTGTATCAGTGCGCATGCGCAGACAGTTGACCTCGGGTCATTGGCCCCGGAACGGGGCCAATAACCTCTGACCTCTGGTATTTATGCGTAAATTAAGATTGCGCCCATGCAAATGATGATGTGCGCGCACAACGCAGCGCGTAGGGCAGTGATATCATCAAAATTTGCATGGGCGTAATCCTAATTTACGCATAAATACATGACCTCTAGGACATTGGCTTTGTTTAAAATGGCGCACACAACTGTAAACTGGTGTATTCACCGGATAGAATACGAAATGATCTCGTACATATTATTTTTGATACAATGAAAAAAACTTGTCACAATATTTATCTCAATATGCTATGGTCAATATGGCTAAATTCTAGGAAGTTTTAAATGCTAAATAGATACAAGTATTCCTGATACTGAAGCGAGTTACGAATGTTTCACATGTTCCGACTTTTAACCGCATTACGCCTTAACATCGCATATTCTTGTGTTTCCCAGAAATTTGTCATCGAATTCCATCCAACATTTAGAGCGTGGGGTATTTTCTGACCTCCGGTCTCTTCAGTATCTGTAAGTGCAACTCAATTTGGGGGGGGGGGGCAAGTCTAAGTTTTTTCCTCTATTTCACAACCCACATGTAATGTTTTAGTATATAACTAATTCAATTCAATTCAATTCAATTCAAGCTAAATCATATTGATTAAAATCCAATCAAATAGGGTCACTTTCAATTTTGTGTGTATAACATTGGATAACAATTTCAAAATTATAGTGTAAGATAGATAATTTGTTTGTTTTGCGATATTTCCATTTTTTCATATCAATACAAAGAAACATCATACAAATAAATATAATGAATAGCATGAAAGTTTGACAAAATATGTTTCTAGTTGAAATACAAGTTTCTTATATACAAAGGAAAAAAGCAGGAGACCACAGTCATGTCGTAAGCGTACATACCCGATTGGCCCCGAGTCAGGCCACGGGAAAGATACGTAGTCTCGTCAGGCTACACCCCTTTAAAGTAATTTTCTCAGACCTACTAAGCTCCACCCTAAAAAATGCTCCATATTTCATTCATCTTGTGACATCATCTGTCAATTAGTAGTGAGTTAACAAGAGACAGCGGTATGTAGCTTCACTAGAGCTGACCACTTGTTTACAATATACCATACAATACCAACATTATAGGAGTTGCTATGTCAGACGTGCTGTAGCATCACCAGGAAAAGAAAGGAAATGTGGAGGGATTGTATGAAAGAATAAAATTCTTTTGTTAGCATGTGCTGAGCTTGGGGAAGTTACATACCACTGTCTCTTGTTAGCTCGCTAATGATTTACAGATGATTTTACAAGACGAATGAGATATGGAGCATTTTTTTAGGGTGAAGCATAGCAGGTCTGAGAAAATTACTTTTAAGATTTTTTTTTTAATCCGTGAAAGATATTCAGATGTTTGAATTACAAAGTAAGAGTTGTATGCAGCCCTGCACATCAACAGGAATCAACTTATATTTGGGTGTCACGCGACTTTTAAGATATCCACTCCCTAAGGTGTTCGTTGTTCCTTCATTTTCTATAGGGATTTGATGAACAACAATATCCAGCGTATGGAAGGATTTACGTTTGAATCTCTGAAGTCTCTCCAGTATCTGTAAGTAATTTCAATATCATTTACTTTGCTTGATATTTACATCCGTGGACAAGGGATTTTTAGCGATGTTTGCCCCGTGATCTGTACCCAGGTGTATGAAACGGGCAACTTACTGACAGCATTGGGATAGTATTAAATTACGACACATCAAGATGAGCAGTATTAACTCATAGCCTGCCATAAGGATGCATGCACGCTATTTTTATAGTGCCATGTACACGTCAGCAAGCTACTGCTCCTCTGCTTTTTGCATGTCGGCACGCATGCCCATTGGACTGTGCCTAGTGTTTTGCACGCGCAAAAGTATAGTACCATCGCGTTAATCCGATTATCTCGTTATAAACTTGGCACTGCGGGGATTTGGGGCTTGGCACAATAGAATAACCCAGTGTAATACCGATGGCAACTATTAATAGGATCTACAACCACATAACAGTTGGATTTGTGGTGGTATAGTTACTCATTCACCTGACTCTCAATCCAGTGATTGAGGGTGCGAATCTCAGCCCACCACTAGCATCCATTGGCGAGACTTTAATCCACATTTGCCACACTCCATCCTGGTATAAATGGGTACCCTGCAATCGCTGGGGTTATAATGATTACAGCAGGCGCGGATCCAGGATTTCTTAGGGGGGGGCCAAATTTGAAATTATGCGAGCCAAATATTGGTTCGTAATGGTGACACCGGCAGTGGCGAAATGAGCAAAAAACGTTTGTTGACGGGGGGGGGTAGACAAAAAATTCTGCACCTACCCAATCTTACATGCAGGCCCCCCTGAACGTTTACCAAAGTAGGTGGGGGAGGGGTAGAGCGTTACGTAAATTGGCGTGGGGTCTAGAAGCGAAGCCCCTGCGGCGGTCAAGGTGTGGAGCCTCCAGAAGCTCAGGGGTATAGGCATTTAATTACGGTCAGATGAGCATATTTGAAACGTTATTTGTGATACTGGCAGGACACAAATTGGTGTTGGGTCCAGGGGGCAGAGCCCCCGGAAGCTCAGGGGTTTTGGGCAATAATTAAGGTCAGATGAACATATTGTTATACCTTATTTTGTGACACTGGCACGTCACGAATTGGCGTGGGGTCCAGGGGGCGGAACCCCCGAAAGCTCAAGGATTTTAAGCATTACATTATCGTGAGATTAGCATCCAGGGGTCCGCCTTAGGGCCCTAGGTGGAGTCCAGGGGGCAGAGCCATCGGAAGTCAAGGGGTTTTAGGCATTTAATTACGGTCAGATGAGCATACTTTGATACCTTATTTGTGACACTGTTAGGTCACTAATTGGTGTGGGGTCCAGGGAGCGGTGCCCCCAGGAGCTCAGGAGTTTTAGGCATTAAATTACCGTCAGATGAGCATCCAGGTGCCCGCCTTAGGGCCCTAGGTGGAATCCAGGGCCCACTGGAAGCTGAGGGGTTTTAGGCATTTAATCATGGTCAGATGAGCAAATTATAACACCTTATTATTTTGTGACAAAGGCAGGTCACTATTCTTTCTTTCTTTCTCTATGAATTTGCCATTTTCCAACAAACCAATAAAAAAAAGTATAATTTACTAAATATTGAGGAAATATCTAGGAAAATTATGTCATTTCAGCAACATTTGTTAATCACCGGTATCGAATTAAAAATAATCCACCTTTAAAAAAAAATGGGGGCATCTGTCACCCCCCCCCCCCCCCCCTCCCCCGATCTACACCTTGTTTGAGGGGAAAATCGTAACTGATCTTCCCTACCTTTCTTCTTTCTTTTTTTTCTTTCCCTTTCTCTCCTCTTTCCTTTCTTTCCCCTTCCTGCTCTCTGTTTTAGGTTTGCTGGGGGGAGGCAAGGGCCTTTCGCCCCCCCTCCCGATCCACACGTTGTTGGCGAGATTAATCGCAACTGTTCTCCCCTTCTTTTCACCCTTTTCTTTTCTTCTTCCTCTGTTTTGTTCCCTTTAAGCTCTCCTCTTTCCCTTTTCCTTCCTTCCCCCTTTTTGGGGTCGGGGTGGGGGGAGAGGCAAGGGCCTTTTGGCCCCCTCAACTACAACTTGTTGGCGGGAAAATTGCAACTGCTACCCCCCCCCCCCCTTCTTTTCTTTTCTTCTTCCTTTTTTCCTTCTCTTTATCTCCTCTTTTCCTTTTTTTCTCTCCCTTCTCTCTTACTTTTGATGCGGGGGGGGGGGGTAACAGGAGGGAGGTAAGGCCCTTTCGGCCCCCCCCCCCCCCAATCTTCTTCTTTTTCCCCCTTTTTTTTTCTTCTTCCTCTTCTTTCTCTCCTCTTTCTCTTCTTTTCCTTCTCTCTCTCTCTATCTCTCTCTCTCTCTCTCTCTTTTGCGGGGGGGGGGGGTAAGTCCCGCTCGCCCCCCCCCCCCCCCTGGATCTGCGCCTGGATTACAGGGCCTTTAGGGTGGACACTATTGTGCCTGATGATTCTCCCTTGGGCAAACACAATTATTCTTAGTAGAAGTAGTAGTATTAGTAGTACACTGTAGACAAAGTAGCTCTTGTTTACCAACATGTTTTTGTCCCAAAAATCCAAACAGATGCACTTACACATATATGTTTACGTGTTAGTATTCAAACACTTAAAACGCAGGTAAATTAACACTTATTGTTAAACAATCAGTTTATCCGCTTGTTATCGATCAGTTCTGTCTCTTACTGTTAGATAGTGAATGGTTTATCCGTGGTTGAAATTAGTTGAAACTCTAAAATGTAAAGTGTAGACACGTATAAATTATGCCCCATTACCAGTTCTTGTCATACTCTCTTTGGAAACAGGTTCTTCCATGATTCTAAATTAGGAGCAATCGATCGTAATGCACTTGCTGGACTCACATCAGTAAAGAAAATGTAAGAAAACTTCTTCATTTCAGTTCTTAGTTTTGTTATTTTCTTTCATTGTCCTTCTTTTCTAGAGCTGATGACTACAACCCGATGGCATTTGCATCGGGTTAAACGAAATGCACTAAGTCTAAATGTACAGATTAAAAGAAATGGTTTTCCTCACAATTCTAACTATCGTTGCTATCTTTCATGTGAATTTAAATGGTCTTTGTAGCGAGGGATCATCATTGATGTGAATTATGCATCAATTATATCTCTGAAACGCTAAGCATAGGCGACGTAGGACTTAAATCATTAGATTTCATTTCCAATCACAGAAAGGAATGAGGGACTTTTCGTTAGAAGTGTGCAACATTTAATAAAGACTAACCCAGGCGCGGTCTTAGCATATGAATGGGGGTGGGGGGTTAGTTGCGGTTCATGCATTCAAGTGCTTCGCTTAAATCCATTTATATTCTTCTGGGGAGGGGCTTGATCATTGGCCCCCAGACCCCTTATAGAATCGCTAATTCATTACCATTTTCTCTTATCATCCAGGTCTACATCTGATAATCGCCTGTGTTGTCTTCTACACGACAACGTGAACTTTACCTGCGCTAGGACAGCACAGACGAGTCAATTGGACACATGTAGCAGGCTCTATCCGAACTGGGCCTTGAGGATTGCAGGATGGGTCATGGGGTTGTTGGCTTTGGGTGGTAACGGGGTCGTTCTCTTTGTTCGGCTACGGGATAGAACGAAGCAAACATCTAAGGTTCAGAACACCATGATTGGTAGCTTAGCAATGGCTGATATTATGATGGGACTGTACATGATCATCATCACTTCTGCTGATGTTTACTACGGTGATGAGTTCTATCTCAGTGCTCCTCAATGGCGGGATTCCCACATGTGTCGATTTGCTGGATTCCTCGGGTTTCTCTCGAGTGAGGCATCGGTCCTTACCTTGACCTTGATCACTGTTGATAGGTTCATTAGCATCATGTTCCCCTTCGGGAAGCTTAAGATTCAACACAAGGGGTCCTTGATTCTCGTCGGGGCAGTCTGGTCATTTACCATAGTGTTAAGTCTGGGTCTTGTGATTGCTACATCTGACAGATCAGATGTACTATACGGACTTTCCGACGTGTGCCTTGGTCTCCCGCTCCATGTCGAGGCACAGAGCACAGGAATGCTGGTTGTTAGCGGAAGTGCATGGTTATCTGAGTTAAAAGTGAACTACGTGACCACCAACATAAGTTCTAAAGCCCCATGGTTATTCTCAATTATAATCTTCATTGGATTAAATTTGGTTTCCTTCGCTTTCATCTTGGTCTGTTACATCCTGATCTTCATCAAGGCCAGTCGGTCTTCGGCTAAAGTCCGTAACAACCAATCCAATAAGCAAGAGACCAAATTGGCCTTTCGTATGGCACTGCTCGTTGCTACCGATCTCGCCTGTTGGATGCCAGTTATCATAATGGGCATCCTTTCTCAAACTGGCGCCGTCAAACTCGATCCTTCTCTCTACGCCTGGACAGTGATCCTCATCGTCCCCATCAACTCATCCATTAATCCCTTCCTCTATACATTCATCATGTACATCGATGGCAGGAAAGAGAGAACAAGCAAAGACAGCCAAGTCAACTTACCACACTGTAAAAAAGAATTTGTTCATTGGTAATTTTTACGTATTTTTTCCATGTAGAATTTACTTGAAAACATTAGTTTTGCCACTTACGCACTAAATTTAAGTCTTGCTAACTCAAACTTTCAATTTAGTAGAACATACGTGGAATATTTAAGTAAAATCAAATACATAAGAACTCTACGTAATTTCAGCTTGTATTAATTTAGTAATTTTAACTCAAAATCAGAAATTATACGTATTACTCAAACAATTTATGTTGATTATTCTTATCTTTTTAAAGTAAGGACCGATGCAGTGCGTAATAGAAATATTTACATAATTTATGAATATTCATTAAGACCAAATTAAACTCTTTTTTAAATAAAACAATTCTTTTTTGTGGTTGAATGAAAATTTAAGGACTTTAAAACATTTACTTATTAATTTTACATGGCTAAGCAAAGACAAGACAATTTTTAATTGTTACCCAGTTCAAAACAAATCAAAACTTGATATTTCAGGAAATTGTCAACCAATTTTCCTTTTAAGATGCTACGATCAAGTATATATAAAATTTGGAGCCTTTCAATATGTGTCGAATTGAAGCGTATGTAATAGTTTGTGATGGTGGTAGATATATATATATATATACGGTTAAATCTTAAATAGAAGGTAGTTTTAGTGATTAGTGATTAATCTTAAATAGAAGTAGTGAATGATTAGTGGATGTTACTTGTTAGATTAGATGAGTACCAAATCGTGCAATATGTAATCCTATCATAGCTTTTTTTTTATTATCTAAAATGATTACAATACTTAAATTATTTACGTTAATGTAACTCGATTTAACTGAGTAAAAATTTATTCAGCAAAATAAGTAAATTCTACTTAAGATGCCGTAGGTAATATTTACTTAATAAGAATAAGGCAATTCTTTTCCTCAATTTCATTGAGTTATTTCGACTATTATTCTTTTACAGTGCAGGAGATCAAACTAACGCAGTGGAAACCAACCTCCTGTCAACAGTTACCGACAATAAGACCAAAGATCCAATCTCTCGCTTGCAAGGTAGAGGAGTTTAGCCATCGCTTGACAATTGTTATCATTATTATCTTCTCTTTCAAAATATTGTTATTAACATGATGCCCAATTATAGTATATTGATAAGTATTATGTTTCCTACAAGATGCTATATACATATATATTGTTTGTTTTCATTTTTATCAGCGCTCTGATCAGTAGTCTGTAAAAGCGCTTAATAAGAATCAATAATTGTTGTTAATAAAAATCATATATTGTTGACAGAACACGCTCTTCATACTAAAAAAAAACCTCTGCAGAAATATTTAGGATCTGTTGATGGAATCTACAGCCGACGGAGCTGGTCGTCTAATGGACCGTCAATATCACACTCGTGGGCCTCCTAACAAATCATTTTTTAGGGTTCACTCCCGCCCCAACCCCTCCCCCCCCCCCCCCCCCCAACCCCCCTCCCCCCACCCCACCCCCACTCCGGGATCGGAGGGACCGCATTCATGTTCCCCAAATCTCCGGTAAAGGGGTGCTTTTCACGCAACAAAGTCCAGCTCGTAATACACAAAACACCGGCCCGTAATAAAATTTGCACACCGGACATGGGGGGGGGGGGTTCAAAGGGAGGAAACATGCATACGTGTACTCTAAATACCACTGAGTTGGGGAGGGGGGTGTTCACTAGACCGACGCCTCACGAGACCGAAAGCAATAATAGCCGACATGTTTTTAAATATTTTCTTTGTACTTTTTTGTTGGGGGGGGGTGTCTCTCTCGTTGATGTCGGTCCCATGGATCTTCATGGATCTTTTAGCGTCCTTTTTCTCTTGCTTTATGTTTTCGCAATGTATTTTCTTGATTTGTCGGTCTCATTGGCTGTCATTCTGATGGGCTATGGGCCTCGTGAATCTTATGTCAATGTTGGTCTCGTGGGCTGTCGGTCTAATGGGCTATGGGTCTCGTGAATCTTGTGTCAGTCGATCTCGTTGGCTGTCGTTCTAATGTGCTATGGGTCTTGTGAATCTTGTGTCAGTCGATCTCGTTGGCTGTCGGTCTAATGGGATATGGGTATCGTGAATCTTTTGTCAGTGTTGGTCTCGTGGGCTGTCGGTCTAATGGGCTATGGGTCTCGTGAATCTTGTGTCAGTCGATCTCGTTGGCTGTCGGTCTAATGGGCTATGGGTCTCGTGAATCTTGTGTCAGTCGATCTCGTTGGCTGTCGTTCTAATGTGCTATGGGTCTAGTAAATCTTGTGTCAGTCGATCTCGTTGGCTGTCGGTCTAATGGGCTATGGGTCTCGTGAATCTTGTGTCAGTCGATCTCGTTGGCTGTCGGTCTAATAGGCTATGGGTCTCGGGAATCTTGTGTCAGTCGATCTCGTTGGCTGTCGGTCTAATGGGCTATGGGTCTCGTGAATCTTGTGTCAATGTTGGACTCGTAGGCTGTCGGTATATCTTCAGGTAAATAGTAACTGAAATGTGGGGTGAAGATTTTTATTCAAAGTCACAGATGTAAAAAAAAAAAAAAAATAACAGTACCATCACCCCATCCTGACTCCCTGAGTCTGCCAGGGAAAGTTACTATGCTACAATAAAAAAAAATGCAATTCCTGTTCACTCATGTATACAACGTTGGTTTAATAAACCATAAATTCCCTCAGCAAATCATGAATGTATCATATCACCCTCAATTTTGTAAGCTCCAAAGGATTTACCTCTCACAAATTGGAAGGCTAATTCCTGCGCAACCTAATTGTCATACCCTTTAGAAAAGTGAGCAGTGCTCACCCGAACATGAATTATTTTTGGACTTTTTGGTGTCATATGACAGTTGAGTTTATGGGTTTTCCATACAGTCATATAAAAAAAATTCCCCCGGAATCATATATTTTTTATTCGGCAGCCATTTCAAAAGTGTATAGTTTTTTGTGGGACGCACTGTATAGAGTAATTTTTTTTCCAGTTGAATAATGACAAATGTGAATTTTTATAAATTATTTATATAATAATCAATAATTATGAATATACAATATTCAGAAAATAGAATCAATTCTTCAAAGTTCATAAAAGATTTTGTGAAATGTCGTGCACGCAATATGATACAAATCATATAACCTGGGCAAAGGCATGGGGAAATCAAGTTTTGGGGGATAAAAAGGGAAATTAATGGGATTAAACTATATAAAGCAATTGATTAATAGTGACTACATGACGTCACAAACTGATAACCGTAATGAAAATTTGTGTTGTGACTCTCACTGTTCCATAGTTTTACATACTTTTTCAAAAATTCATAACTTTCTTATTAGTTATCCGATTTTGCTCAAACTTTTTTTGATTGGCTTGTCTGATTTTTCCGCTTCTATTGAAAGTAAGTTATTTTTGGAGTGGACTTGCTCTTTAAACACAATGTATCTCAATGTCCATAGCTTGTTTCATTAAATATGTATCTTATATGGAGGGAGATATATATATATATATATATATATCGTGTTCTGTTGTAAATACATTTACATCGTGATATATAATAAGTAATGATTATAAATGTTTCTAGATTTTGCTTGTCATGATGAAAAGGTCAAGACAAGCAAATTCTTCAGAAAAGCATTTATATTTTATAGATTGTTTTTTATACATATTATATGCATCATATTGTGTGGATAATATGACAATATGTCATCCAATTTTTATGAGCAGACTCGTGCAAATTATGTTAGTCCGAAATAAAATAAAAGAAAAAATCAAACCTCTGCTCTATCTTGCAAGAATCTAATTTAAGGGTATTTACGCTATTACTATCATTATGTTACTGTTGTTCTCAATTTTTTTTCGGTATTCTTAAACGAATGCTCTGTGGTGTATTATGGTGAACATGCTATGAAAATCAATATAAGATTTCGTTTTGATATTTTCTTATTTTCTCTCTCGATTCGCAATTATGTAGCATCCGTATTTATAAGATTGTGTAACATTTAACTATTGCAGAGGGGTACATCGCATACATCTTTTAAAATGGTGTTCTAAATATCTTAATATTATGTTTTTTATGAAACCACATTATATACATGTACATCGATAGATATAGATATAGAACGATATTCAATTGATTCAACTGTTAAGGCATGTGTATACGCAATTTGGAAATGTATTGTTTTTACTAGAGGAGTAGTTATATTATAATTCTAATCAAGAGTATAATCTTCTATTTGTTTCATTACAGACCGTGTTCATTGTTAAAGTCGACGTATAGCGGCTGACTGCACAAATAGACAGCAATCTTATTTATGAACACGGTCTGCTTTATGTTTGGCTTCGTGGCTGTACCGTAAATTGTAATGGTAATATTAATCATGAAGGGATTTTTTTATTTATTTTTATTAAGCGAATAAATAGAACTTAGATTCTTTAGTAATTACTTTATGTGTCAGGTTTATCTTTTGTTTAAGTTATCAACTTCGTCATGCAAAACAGTCACCAGTAACATGATGAAGGGTTGCGTCAATTTAGGCCAATTATTTGTAAGGTTCATAGTAGCATGGACCTACTAGCTATATGGGTTCTTATGGGGGTTTTGACACCGTTCCAGTGTTTATTGTCAATCACCAAGGGCGGCCATCACTTTACAACCTGCAGATCTTATGCAATGCACTGTGCCCTATATCTAGCTGAACCTGAAATATCAACGGAACTGCATTTCCCCTCACCCTCAAGGCAAATTCAACTATACAACTTTCAAAAGTAAAATTGCTTATATACCTTGACCATGAACATTCAAAATGGTTGCCGTTTCGGTGACAAACATTTAACAATTTCTTATCCATGGGTTGGGGGGGAAATTTCAAGGTTATGGCAACCACTTTTGATTTGAAAAGTTGCTTAGTTGAATTTGTTATGTCAGAAAACATATTATTAAACACTAAAATCATTAGAATCGGACGATGTTAACTGTGTTGGTGAAATTGACCACCAGTCTAAAGTGCATTGACCCTTTTTTACCATAGCTTCCTCATTTAAAGGTAAAGACCAGTTATGGTCATGCGATTGCATTGTGAAAGAAACGTTGTGGAATCGATCAGAAAAGGTTGATCATCTAGCATCTAGCATCTGCAAGGTTCTGGAATCATCAAAATGATAAGAAATTTGGCCCATTCTTCGTAAAGTTACAAGCACTATACACAGAATGATGTATATGGGACTACCCTATATCTCTCACAGACCATGAGAGAAACAAATTTACCAAATATATGAATTAGTAGGCGGTTTCCCGGCAAATTTTTTATCATCATGTATTAGTCAAAACATATTCTTTCACATGATTGGTAATGGGAGCTTCCATTTCATTTTTTGAAATTGGGGCGTTTCCAATACTGGTCTTTACCTTTAAAGTCGGAGGTATAACAAACTATACACTTTTAGAATCCTCATGACCAGGCGAGTAATTTGATATGCAATTTGATAAGGTTAACTATGTTGGTGAATTTGACCCCCAGTCAAAAAGTGCGTTGACCTTTCAACGTTTTTTTTTTTTACCATAGCGCCCTCATTTAAGGTCGGAGGTATAGCAAACTATACATTTTTGGAATGCTCATGACTAGATGAGTAATTTGATATGCATATCGACACGATTGGAATATATTAGAATTTCGACCCCTCTTTGACCTTTGTTGGCCCCTCACGAAAATGCCCGGGATTTTCAAGGGGGCAGTCCAAGTCAAAATTGTTCGGTATTCATCAGGGAACACAAAAACACTTTCTAACCTTTATTCCCAGAGATTGGTCACGGGACCTACAAGGCTGGTCTCCTACTAATAAACCAGTTGTGTGTAATTCGGTAATTTTGGTGCCGAGTTCGAGCATGAATGTTACCATACAAGTTGCAAATTTTAATGTTAATGAGGCTTAATTATACAAATTCATACAAATTTAACATATTGTTATTTTACATATAACAGTCGATTCACCCTCTCATTCCAACGTTAATTTAAACACAATGTGATGTCACATTACTAGTTGATAAACAGCATTAATCAATATTATTTTGGTTATATTATGCAAATCTATGCAAATTGCTGTGAAAATGAATGTCCTGAAGAATGGATGGTCCTGGATGGTCCTGGGCGGTCCGGGAGTCGACCCCGGATGTTTTTGACGGTCAAAAACTGCCGGGGTGGTCCGGGACGGTCCGGGACAATAGTTTGATCCGGGGTGATCCGTGTAGCCACCGTGCTGGGTCCGGGGTCATCCGTAGTGGCGCCGGGGCGGTCCGTGTTGATCCGTGGCAGTCCGGGAGTGAGTTATTGACCGCCCAGGACCATCCAGGACCATCCAGGACCATCCAGGACCACCCCGGTGCCAACACGGTGTCAACACGGACCGAATCCCGGATCACCCCGGATGGGGTCCGGGATGGTCCGGGACGATCCGGGACGTATATGGGACTGTAGCTTAAAAGCATCACACTTTTTTGAACAAAACATCCCGGACCATCCCGGATCACCCCAGACCATGGTCCGGGATGGTCCGGAGTGGTCCGTGCTCGTCCGTGCTGGTCCGGCTTTATATGGGACTGGGGCTTAAGAAGAAGAATGTTCAGCCAATGCATTCTAACGACTATGACATATAGATCAGAAACATGGTCATTGACAAAGGATCTAGAACAGAAGCTTGTGACTACTCAAAGAGCTATGGAGAGAAAGATGTCGCATTTATATATCTCTGCGAGACAAAATCAACCACAAAGTCATACGCCAGAAAACAAAGGTTAAAGACATCATGGAGAAAGTAAGAGAATCAAAGTGGAGATGGGCTGGGCATGTAGCAAGAATTCAGGACAATAGATGGACAAATCGTTTAACAGAATGGCAACCAAGGGTGGGAAAGAGAAGAAGAGGAAGGCAGAAGAGAAGATAGAGATGACATATGTGTTCGTTACTGTTTAAAACATTTCATGAGCTAGCACCTAAATATAATGACTGATAAATTTGTATTTAACGAAAAGTGTTACGGGCTAAGATATAATGACAATTTAATGCTTCCGAAACCAAGAACCAATCAGTGTAAACGTACATTCTTATATCGGGGATCCGTGTTATACAATGAACTACCTATTAAGCTCCGTCAGTTAGGTACACTAAATTTGTTTAATAAACATGTTCAAAAATACTTCAATTATTTTGATATTTAAATTTCGCAATCCCATTGGCTTTTGCCATAAACATAACCAATTTAATAACAGACTAAATTAGATAATGTGTAGAATATTCTAAAACTAATTAAGTTAATTGTTAGCAGGGTGGGTGATAAGGGTGGGGTCGTATTTTGTTACATTAGGGATGGTAGGGGATATTTGAATAGATTTTAATGCTTTTTGTTAGTGTTTTTTGTTTAATTTAATTTAATTGACTTAGTTAAGTTAAGTACAAGTACAATGTTGTTGTTTTTTTTAAATATTTTTTAATTACGACTTACTATTTTGTTATATCATTGCTTATTATAGTATCATTATATATATATATATTGGACTCCATGGAAGAACAGAGCCATTAGGTTAATGGCTCTGAAATGGACTATCCAACCGTTTTATCATTCTATCAATGTTATATAAGTCTTTGATTTTGTTATATTGTGTTATTGTTTTTTATGATGATTTTCGGAAATAAAACAAACAAACAAACAAATACATGGGAACAGCCGCTTGGACTAGGACAGCTAGAGACAGAAGAGAATGGAAATTTCATGAGGAGCGCTTTGTCCAACGTCTGGATGAACTATAGCCTGATAGATAGATAGATAGATAAAAATTAAAAAAAAGCATTTAGAAAGAGAGAGGAGGAGGAGAGAGAGAAAAGGGAGACGAAAGAGAGAGAAAGAGAGAGAGAGAGAGAAGGGGCGAAAGAGAGAGAGAGACATACACCCTTCATTTCTCTTAGCGCCATTTCCTTGTCTTTCCCCCTTTCTCACCCGACTTTTCTCCCTCCCTCCCTCCCTCCCTCTCATTGTATCTAGGGTACGCTCACGGTTCCCTCTCTTTGAAAGCACCCCTCTATCTCCGGTGTGTAAAGTCAGTACGGGCCGGATTTTTGTGTATTACGGGCCGGACTTTGTTGCGTGAAAAGTAACTCTTTATCGGAAATTTTGGGAACAAATTCGGTCCCTCCGACCCCGGAGTGGAAGGGAGGGGAGGGGGGGGGGGGGGCTTTCTTCTTTATCTTTTCTCTTCTCTTTTCTTCTTTTTTCCTTTCTCTTCTCCTCTCCTTTTCTCTTCTCCTTTCTTTTTTTCTCTTCTTTTCTTCCTCTTTTTTTTTCTTCATTTTTTTTTTAAAATTAAAAAAAAGCATTTAGAAAGAGAGAGGAGGAGGAGAGAGAGAAAAGGGAGACGAAAGAGAGAGAAAGAGAGAGAGAGAGAGAGAAGGGGGCGAAAGAGAGAGAGAGACATACACCCTTCATTTCTCTTAGCGCCATTTCCTTGTCTTTCCCCCTTTCTCACCCGACTTTTCTCCCTCCCTCCCTCCCTCCCTCTCATTGTATCTAGGGTACGCTCACGGTTCCCTCTCTTTGAAAGCACCCCTCTATCTCCGGTGTGTAAAGTCAGTACGGGCCGGATTTTTGTGTATTACGGGCCGGACTTTGTTGCGTGAAAAGTAACTCTTTATCGGAAATTTTGGGAACAAATTCGGTCCCTCCGACCCCGGAGTGGAAGGGAGGGGAGGGGGGGGGGGGGGCTTTCTTCTTTATCTTTTCTCTTCTCTTTTCTTCTTTTTTCCTTTCTCTTCTCCTCTCCTTTTCTCTTCTCCTTTCTTTTTTTCTCTTCTTTTCTTCCTCTTTTTTTTTCTTCATTTTTTTTAAAAATTAAAAAAAAGCATTTAGAAAGAGAGAGGAGGAGGAGAGAGAGAAAAGGGAGACGAAAGAGAGAGAAAGAGAGAGAGAGAGAGAAGGGGGCGAAAGAGAGAGAGAGACATACACCCTTCATTTCTCTTAGCGCCATTTCCTTGTCTTTCCCCCTTTCTCACCCGACTTTTCTCTTCTTTTCTTCCTCTTTTTTTTTCTTCATTTTTTTTGCGCCGCCAATAGGGAGGGCTCCCCCCTGGATCCGCCACTGCTATATACAATAATTCAGATGTACTTATGATTTTGATTACAAAGTCATGAAACTGGATGAACGGAAAGTGATATTCATTGGAGTAAAATTATTTGTATGAATATAATATTCACATAATGGCCCCAGAAATGATTTTCAATACAGGAAACAAGCTGAATGAAAGTGAAATCGGAAGATACGATGCTGCTTTGATCGCACGAGGCTAAGGATTAATCCACCAGTCATGTAAAGAAGTGTATGTTACGGTCGAGGAGAAAAAAGCGAAGATGCTGCGTGGCCTTGGTATATTATATGCATCGGTTTGAATCATGCAAATTTAGCAGCTCGTGCGCAAAGGGGCGCAAAGCTGACAAACTGACAGGCGTAGCTAGTGTCAACCGCAACATTGGGAGAGAAAGAGAGAGAGAGGGGGCGGACGCGAGACAGGAAGACAGAGAGGGGGAGAGAGAGTGGTAGAGAGAGGTGGAACGATTGATAAAAGGAAAAGGATGAAAGAGACATAAAAACTGAGGATTGGTGGATCTCGAAAGGAATAGGCTATAGGAAGACAGTTGAGAGAGAGGAAGAGAGAGGTACGGGAGAGGGTGAGAGGGAATTAGGTGTGAAATAAACATGAGATTGAACATGGAAGGAGATAGAAAGAGAGAGAGAGAGAGAGAGGGGGGGGAGAGAGAGAGAGGGGGAGAGAGAGAGAGGGGGGGGGGACACAGAGGAAAATTTCAAGTAGAAAAATAAAACCTCATCAAAGAAACCAAATTCTGTTCATTAGCAAACTGCGGTCTCATTATAAATATTCACGACAGCATGCACGAACAGATTCAAGTCGATGGAAATACGATTTGGTCTTGCTGGACCAGTCTTAGCCGACCACAAAACAAAGAAAGACGGATGCGGAAGGAAGATGATAATAAAGAAGGACAAAAAAGGAGGAAGAAGAAGAAGAAAAAGAAAAAAAAGGAGGAGGAGAAGGAGGAAGAACAAGAAGAAGAAGAAGCTAGCCAGTAGAAGGATAAGAAGTAGAAGGATATAAGAAGTAGAAACAATAAGGAAGAAGAAAGAAACTGAAGAAATCTTCCACTAGTATATAGGATAATTTCTTGCCCTCAATTCTCTCAGATCATCTTTATATCGACACGGATTACATTAATCTCATGAAAAGCATTCTTAATTTTAGATGATCATGCCCCCATATGTTTTCAAAAAAGACAATTTTAGAGCGCGAGGAGGAGGGGGGCGGGGGGGGGGCGGATCCTGACCTTCTAAAACACCTCCCTGCTTAGTGTGTGTATCTGTGGGGGAGGGGGGATTCGGGGCAACCCACTAGGCGCTACCTATGATGTGTTCCTCATTTTATTCAGGTGACAAATACAGTTGCAACAAATTCTACCCTTCCTTCTTTTTATGACTAACTCTAGACCTTCTAAATCATTTTCCAGCAAGAGGTGAATGACCAGAAAACATCGATCGCATATAAAACTGTTCATTGGTTAATTTTCTAACACGCTAAATATAAATGAATTTGAAGGCAAATATTACAGGAAAATTGCTTGAACAAAAGATTTATTCCTCAGATTATTGCTCAACTTCAATGTTCTTACGATTAAAACATAGGCGAACAAGCTCAATGAACAGTTGGGTTAAAATCGATAAGATCAATACAATTGTATTGCGAATTACGCACATTGCGCATTCAAAATAACGGTTGTAAATTGTCGTTCAAACTCAAAGATCGAAAGAATTCCTGTGCGAGAAAAGGGTGAGACTTGCAATTACGGTACAACCGTTGTTTTACTTTACTACTTTATTCATATGAATATTTTTATAGTCAATACGATATCATATAGATTCATGTAATTAACATTCTTGATTATAATTCTCATCTGAAAATGAAGCGGGTTAAACTATGTGTGGGGCGTTGTGCGGAGTAGGAAATTGAATGTGAGATCTGTCCCATATGTTCAAATTTGTGTAGGCTATCTCATATTCATGGATTAACTGTAGCTGCGCATGTGCTGCATGTTATTCTATTCTAACTGACAATCCAGAGCTGATGCTGTTGTTGCGCCTGACTGTTTGGTGTTTTGTTGTGCTTAAGATGTTTTGCTTTATGGATGTTGCATAAAATAAACCACAACTCATTGCATCGTCATTGATTGCATAATCAGTACAGTACTAGGGGTGCTGGTCTAGCTAGACCTAGAAGGATCGTCCTCATGAACAAGGATATCCTCATAAACGCGGAAAAAATGTGTCCTGAAAAATAAGGGTTGTCTGCATTTTCGAGGACATTTTTTTTCATCGGCGTTCTGGGGGTTTCATGTTACAGAACGGCCTGCTGGCGATGCCAAAAATGGATTCCCCGGGGGAAAATAACCCTTCACCGTCTACTTTTATGGGTTGTCCGTCTTCCCAAGGATTTACTGCTCGTAATGTGAAGGTCTCTGTACAAAGTCAATGTAAAATGCATCAAGAAAATCATTGCAGAGTCCGTTTTTTGCATCGCCAATGCACCGATCAAAAATATGAAACGTCTGCGAAAATGCAGACGGTCCTTATTTTTGAGGACGCATCAGTCCGTGTTTATGAAGACAATCCTCGTTTATGAAGACTATCCTTATTCTCAGACCAGCGCCCCTACTGATAATGAGATATTTTGTGTGAAGATCTGTTGCACTTTTTTCAGATCTGAATCAGTGAATGATCAATTATGCGTTCAATGACAACGAAGTAGCCTAAGTTTTTTGACTAGATTGATTGAAAGAGAAAGGTGAGAATAGATTTCAGCTGTTACTGTAAAAACACTTTGACACAGCAGTCACTTCTTCCTGGAATGAAAGAGTGGTGATTTATTTTCTGGACAATGTCAATGCTGATGTGGAAATGTTTATCTAGAAATTCAATTTCAAACTTGAACTGGTATGTTTTCTAATATCGATCTTGATCACTTTTTATTAAAAATATCAAATTATTAAAGTTCCAAGTACCATCTCCTTTTTTTTTTTTTACCAACTCTGTCGGGAACAAGCCAGGTCTGTGTGAAAAAGCGGGAAGGACTTTCATTTAACTGCGAGGTGCATTTGAAGGCGCCGACTTGTGCTTGTGACCTTGTTACAAATAATAGTAACACTGTCATTTTTAGAAGAATGTGTAAGATCATTAATGTAAATTAAAAACAGTAGAGGACCTAGGATAGAACTTTGTGGTACGCGGTGTGTAAAAGTTTGAATTATTATTATAAACTACATATTGAGATCTATTACAAAGATCACTTTCAAACCAAGATGACAGACAAATTGGAGTGGTGAGTCAACACACAGATTACTGAGCTGGGAGACATTGCCAGGCATAGTGCCAGATGGAGGGGTATAAATCGAAAGTTTAAAAAACTTTTAAAAAAATAAAACGGGAAAACAAAACTGTCCAATTCAAAATGGAATCCACCATGGGCGGTCGGATACCGGACGGTTAAACGTTTGACTACAGCACTAGACAGAATAGGATTTTTCCATAATTGGGTTGTGAAAAAACAAATTTGCAATAACTTTTTTTTTTTTTAAACATCACTTTATTGTTCAACTTGCACAACAAAGGAGAAGATACAATAGCCCAGGACAATTCCATTTTACTGGAAAATGCAGGGCATTAAAAGTACATACAGTGTATAATGTTATCATCGTCTTCATGGACAAAACAAAAATTAACTAATTTTACAACATAGTGAAGACTGAGGAGTTATGGATATTCCTTAGCTATAGATGAAATAAGAGGAGCTAAATATTGAAAATTCATTTGATATATCAACTTAATTATTACGAAGCATACATAATGAGTATTACAAGAGTTTCAGTTGAGTTAATGTTTAATACAAAGTGGATTCTGTCAGTGCTAGGGAATGAAAAGAGGTGAGCAATAGAAAGAAATATAAGACTGGTTACAAGATATATTAACCAATTTGTGTGTGTGTCTGTGTGAGTAATTAAATCCCTTACATACTTCAAATGCAAAGGGGAATTTTAGTTTCCCATTTATTGGCATTCTTTGAGTAGTAGATGACAAACAAAGAAACAATAGAGAGTTTGGATAGATTCTGTCGAACTTGTTTCAAGTTGACAGGTTTTCCAATTTCTTTCAACAGCTGCTTTAGTCTCGTCGCATTTTCTGGCGAAATATGACCTCTAGAGTCGATTTCCAAAGGAAGATACACCACAGAATATCCATTAGGCCATTCAAAAAAAGATACATGTTTAGCCGCGTCCCCGCCCGCTTTCTTTTTTTTTCTTCTTTAGGGGCCGCCTTCTATTTTTTATTTATTTATTTTTTATTTTTTTTTTTTTTTTTAAGAAGAAAAATAACATGAAAAACACTGCTAAAATGGATCTATTTCTGATTTAATAACAAAACAACAAAAATGTTGGCAGCCATCTTGAAAAATAGCCCGACTGTCAGGGAAAATGTACCGAGCGGCCATTTTGAAAGGAAAAAAAAAGGGCCTCCTCCTTCCGATTTTTAAAAAAAAAAGAGGACGCTAAACATGTTTTTTTCCTTTTATTTGGCCTTAGCCTGTATCTGTAACTAACGGGGCATATTTGTTCGATTTATATTCATGTGCCTTAACTACATTCATTTCAAAGGGAACTGAAAATTCAAGTATGAGGATTTTCTTTAAGTTCTTCAAAAAAACACAAATGTCTGAGATGAGGTTGGTTTGGGTACACCCTAGTGGAATTGTGGAGATGCCTTCTTTTGTCCATCGCTCTACTTTCAGGTCTGTGTACATAATAGTGTCGCTAAGAGAAGCGATGCCTTCTTGAATAATTTCAGCAAGGTACAAAAGTATGTTGTCATGGCGCCAAGTATAGCATCCCTCATCAAGTGACACAGGGCATGCGTTTAATACATTGTGTACTGTTGCTAGATAGTCTAGGTTGCATCTCTATGATTGAAAATTTTCTTGAGGAAAAATTAAATTTCAGATTTTTGATTTTTTTTTAGAAAAGAGCAAGTTGGAGTGTAGTCTGCAAGATATGTTACGGAGTTGCCAATTTGGTTTAATTGATCGCGACTTCAAAAATTCATAAATCTCTAAATTTTAATTGATTTGCTCGAGCTTTCACTGACATGTTCCATTCATTTTTCTGCTTTAAAAAATATTAATATCAGGGTGTATTTCCCCTTTAATTATAAGAATGTTAATATCTTACATGTAGCAAGTGTACCAAAGAAAGGTGTTACAAATAATTGCTGCTTGTGCTGTTTTCAGGCAACGACTGATCCAGAGTCTAACATCTCTGACAACAGTTTAACGATCGTTTTGATTCAACACCAGCTTCATTATGAGTGTCGATGAAATCTGCGAGAACACCAAGATGGGGAGGGAGTACGCTCTCCTGGGAAACTACGAGACATCGCTGGTCTACTACCAAGGGGTGCTCCAACAGATCCAGAAGCTCCTGACATCTGTCCATGAACCCCAACGCAAGCACCAATGGCAAACTGTAAGAACGCAATCAAGTTTTTCTCCTTGTGTAATGCTGTTTTAGGCTTTTGGCATCCAAAATTTACAGAAGGGAAGTAATAGTTCACATAAAATTGTTCATCAACATTTTTTTTAATTTTTTTTTAAAATTATTTTTATTATAATTTTTTTTTTTTTTTAATGAAACTTCTTCAATTTCATATTGTAAAAATGCTAGATTTCAAGGCAGAATTTTTTTTCTCCCTTTCTTTGTTTTCACTTGAGCTCTTTCAGAGCCTCGATTGTTAATTATTCACCACCGCTCTAAAGTTTACTTTTATTATTAATTAATTATTAATTATCAATTAATGCCTGTTTTATCGTAATGGCTGTTTACCATGTTTGCATCACTGTGATCAGTAATTGAAACAAATTATTAATCTTTTTAATTAATCACGTATTGCAATTCATATTGTTTTCTATAAAGAGTCAACTTTAAATTTACTCTTCTCGCTCTGCCTCTCTCTCTCTCTCTCTCTCTTTCTCTCTCTCTTTCTCTCTTTTTCTTTCTCTCTCTCTCTCTCTCTTTATTTCTCCTCACAGATAAGACAGGAACTGTCCCAAGAATACGAGCATGTGAAGAACATCACCAAGACCCTGAACGGTTTCAAGTCCGAGCCTGCTGCTCCGGAGCCAGCACCCAACCACAGGGCTGCCCCCTTCAGTCACCATCAGCATGCAGCCAAGCCAGCTGCTGCCGAGCCGGCAAGGGACCCAGATGTCTGGCCTCCACCAACCCCAGTGGACCACAGGTCAGTATTCAATTCAATAACTAACTAATAATAATAATAATAATACTCAGTTTTTATTTAGTGCTTATTACAATCACTATTAAAGCGCTTCCAAACTTGGAGATTTTTACCCTGGCTTTAGCTGTGCTGCCATTACAGTGCTCTAGCATTTCAAAGAATTAATTCCTGCCAGGTACATGTACCCAGATCAATGTCTTGCCAAATGACATTCGTGCCGCAGCGGGTCTCGAACCGTGGACCTTGTGATCGACAGTCCTGCAACTTAACCACTCGACCACGGCACCTCTATACCTCTATATTAATGCAACATTTCAAGCAGCATATAACTCTGCTATAAAGTACAATAGCTTATGTCACTTTTTTGATCACATCTAAATTTTGTACTCAACCAAGTTAATAAAAGACAAAATAGCAATGTGCTGTCACAACTCACATACATGTTTATGTAAATTTGTCACCATGTTTTCTCCGTTTCAGCTGCTTCCAAAATCATGTTATATTTTACATGTGAGTTTCACAGCTTTAATACTGTATTATGGGACCTGCACTGCAACATTTTAACTTGACATATAATTGATGTATGCCTGCAAGCTATATAGCTTTCTTTAACTTGGAGGGTGAAAATACTAGGCCCGAACTTTTTTTCTGCCATAAAGAAAAGGCTTTTCTTTGTGAAATCGAACACCAGAAATATTACTGTGAACTTGTATTGATATTAATGGTATTGATATTTACTATATTCATGATTTTTTTTAATAAGTTCAAATTAATTATTTATTTTACTTCCCACAGGCCATCCCCACCATACCAGAGGGCTGCACGCAAGGACCCGCCCCGTCGCAGTGAGCCTAGCAAACCAGCCAATCGTGCGCCTGGAAATGACCGTGGAGGGCGTGGCCCCTCAGATCGTCGTGGTGATGCTCGTTCCGGTGGTGGTGGACGAGGCGGAGCCAGGGGAAGTGATAAAGACAAGAATAGAGGTGGAAAATCAGATAAGGTACTAAAGCTTCTTTTCTTTTTTTTAAATTGTTATATTTAAGTGTTTCCTCAGATAAAAAGGAACCAAATTTTGTTCAATTTAAGCTGCAATATCAAAAGTGGTTAAAAAGTGAGTGGAATACACAAGGATACAGCTACACAAAATCTGTACGGCTATCTGTTGTAATCATGTTTCAACATTTTCTTGTCATTAATAAATGGACTTTCTAGGAGTAATTAAAATTGCATTTTTCTCAATTTTTCTTTTAAATCAAATTCTTTGGTCTACATTGTTCTGATCTGCTTTTTCACGTCCCTATCCTTCTCTCTTTATGTATATTTTCCATCTTCCTTTCTCTCTTTCTCTTTCTTCCTTTCTCTCTTTCTCTCTTCCTTTCTCTCTCTCTTCCTCTCTCTCTCTCTTTCTCTCTTCCTTTTTCTCTTTCTCTCTCTTGTTTTCTCTTTCTCTCTTCCTTTGTCCTTCTCTCTTTTCCTTTCTCTCTCTCTCTCTCTTCCTCTCTCTCTCTCTCTCCCTCTCTTTCCTTCCTCTAACTCTCTCTCTTCTTTTCTCTCCCATGTAGGACAAGAAGGCCCCATCAGGCGAAGAGGGTGACGAGAAGAAGTTTGACCCAGCTGGTTATGACAAAGATCTGGTGGAAAATCTAGAAAGAGACATTGTACAGAGGAACCCAAATGTTCACTGGTATGTGATTTTTGTTTTGAAACGCATTTACTACATGTATGTAATTTCTTGCAACAACAATAATAGCGAAACCTGTATATAAAGACCACCAGACGGAGACAAGAAACATGTCCTTTAGAAGCAGATGGTCTTCATGGACAGGTTCCTTAAATAAATGTTTCAATGTAATTCACAAATTAAGGAGATGAAAAATACGATCTTTATAGATTATAGATAGGTTGTCTTTCATTACAGGTGGTCACTAAAGCAGGTTCGACTTTACTGATTTCTGTTCGTTTAATGATGATTATTTGTCACAGGGCATATTATTGCCTAAAATATACAAATTAAATTAAAATATCAAGGTAGTTCCCAGACTAAATGAAATTTCATGAAATATTCATTTATCATGCTTTATTATAATGGAAAAAATAAAGGAAAGTTACAAATAACTCCAATGATTGAAAAATACTTAAACATAAAAAAAATACACTGCAATACAATACAGAAAAAATGCACATTCAAGTAACTATTGCACTATATCAACATTTACAAGACATCTTTCAAACTTTATTTTAAATGTTGACATTGTCCGGCAGAATTGTGTTTATGTGTGTATTCATGTTTATGATGATGTTTTTGTCTGTGTTTACTCCAGGGCTGATATCGCTGGCCTGACCGAAGTCAAACGTCTGCTAGAAGAAGCCGTGGTTCTTTAAATGTTGACACTGTCTGGGCAGAATTGTTTCTGTGTGTATTCATGTTCATGATAATGTTTGTGTCTGTGTTTACTCCAGGGCTGATATCGCTGGCCTGACCGAAGTCAAACGTCTGCTAGAAGAAGCCGTGGTTCTTTAAATGTTGACACTGTCGGGGCTGAATTGTTTCTGTGTGTATTCATGTTCATGATAATGTTTGTGTCTGTGTTTACTCCAGGGCTGATATCGCTGGCCTGACCGAAGTCAAACGTCTGCTAGAAGAAGCCGTGGTTCTTTAAATGTTGACACTGTCGGGGCAGAATTTTTTCTGTGTGTATTCATGTTTATGATGATGTTTATGTCTGTGTTTACTCCAGGGCTGACATTGCTGGCCTGACCGAAGTCAAACGTCTGCTAGAAGAAGCCATGGTTCTCTAAATGTTGACATTGTTGGGCAGAATTTTGAATGTGTGCAGTCATGTTTATGATCATGTTTTTGTCTGTGTTTACTCCAGGGCTGATATTGCTGGTCTGACTGAAGCCAAGCGTCTGCTAGAAGAAGCAGTGGTTCTCCCTCTGTGGATGCCTGATTACTTTAAAGGAATCAGAAGACCTTGGAAGGTACGGTTTGGGAGAAAGATTTGTATGTGACTGGTTATAAAATGTAGGCTTTATTACTTGTGAAAAGGGACAGAATTAAGTTCTTGAGAAACAGAAAACCCTTGTTTTACATTCTTCCAATTTATTGGCCATTGCCTGAAAACCTATACTATTTTTTCCTGGTTTTCTTATTTAATAGTCACACTTTTAAAAAATGTGTATGGAAGGTGGGTTTTTTTAAAAACCTGATGGGGGCAGATTCCACCCCTCCCTCCTTTTATTAATTGTGGTGGGGGGAGGAAGTGAATGATGGAAAATGTGCATGAAATGTTGCTATTATATGCATTCTGTGATTGCAAAAGAATGTTAGAATCGCTCACAATATTTCTTACAGTTCAATCATGGCATAATGTAATTACATGAAACATATTTTTCAAGGGCAAGACTATCAAATCAATAAAACAGCATATTATGTTTGTTTTATATACCAAGGAAAAAGGAAAGAGCCATATTCTAAGAGTTTTGAATAGTATGTGCCTGGCGTTAAGTGTGCTTGAAAGTAGCTCCTCACTCTTTGTGTGTTTTTGTCAATACAGGGTGTATTAATGGTTGGCCCGCCAGGCACAGGGAAAACTATGTTAGCCAAAGCCGTCGCCACAGAATGCGGTACCACCTTTTTCAACATCTCCTCCTCCACATTAAATTCCAAGTGGCGCGGCGAGTCGGAGAAACTAGTTCGCCTCCTCTTTGAAATGGTATGTCCCTACTTTAACCATGTGTAGTAATGTAAAGCTGGTTGTACCATTTTCCGTTATAGGGGGTTCTGATGGTGGGGCCGCCGGGGACAGGTAAAACCATGCTGGCCAAGGCAGTAGCCACCGAATGCGGGACGACGTTCTTTAACGTGAGCTCTGCTTCGCTGACTTCGAAATATCATGGAGAGTCGGAAAAGCTTGTGCGGCTCTTGTTCGAGATGGTAAGGATTTGCTGTGGCAGTGTTGGTTCTTAATCCAAGCTTTTAATATCTTCTTCCTAATCTACGATATGATTTTTTAGTACAGCTGCCTCTGTGAAGACAAACTCAAGAAATGTTTGTTATCCTAGAAGTTACCTGTAATTGTATTATTGTTCTTAAAGAGAAGGTTGAGTTCAGGGAAGAGGTTATAAATAATTGTGAGCGTTATCATTGTTATTATGCACTTGTGGAAGAACATCAGATTAAAAATGTTCCCTGAAAAGCATGACTCTTTAAATGTCTTATTATTCTAAATATGGCATGTACAGCATAAAAATCGGGACAGATTTTTATGCTACATGTTCATGTTGTCCCATATACATCTTTCTGTGTACAGTGCTTGTAACTTTACCAAGACTTGGCCAAATTTCTTATCATTTTGATGATTCCAGAACCTTGCAGTACACACCAATACTTATATGCTAGATGATCAACCTTTTCTGATTGACTACACACCGTTTCTTTCACAATGCAATCGCATGACCAGAAGTCAACTCTATCGTTAATACCTGTATTTGTATTATTGTTCCTATTCCTTTATGTTTACCACTAGGCACGATTCTACGCCCCTAGCACCATCTTTATCGATGAGATCGATTCCATATGCAGCAAGCGTGGAACAGGGTCTGAACACGAGGCTAGCAGGAGGGTCAAATCTGAACTCCTCATTCAAATGGATGGTGAGACAAATGCTTAATTTATCAAAATAAATGTAGCAAATTTAACTGGTTGCTTTGCTTACGGGAACCGCACGGGCCCTGTTCAAAATCTATGGTGGTTTACAGAATCTTGTAGCGAACGGGTTATGATAATGTAGTGGTGTAGGAATGATCATCTGTCTGCTCGAAAGGATGGCGAAACAAATACAAGTACAAGACAAGTTTTAAGAAACGGAGTCCTGGGCCCCGTCTTACAAAGAGTTGATATTGATCCGAATCAATATCAAGTCCCTAAATCAATCACAAGTCTGCAGTCTCCCATCTCTTATGTACATAGCTGTGATTGATATCAATCACAAATAAGTTGCGATTGATATCAACTCTTTGTAATACAGGGCCCAGGTTTAACTTAGTTGACTGATTTTTATTCTGCCAAATTTAAAGTAATGTTGAAACAAAATGAATAAATTGAAGTATCAAGTCATTAGAAGTGTCGTGATCTAGTACACAGGTCACCGGACTGTAAATTACATGGTTCACGGTTCGAGTCTCGCCGTGGTACTAATGACTTTTGGCAGTACATTAATCTACATTAGCCACAGTGAGGTAAAAGGGTACCCGGTAGGAAGAAATTACTTGATCGCTTGGCTAAAGCCGGACTAATAATATGATTGCAAGGCCCTCGGGGAGAACAATATTAATACTGATGAGGCCTCCCTGGGTAAACTAAACATTAGTATTATTATTAAATGAAAGACATGACTGGCTCTTGGCATATCCTACAATGGCAAGCAATTGCAGTTTGGAATTGTTGCAGAGGACACGTCAAAACAGAAATAGTGTCCGTTTGGTGCCACAAAGGTATGAACTGTGCGTTAAGGTACATGATTGGTTGCCTTTGTTGCTACAGAGGGGTGATATTCTTTTCCTATGCCACCTTGGTTCAAAAATAGACTGTAACCTCGACCTCTGACCTTCAACCTTTAGGTGTGTCTGGACCTAGCGCTGGTGAGGAGAGTAGCAAGATGGTCATGGTGCTCGCTGCCACCAACTTCCCCTGGGACATCGACGAAGCTCTCAGGAGACGTCTGGAGAAGCGAATCTACATTCCACTGCCAGAAAGTGAGTCAAAGATTTCTGTATCTGTACATGTTGTGGTAAAGCTTAGGCCAACCAAATGTTTATAGAATCGCAGAATATTGTCAAATTGGATAATTACACATGGGACAATGTTGGGACTAGATGAACCTACATGGACGTGGTCCCAACATTTGATAAAATTCCTTGTGTAGGTTCCCAAGGATAAATAATATGAATATTATTTTCATAACTCATTTTAAAGTATTTTGATAATCAGAAGAACAGAATGACAAGAGGGGACACAAAGGACAGGAAACTGATATAATAAGATAAGACAGGATATGACAAAACAAGACGTGGCAGGACATGACAAGACAAAACAAAACAAAGCTGCACACTACACAGGGTTCGTACGGGTCATGGAAAACCTGGAAAGTCATGGAATTTTACTTTATTGCTTTTAAGGCCTTGAAAGTCATGGAAAATTATTTTTTCCATTGGAAAGTCATGGAAAGTCATGGAATATCAAAATTATGGACAACTATAGTATTTTCTCACTATACAAGTGAATAAATGGAGATATTTCAACCATTTTCTTCTCGTATTTTCTTTCATTCGTAACATACCGACTGATTGTACTTGTGAATGTGTTCACTATGATCGATGGATAAGCGCTGTGTACGTGGGTGTGTACGTGTACGATACGAACTACGTGTGTATGGTCAGTGTATGGCGGTACGGTCCACATCGTGCGCACATGGCTAGCTTGCGAGCGAGCTCGCTAGCGCTAGCTCAGTTCAGCAAGCTAGCGCACGTGTACGTGTGCAGTGTGTGTGTGCATATGATGATGGTGCCAACGCGACATGTGACACTCCAAGAACGAATGTAATGCCTCGATTGCACTTTGGCTTTGCATTAAATTGCGACCACTTAGACTACTACAATTTTTACACTTCTCCAATAAATGAGGAAAAAGTAAATTAGTAATATTTGTTTTTTAATTTTCATTATTTAAATAAAAAAGGAACAATACTGACGTGTCAACAAGGCAAATTGGCAGCGCTAGCTCGTTGACGATCTATATATCGACGCGACGGCATGTGTTTTGAAACTTTTGTGCATGTGTTGATTCTTCATGAAACGGAGTTGTTTATTTTCACAGACCTTGGAACTCGTCACGTGGATATTTTCACCATTACAAATTTTGTGGAAGTGATATTCAAAATGCCTGGAAATTGTCATTTTAAGGATGCTTGGTTAGAACACCCGGATTACCGTGGCTGGATTTTGAAAGAAAGTTCCGATCTGGGGACTGCTAGATGTGCTGTTTGTATGTGTAAATTCAGTGTCCGTAATATGGGCGAAGCAGCCGTCAAGAGCCACAAGAAGAGTGAAAAACACACAGCAAACCTCCAACAGCAACAACGTCGTAAGTGAGCATTTTTAATGTGAATTTTACCGATCCTTTATTGAGCATGAATCCAAATAATGACTGATAATAATTATATAAAAATGAAAGATTTGAGATTATTTAGCGATGCGATGTCACCTCGCAGGCATTGGTTACTGCTTACTGCGACCAGCCCGTTCGGGAGCGTCCCCGGCCCCGGGCCGGGCCGGCTAGGTTACTGCATGCAACAGCCCGAACGCTAACCCAGGGGGCTCCGCACTCACACGCCAGTGTTGTACCGGGCACTGTATGTGGACTGCAGAAAAAAAAAATAATAATAATTTACCTTAAAATTGACCCCAAAAATCATAAAACTAAATTTTGTACTTACAATTGGGTCCAACAGTTTGCTTGCCTTGAGAAGTATTTCCTCCTTTCTATTTCTTTAAAATATGTTTTTAAGGAATGAGTCAAAAATTAGTCCACTTGTCTTAGTGACTTACATCAATTGGCCAAAAGTTGCCGTGAATTTTTTTTTTTTTTCCTTCCCCATACTGTCAAACGGTTGTCAAAATAGGAAAACGTTTATGCTTTTAATGGTCGTTTGAACGGCAGTTAAACGTTTTGACTCGGCCCTAAATCTTACCAAATGATGATATTTATATTTTATTTATTTTAATAGACATTTTTTTCTTTTCTCCTAGATTCTACTCTCTCACTCAAGAGCTTCTTCAAGGCAAAAGGTGCAGAAAGTTCATCAGTATCTATCACGTCTACAGATGCAACAACCAGTACTTGTGCGCCATCAACCTCTAAAGTGACAACTCCCATTCCTGTTGCTGCAAGAGAGGAAACTTTAAAAGCTGAAATACTCTGGTGTCTGAAAGTGGTGGAGGATCATTTATCATTTCATTCTTGCCAGCACAACAGTGAGCTCTTTCAAAGAATGTTTCCGGACTCAGCTATTGCTAAGGGTTTCACGTTGTCAGAAACAAAATGTCGGTATATGACGGTGTTTGGTTTGGGCCCATATGTGCAAGACCTCCTTTATGACAACATAAAACAATCAAACCACTATGTGATACTGTTTGATGAAAGCCTCAACAAGAAGCTCCAGAAAAAGCAGATGGACTTCCTCATAAGAACATGGCAACACAATGAAGTTTGCACTCGCTACTTGACGTCTGTGTTCATCGGACATGGTTCAGCTGTTCACCTCAAGGAAGAACTGAATAAAGTTCTGCACACAGTTGGCTTGGAAAAATTACTGCAAATATCAATGGATGGTCCCAACGTTAATTGGAAGATGTATGATGACTTTACGCGAGAGTACACTGCTGACCTGACCAAATCCATACTGAATATAGGCTCATGCGGGCTCCATATAGTTAATGGTGCTTTTCTGACAGGTGCCAAGGCTGCTGACTGGGAGGTGGAAAGCTTTCTATCATCCTTGTATTACCTGTTTTCTGATTCCCCTGCCAGAAGAGAGGATTATCAGAAGATAACTGGAGATCATACCATGCCACTTAAGTTTTGCAAGACCCGATGGCTGGAAAACCTTCCTGTTGCAGAGAGAGCAATCAGCATCTGGGAGAGTGTATGTGCGTATGTTAAAGCAGTAGAAGAGAAGAAAATCCCTCACCCAAAGAACAAGTCCTTTGAAACTGTTTCAAAATGTACTCATATAACTGATTTCTTAGCAAGACTGTACTTCTTCATATCTGTTGCAAAGCTGGTCAATCCTTTCCTAACAGACTATCAGACTGATGCACCAATGCTGCCCTTTTTAGCTGAAGACCTTACTAGAATGCTTGCATCCCTTATGCAGCGATTTTTAAAGCTGGACAGGAGTACCATTACTTCTCCTTACAAGATAATGCAGGTAGATGTTAGCAGTGAGGCCATTCAGCTGCCCTTGGCCAAGTTGGACATTGGATTCTACACTGAGAAGAAGCTGAAAGATCTGAAGGCGAAAAATATCATCAGTGAGCTGAAAGTTCTGGAATTTCGCACTCAAGCAAAGAAGTTTCTTGCTGCAATGACCCGGAAGCTCATTGAGCGATGTCCGCTTAAGTATGCACTTGTGAGAAATATAGGATGCTTGAGTCCAAAGAACATGGCAAAAGACAAAGAAAACTCCACTGCAAAGCTGAAGAGGGTGCTTAACACCCTTAGTGATGCCCACAGACTTAAGGATTCATGTGACGATATCCTAAGAGAATACTCAGAAGCATGTGATGAGGCATCAAGAAGTGCAGAGATGAGAGACTTTGATCCAAAGAAAGAGAGATTGGACTCTGTAATGTGCAAATTTCTGTCCGAGTCTCGCTATTCGACCCTCTTAAAGTTGGTCCGCATGTTGCTTGTCTTGTCCCATGGACAAGCCTCCATTGAGAGAGGTTTCTCAATCAACAACGAAGTTGAAGAGGACAATCTCCTGGGACACTCACTGATATCATTGAGGGCCATTTATGACCATATCAAGTATGTTGGAGGAATCAAGAATGTGACTATTGACAAATCAATCATGTTGGCTGCGTCTGCAGGCAGGCAGAAATACCACATCTATCTCGATGAACAGAGGCGTAAAAAGGAAAAGGAAAAGAAAGAAGGAAAGAGAAAAGGACTGATGGATGGTTTGGAAGAACTAAAGGCCAAACAAATGAGACTGCAAGCAGATGTGAAAAGTCTTCACACCTCAGCAGACAAGTATGCTGAGGAAGCAGAGTCACAAGGAAGATTGACTTGTATTTCCAAATCAAACAGCCTCCGACGTACAGCAAAGGAGAAGGCATCCCAGTTACAAGTAATTCAGAAACAGATTGATGAACAGCTGAATGCCATTAAGAATTATTAAAGAACTTGGACAGTTTGTTACCAATGCCACCAAATATTCAGACAGGTGCAATGTGTAGAGGGATTTCTTTCAAACAGCTACATGAAGATGTCTCAAGAAAAAACTCATTCAGAAATTATTGACCAGCTTAATGCTAGCGAAACAAGAATTCATCAGCTGATGTGAGTAGGCCTACTGTGTTTTGTTGGTGAAATCAAAATTGGTGATGGTATGTGTGTGAGTTTGTGTGTTGGTGTTGTTTTGTTTTCTTTTTTTTTGGGGGGGGGGTAGTTACCTTGTACATGCAAAGGAGAGCTATTGAAGGAATCATGGTGGTCCATGAAACCAGGAACAGGCAATTTGTATTCTTTAGAAGTGAAAATTGCCATTAAAAAATGGACAATTGTTGATATGAATACATGTATGTGTAATTGTAAGAATATTATATAGCAGTGCATATCGAATATGATGAAAAAATAACATGTAATTGTAACAGATGAAATAACTAGATAACAAAAGCTGCCTTTCTATTAGTAGACTTGAAACATGCACTTTGCTTCGCTTTGATTTGAGATCAAATTTTCAGTCTACCGTGTAAAAAAAATGTGTAAAAGTCATGGAAAGGTCATGGAATTCTGGCTAGAAAAGTCATGGAAAGTCATGGAATTAAATTTATGAGAAAGAGTATGAACCCTGCTACAGAAATTAGTAGAGAGAGAGGGCGAAACAGGGGGGATGTAGGAGGTCTTCCCATATCCTAGAAGTTTAACCCATACGCTACCCTGCGTGAAAAAGGCATATTATTATTATTACATTATTATTATTATTTTTGTGTTTATTTGTAGTCGACGGACGTGAGCAGCTCCTTAGAATCAACCTGAAGGAAGTGCCTCTGGCTGATGACATTGACCTCAAGAGCATCGCTGAGAAGATGGACGGCTACTCAGGAGCTGACATCACCAATGTTTGCAGGTACAGCACTTTGACCACAAACTAGTGGGGCATTGCAAGAAAGTTGCGATTGATTACAAGTTGCAAAATTTGCAACTGATATTTGCAATCGATCGCAAGTCAACTTTCTTGCAACGCTCCACTAGTCTCCTAGATTTCCTAGGATTTTGTTAGGTTTAAAGTTTTAACAATTAAATTAAGTTAACTAGATCTAGCTTTTATTCTCTCTCTCTTACTAATGGGGTGTTGCAAGAAAGTTGAGTTGCGATCAATTGATGATGATGATGATGAACAGCATTTGTATAGCGCCATTTATCTGCAAAAGCATTCAAAGGCGCCTGGCTCCCTCAATATGTCACATATTATTCGCAATGTTGCCGGAAAAGATAGGTTTTGAGTTCAGATTTAAAGGTATCAATGTTGTTACAATTTCGAAGTTGGACAGGTAGAGAGTTCCAAAGATGCGGAGCAGATGAAGAGAAGGCTCTATCCCCGTATGTTTTTAGACGGGTACTGGGCACTTGAAGAACGAGTCCCGCACAGCGTAGTCCTGGTCGTAGCTGACGTACACTGATGAGAGCAGATACATAGCCAGGGGACAAGTTATGTAGAGCCTTAAATGCAAGCAGCAAGATCTTATACTGCACTCTGCAGTGCACTGGCAGCCAATGAAGCTCATGGAGTGTAGGCGAGATGTGGTCAAACTTCCTGATTCCCAGCAGCAGCATTCTGGACCGCCTGGAGACGTTTGATGGCTGATGATGGTAAGCCGACAAGGAGAGAGTTGCAGAAATCCAGCCTTGAGGTTATTAGAGCATGAATGAGGTTTTCCGCGGCACTTCTGGTGAGACAGTGTCTGATCTCTGCAATCCTGCGGAGATGGTAGAATGCAGACTGACAGACACGCGAAATGTGATCCTTCATGCTCATAGTCCTGTCGAAGACTACTCCAAGATTTCTAGCCTTGTTGTTGGGAGATACAGCTTCCTCACCGACTAGAATAGGAGTACCAGTGATCTTATTTCCCATGTGTGGTGAAGACAAAAGGAGATACTCGGTTTGCAAGACTTACGCTTGATTTGGGGGATTTGCAATTGATTGCAACTTTCTTGCACCTCATAGGACTATTATAAAGAGGAAAAATATTTATTATCAAATTCCTTTGGATCATGCAATTTGCTTTGCTGCATCGAAACCTTGTTATATCGGCGCTAAACAGCAATATATATTACAATGACCATTACTGTTATAATAATAACAGTGTTCTTTGTCAAAATTTCCAATCACACATGTAAACATACTCTAAATATATATATTGCAAATATTTGTTTTTATAAACCCTGTATGGAAGAAGAAAAAAAATATATTCTGGCATCAATAACAAAGAAAATTAAATTTCATATACAGAGCAAAAAAGAGAGGAGCTCTCAAGATATCTCACAATTTTGCCAATTTGTCATCAGAATTTACTTAAACTTTCACTGACCTATTCCTCTCATTTTTCTGCTGCTATTAAACCAACTTAATATCAGGGTGCAATCCCCTTTAAAGCCCCTCTGCACTAGTTTGGCATGGAGGGATTAGACCTCCGAGCAAGGTCACTGGCAGCTGGTTATCTCATCAAATCAGCTCTCAATTAACATAAGAAAAAGGGCATCATGGGGGATCAATTGGTACCGCTTAGGCATTGTTGGCTGTATAGAGGGCGCAAGTAGATATAAGAAGTGCAGTAGGGCTTTAAGGAGGATTTATGAAAACTGTCATTTATTGTACCTTCTTCCTGCTATTAACTCCCATCACAGAGATGCATCTATGATGGCGATGCGCCGTCGCATCCAGGGGCTGCGGCCGGAGGAGATCCGCCACATCCCCAAGGAGGAGCTCAACCAGCCCAGCACGCCCGCAGACTTCCTGCTGGCGCTCCAGAAGGTCTCCAAGTCCGTCGGCAAGGAGGACCTGGTCAAATACATGGCGTGGATGGAGGAGTTTGGCTCCGTTTAGAGAGGGAGCCACCTGTGGGGGGGGGGGTACCGTTGATTTTACTGCCTTTACCTTACCTTCCTTAGCTTTTGATGTTAGTCAAGATAAGAAAGTGTTAATATAGTAAGGAAATGTTATTTCTTGGTGAATTTAGATTTCCCTTACCTTTTAATATTCTCTTTCTCTATCTCTCCTGTGATATACATCTATAGAAAATTGTGTATTTGGTACAGATTTATTGTTATCAATTGTAATGGTATATATTCCAGTTTTCTTTTGCATAAATGATGAACGAATAATTGATAAAAAATAACAGGCCATGGTTATAATTTGCCCAAATTTTGCAATAAGCAGAGGTGATTTTATTGAAAGGGGGATCAAAATGTTGATTGTGTGAAGATTATTATGTTTTGGAATTTAACGGCAATGATATGACGAGCATTTTATTATCGAATTGATTTCTTATTCCGTCCAAGTGTGGTGATATAGTTTGCAGTTAATAGAAAAGGACAAAAGTGTATATGTGTGGTTGCTGACATAATCTGAGTTGATGATGAATTCGTGAAAGCAGCAATAGACTGGTAGAGATATTTAGTTAAAGTGTGTGATATTATTATAGATGCTAGCCATTAGATACAAACAATATTTATACTCGGAGCATATTAACTGGGTCGGGTGAGGGGTAAAGGTTATTGTTGTTTTCTGTTTGTTTTTTTTTTGTTTTTTGGGGGGGAGGGTGCCATCGATTTGTTCCCAACTCCTGCGCCCCGTCCTATAAAGAGTCAATATTAATTGCAACTTATTTACAATTGATATCAATCGCAACTATGTGCATAAGATCTAGGGGATTGAAAACTTGCGATTGCTTAGAGGACTTACAATTGATTTGGATCATTCACAACTTTTTATAAGACGGCCCCTGACCCATGGAAAAATACTCTCAAAGTTACTCTGACTTGTGCAAGTACATGTACATGTATGCACATCTCTGTTTATGCTAGTTTATATAAAGGTAAAGAGTATGAATTTTTCTTCAACACTGTTTGCTTTCATTTCTGAGGTAATTCTTTCACCATTTGGTCTATTCAATCATGTTGAGTATGTTCCATGCAATGCAGGTGTAGGGAAAAAATACACGGGGCTCGGGGCGAATTTGCCCCGAAATGCAAAACAAATTAAAGAGTGTTATTTTCATGCAAGCAAGTTTGAAAAGTAGCCCCCAGAATTTTTTAATATTTTTTGCCCTGTGTGGGTGCATGTAAGGCATGTCAATGATAGTTGTGTGAAAGTCGGGAAATTGTGGAATGGTTGATTGTTTTGAAGGTAGAGAGTTTGCTCATCAGATAATTCTTGCCTTTTTTGTGCAAATAACCTTGAGTACATGAGTTCAGAAGGTTTTGATGCATAACTATCATTAAGATGGTTATCAAAGTTGGCTTGTAAGAGGATCCCCCGACACAACAGCGATGATGTGCATAAGCAACCTGACCTTCTGACTATCACAAAATCCTAACTTTTAATCAGTGTTTGTGTCAGAAATATTGTTTTGGGTGACTAACAATCCTTACATGTAGACCATCAACATATATTGATTAGTGCATTTGTGAACTTTATATTTGTATATTAGCAAATCAACTCTATCCTACATTGTACAAACACAGAGATACCTGTGCACCATTCTCAATTGTGTACTTAAGCAGAAAAAAACAAGGAAAATTCAAAGTTATAGGAAATTGACAACTCAAATTGCATATTCCATTATTTCACACTCATATCATTTTTAGGGTCCACATGTACATGGTATAGATTGTTTCAACTGTGGGCTAGAATTTATGATACCTTCTATATGCATTGCATTGGTAATGCAATACACCTACAGAGTTAGTGTATAAGATCTTATAACTGTAGGATGGATAGATAAAACCTGATTGATTTCAAGTGTCATTTCATGTTGTTTCTCAACCAAATGAACCAAACCCTTTCTGCTTTCTTTCTCCATATAAAGTACATGTTTAAGTTCAGTTTTGACATCTTTGATGTCATAGTTCATGTATTTGTAGCTGAATCAATAATCATATCATATACATTATACATGTTGGTGAAGTAATGTCAGTGAGAATACTACGCTATTTTCATTCTTTGTCAGTTCTGTAGACATACATCTTATGGAGCAGAACTTGTAAATACTCTTGAAAAATAATTAAAAAATATACTAGCCATGATAAGAACGAAAGCGTGTTTGCATTTGTATGAATGAATCCTAATGGTTAATGTATTGGAGTGTTGCTGTACTGTGATTTTGTGAGTTAAAATCTGCTAGCATCTTGTTTACATTTTAACAGGGTGTTTCACAAACCAGTTGAGGGACTATGTATACTAGCTGAATACAATGTGAGCACAACATTGAATTCAATACCGGGTATATACGTCTTTCAAGAAAAGGTTGAGTTCTGGGAATTAAGAGGTGAAAAATAATTTGTGAGTGTTGTATAATCATTGTATTATGCAAGCGTGGAAGAACATCAGATTAAAAAATGTTCCCTGAAAAACATGGCTCTTCAAATGCCTTGATATTCTAAATATGGCACATGTTTGTATAGTCCCATATCATCTTTCTGTGTACAGTGCTTGTCACTTTACCAAGACTGGGCAAAATTTCTTATCATTATGATAATTCCAGAACCTTGCAGCTGTACACTTAATGCTAGATGATCAGCCTTTGTGATTAATTCCACAACCTTTATTTCACAATGCAATCACATGACCAGAACTCAACTTTATCTTTAAATAAATATCACACAACATTTTTTTTTAAAGAGAAGTGGACAAAAAGTTGACCTCTGAAAAACATTTACATTATTAAACAAAATAGTTTGCTTTCACAGAAATAAGTCGACATGAAACTATCAAAAGTGCTTTTTATTGTACATTTTGCACTCAAGGTATCCAATTTTATTACATTCTTTGGTAATACATGTACATGTGTTTACATTTTCTTCATAATTTTCACATTATGTACATGAATATATACAATTCTTTGATGGCTTAAAAAAAAAAAAATACATGTATAATATTTCCGAGATGGGAATTCAATAAAAAAAAAAATCAAATAAAAATCATGATGTATTCTTTACAAAGGGTTCATAGAGTTTGAATTGCAAGATAAGGCTGGAATGATTTCCCAGTAAGTAGTTGAAAGAAAAAGAAAATAGGTACAGTTTATATGAAAATACATGTATACCAGTATATAATTTTTTTGTTCATAGTTTATCACTTCTAGTAATGTATACATGAGGTATTCCAGAAATCATATTCAAAATAAGCCCTCATGCATACTGTTATGGAAATTAATATGATATAAGATTTTACATAAACATACATATATTTTGCTAAACTATAATGCATAATAGACCCTTGTGTCATGTTCACTAGCTTAACAATTATTTTCTGTAACTATTCTTTGGCATGCAGTACACAGCAAAATACACTTACTGACAAATAAAACTCTAGTACTACATTATGTACATGTAATTCTATTACAATAAAAACTTTTCAAAGAAATGCACTAAAATTGTTCATTCTTGCATTGTATCATAACTATATATTCAGGTAGTTTCACACACTGACCATAAAAACATACATATAACCATTACATATTTACATCAGCACAACACAGATTGCCACTAGCGTTTATTTTGAACAACTAAATCACTCATACCCATACCAATTTTTGTTGTAGATAAAAAACGATTTGTCCTGATTAATATTCAACCAGTCCACCTTCCATTCTTGAGTTACAAAAAAACATCATATTTATGAGGGGATATGAAAAATTCAGTTGTTCACTGTATGTTGTTCAAATGTACTCCATATTAGTACAAAATCAAATAAATACATAAATATATCACTTTTTGGATGACTTTTATGATGAATATACACTGTCAAGTCCATTTTACATAATGCCTTTGCTAGTTTGGAGAGGTAGCCTAAACATTGCTAATAAATTATAGTAGAATTACTGTACAGTATAACTCATTACTATATATATAGTACAATCACAATCACATGATCAAGATATGAAATAAATCTGTTGCATCGTTATGCAAAAAGAATAAAAATACAAAATATTACTATCACACACGCCAGTTGTATATGATACATTTGTAAAATCCATGTTACCCAATGCCTTTGCTAGTTTAGAGAGGTAGCCTAAACATTGCTAATAAGTTATAGAAGAATTACTGTAGAGTATAATCCATTACTGTATCGTATAATCACAATGACACGATTAAGGTACAAAATAAATCTGTTGCCTCTTTTTACAAATAAGATAAAAATCACATTATTACTATCACGCCGACAGTTGTATATGATAAATGTTTATCAAATCCACATTACCTAATGCATTTGCTAGTTCAAAGAGGTAGCCTAACCATTGCTAATAAATTACTGTAGAATTATTGTATAGTTCAATCCATAAATACTTCACAATTACATGAATAAGATACAAAATAAATCTGTTGCATCTTTTTACAAATAAGATAAAAATCACATTATTACTATCACGCCGACAGTTGTATATGATAAATGTTTATCAAATCCACATTACCTAATGCCTTTGCTAGTTCAGAGGTAGTCTAAATGTTTCTAATAAATAACTGTAGAATTACTGTATAGTTCAATCCATAAATACTTCACGATCACATGGTTAAGATACAAAATACATCTGTTGCATCTTTATACAAATGGAATTAAGAGCACAATATTACTTTCACACACATCAATTGTATACCAGTCTGTGGTAACATGTTTGATTACATACATTTTGTAATGTAATCAAATTTAACGCACAAATCTTTGTTAACTTTCTTGTTCAAAATTCTGTCATTCACCTGTTTCAAATAAATGTATTTCAATAGTCAGAATCGAAATTGCATTCATTACGTGTTGTATGGTAGGACAAGCCATAATGTTTGTCCTACCTAGCAACAATTAATGTATGCAATTACCTTTCTGACTATTGAAAACATGTAAAATTATTCGTAACAGGTGAATAAAAATATGTGTAGGTATAGCCGCTTAGTGTGCGGTGGGCTAAAGAATATATATTTGTAAATGCACCAATACTCTTAGTGAACAATCAGGTTTCAATTTCATGTATCTTAAATTGAAAGACCACTTAGGGCACCATGATATGAAAGACCGCTTAACACACTATAATATGAAAGACATGATGGAAAATCTGATTTAGATGGAAAGAAAAGGCACCACATTCTTTATCATCTGCTGAAAGCAATAGGGGCATTAAATAAAATTACTTTCATGTCAAATTTATGTCATTTTTCTTAAAAGCAAGACAATACATCCATCCAAGAAAGACATATGTTCAGCATCAGCATATTTTCTTCACAGAAATGACATTTCAGGTAATATTCAGCCAATAAATAAAGTTTATCTCTGCATCTGAATACTCTATCTTAATATAAATTTGCATAATTGTTCAAGATCGATGCATATGAAAACATATCAGAATATTTTCTTCACAGAAATGACATTACAGCTAATATTCAGCCAATTAATATAGTTTATCTCTGTATCGGAATACTGTATATTAACATATATTTGCATAATTTTTCATGATCGATGCATATGAACACTGGAGTTTGAAATACATTTTACATATAAAATTACAGTTGAATTTCATAATACTTTTTGCTCAGTTTAAAGAAAACACAATTATACACATGACTCCATGACAATAATGTTGGACATTCCAAATACACGACTTAATAAGAATTCTTGTGACTTAATTGCATAAATCTGAATACACCATGCAAAAAGTAGTACTTATATATTGGACGACTGGTAATTTGTTACATAAAAGTAGTACTCAATATTGGATGACTGGTAATTTGTATCATAAAAGTAGTATAATATTTGTCCACTGGTCATTTGTTGCATAACATTTTGATAACTGACTTTACTGCTGAGAGAGAATTAGGGAAAATTTGACTTACGCAACTTTGAGTTATGCAGAGTTGACTGTATTCAATTTTGCGGAATTCAACATTATAAAATATTTGATCGCACAAATTCTGAATAAAAAGGTGAATATGCTACATAAAACCTCAACATGCATGAAATATTTGTGACAGAAAGGGAAGGGATTTGTAATTACATTCCTTGCTTCTACTTAACTCCCTATTCTCTGTTATACTACTTAGCCTCCAGTATCTAAAGTGAACAACTACAAGTAAGATAATTTGAAACAATGGGTCTGTGCTCTACACCATGAAAAAAATAAAGGTATAGTGCATGCTCATGATGTTGATAACGAGGATTGAAACAAATCCTTGAACATCACATATCACGTTTCAGTCCATATGTGTTTACAACTCCCTGACTTTATATCAATGGTTAGACACTTATCAGAAGACCAATTACTGTGGATATAAAATCCACTGCATTCTTCAATGGCACTCTCTCACCTTGAATCTCCTACGATGCGCAGGAGATGAACAGTCCCGTCATCGACACCCACCAACGTCCGACTGTTATCCGCCGAGAAGGCATAGGCGGTCACGTCATCGTCCTTCTGCCTGAACTTCCCCACGGGCTGGTTATCGCCGACACGCCTCGTGATCAGAATCCCATCCTTCACGCAGCTCAGGAATGTCCTCTGCGCGTTCTCCTTGGCGTTTCCTTTGGCGTTCATGAACTGTGCCCTTGGGACGCTCAGCTTGGTGTACGTGCCTGGGCGTTTGTCGGTGTAGAGGGGGTTACCGGAAGAGGTGTCTATGACGGTGACCATGATCTCACCTTGCTTGTGCTCCTGTTCCACAATACGTTTCGATCGGGCACTTCTTGATTGGGGTCTTCCTGTTAACAGAAATCATTTTACAAAATAAATATACTATCAAAACAAGTTATTCTAAACAATTTGAGTTCAATTTAAAGTAACTAAACTAACTATTTCTTCTCTTTTTTTATCAACTTTCCTCTTTGGTCTCTTCTTGATTTCAACCAAAAACCCCTTCCAACAAAGCCGTTCCCATTTTTACTGTACCTTCATGCTTTTTCCTTGCTGGCATACATCATGTCATCTATATTCGAAAATCTACATGATTTTACAGTGGTTTCTGTGCATTCCTTTTTTCTTGCATTTGAAGAACCCTTTGTGTCGTTTTTATCACAATCCTGTAACTATTACCAGATATTTTAAATAATGATTAACTAATTCTCAATGATTCTGGTGATTTCTTTTTCAAAAGTGGCCATCCATAATTTGATTTGATTTAAAAGAGCAACAACACAGACAAAACCTCACCGTTTCCATTCAACGCATCCCTCCACTTCATGTGCAAGAAGACGATGAGCTGGTCGCCTAGGTAACGGATCTTATGAAATCGGGTCATGGTGACCTTGAGGTCGACCTCCATCAGCGGAGTGCCTTTAGAGATGTGCCAGATTCGGACGATGGGTGGGTTGCTCAGGTAGTCTTCCTTCTCGGTGTCCTTGGCCATCGGCTTCAGAGAGGTGTCCGAGGTCCTCACCGCCACCGTGGCCAGAGACTTTTGGTCCTCGCTCAGAGCTGCTGCTGCAATCTGAAATAATTCAAAAACATCATCCAGTTTAACTATGGTAGGGGTATCAGAAACATGTCAGCAATTTCCAAGGATGACTGGTTTGTTCATGTACAGTGAAACCTGTCTATAAAGACCACCCAAGGGAGACAAGAAAAGTGGTCTTTATAGGCAGGTGGTCTTTACGTTCAGGTTCCTTTAGCACATGTTTCAATGAGTAACCGTTTTCAAGGGAATAAAAAATATGGTCTATGTAGACAGGTGGTCTTTCTATATAGGTGGTCACTAAAGCAGGTTTGACTGTATATATTGGATGGGAAGAAATGGGTTGACTTGACACAGAGAGAAGGTTGAGTATTTGAAATGGTATTACCAAAATTGTAACCTTGTGGTACCTCTTTACAGTCCAATGTGGAAAACCATTTTTGTACAACTAAAAATAACATTCTTGCATATTTATATTTTGAAACATAAAATTTAACCTATGCATTGGTCCAAGAAATTATGGCAACATTTATTTGCGCTTTGCTCTTCTCTCTTTTTGCTGTTTGGCAAAAAGATGTAATTTTTTTTATTTTTATCATTTTGAAATCATTAAACACACTTTTTCTTATTTTCTACTTGATCAGAATAACTTTCAAAAACAACAACAAATGACCCCAAAAAATTAACACAAGCTATAAAGTCATGATAGAAATAACACTGAAGTGTCCATACATGATTAACATGACTTGACTTTTATTGAATTCACTATACTAATTGCTTTATTAAACTGAAGAAATATTAAAAAGAGGCCGTGTTCACTACTTACATGAAAGTCAGGTCCATGGTGGAATTGTTTAACACAGAGAGTGTAGTTATCAAAGAGAGGTATCTCATCAGGGTACGCCATCCAGTCGCCGATGCACGCAGCCGACAAAAGGTCGTAGATGAAGATGTCGCCGGGTTTGTTTGGTGTCGTGAAGCAAGCGATGGCGTGGTTCTTACATTTTACAAAGAGGTAGCGCGGGCTGACGTAAGGGAGGAGTCTAAAAGAAAGAAGCAACAATTCCAATAAGCCATTGATGAATCAATATACAACTGTCAATTGATCAACACATCATACATGTCTCTCATTCATCCACCAAACAATTTATTCAGCAATAAATCAATCCATCAATCAATCACTTCACCTATTACAAACAATTCGTTAACCAATTATTTTGTCCATCTTCCAATCAATTGATGAATATATTAAGTGCACATTTAAATGCATTATTCAATCTATCCATGCATGCATTGACTAATCTATCTACTAATACATCCATCCATCTATTGATCCAATCAATAAATTAGCCCACCTACCCATTCATCCATCTATCAATTTAACCACCCTACCACCCACCCACTCACCTTCCCACCCATCCATCTATCCATCCACACACCCACCTACCAATCCATCCACCAACCCACCCGCCCACCCCCATCATCAATTAACCCATCCATCCATCCCTCCACCCACCCACCCACACACCCACCCATCTATTCACCCATTTATCCATCCATCCACCCACCCACCCACCCATCCACCCACACACCCACCCATCTATTCACCCATTTATCCATCCATCCACCCACCCACCCACCCATCCACCCACACACCCACCCATCTATTCACCCATTAATCCATCCATCCACCCACCCACCCACCCATCCACCCACACACCCACCCATCTATTCACCCATTTATCCATCCATCCACCCACCCACCCACCCATCCACCCACACACCCACCCATCTATTCACCCATTTATCCATCCATCCACCCACCCACCCACCCACCCACCCACCAACCCATATATTCACCCTTTAATCCATCCATCCATCCACTCACCCACCCATCCACCTCAACCCTCCATCCACCCATGCTTACCTGTGGCGTGCGATAATCGCTATCCTATCAGCTTTTCTTGGGGTAGACTTCAGGTTCCAGATATCAAAGTCTGATCCGTTGCATGTAGCAAACACAAAACACCCGTCCTCGGATACGCACCGAACCTTATCCATTACTGCATAAAAGTAAAACAAATTAAAATTAATTTCATATTTATGTTCATAGGCTTACTTTTCTTATACCATCTCAGCACCACCAAACTTTAGAATAACTTGCATTTTGGATATAAATGAATAGTTATAATATAAATAGGAATAGATAAACAAAACATAAAGTCTCTTTGAGGTTCTGAATACCGGTAGTCATCATAATATACAAATCAAAATTGCTGGTTACTACAATCTTTCGGGTCCATCTATTGACAAACTCAATTCAATCTGATATAATAGAAATACAAAATAGTAGTCCAGGGACTAATTGCACAATGTTTACAATGTAAAAATAGCCATAAAACAGAATATTTAATTGGAACAAAAAAGATAATTATAAAGAAGTAAATTATTGATACAAATCAAAATCACACTTTTATACGGGTAAAGAGTTTTGGAAACAAAGTTAATCATTAAAACAAAATATAAGTGAAGGATCACTTGAATAATTGGCTGAAAATTAGTTGAGGTATCATCATTATAATGAAATATAAAGTACAAATTATTTTAAATCAATTATTCCAAGATATGTAATCGTGTGTCAAAGAAATATATATTTTGTTACACTAACGAAGAGGTGACTTGTGATGTTTAAGTTAATGACCAATTGGTATTAAAACATATAAATGAAACATATTGAAATCAGGGAAAATACAAGGATTTCCAAAGTCCCTTTTGTGAAGTTCAAAAAAGCCATTTTACAGTGACATAGTGACATGAGCATATAAAGGCAAATTAGTCACAGAAATTCAGCATTGGTTATCGATAACAAGTTTGATGAAACAGAGCCCTGATCTTACCACAAACGGCCTCGGTCCCGAGGACCGCGTAGGCTTGGGGTACGCTCTGGTTCAGATCCCACAAGATGCAGTCCTCCCCCTTGCAAGACGTCACTGCCTTGGAGCCGTCAGGAAAGAAGATACAGGCACTCACTGGGCCACTGTGAACCTGCTTTACCTGAAGAAAAAAAGAAATAAAAGGCGGACATAATATTTGTCCGGGTTTTGTATATTTCAGCATAATTAATATTAAATTTTGTTTGGTATCCTATATTGATCGAGCAAAATGCTAAAGATGCTCCAACATGACCCCAGGGAGGTGTTCCACAAAGATTCTAAGTTGGACTTAACAACTATAGAAAGCTGTTAGCATCTATGAAAATATTTTGTAAAAGTTATTTTAAAAGGTATAAAATGTTGATTCAAATCCTTCATATTTTCTATTATCTAGGAGATTATATGTTCTTGATGTGGAATTTATAAAAAGTCTAAAATACTTGAATTTTCGCCTTTGTATATATTTTATTTTAAGGCTACAAATGGCTCTCCATAATGTTTAAGTCCAACTTAGAGTTAAGTTCAACTTTGGATCTTTGTGAAACACCCCCTGGTGCTATATGAGATATATGGAAGAAGCAAAAATGACATGAATGACAAGACAAACCAGTACCCTAGCCTAAAATAAGGCTTACAATTAAGAATACCGCTCTATATAACAGGGCTGTTAGCAAATCATTTACACAAAATCCCAAAATTTTCCCTGATGGAGTGTCAAATGCTAGGATAATTACTTTTAACCTATTTCCCATTTAAAAAATCTTTACTGAACAGTGCCTGCATGTACGTGTATTTAGACATGCATCCTACCGGTAATCATCAACTGTATATGCTGTTTGGACATAATAAAAATATAAGGGGGGCAATGAATTCCTCTGACTTGCCCTCATTTTAGTGAAATTTTTAGACAAATCCTTAAGTTTTTCCTGACTGGAAAAAGGGAATTCTTTTTCCAGGTTTCTCTTATTTCCAGAACAGCTGAGGGGTGTTTCACAAAGATCCTAAGTTGAACTTAACTCTAAGTTGGACTTAAAAATTATGGAGAGCCATTTGTAGCCTTAAAATAAAATGAATTCAAAAGTGACAAAGAATCAAGTATTTTAGACTTTTCATAAATTCCACATCAAGAACATGAAATCTACCTGATCATAGAAAATATGAATGATTTTTATCAACATTTTTTGCCTTTAAAAATAATGTTTACAAAATATTTTCATAGGTGCCAATGGCTTCCATAGTTGTTAAGTTCAAATTAGGATCTTTGTGAAACACGCCCCAGGGGGGTGTTTCACAAAGATCCCAAGTCCAACTTAACTCTAAGTTGGACTTAAATATTATGGAGAGCCATTTGTAGCCTTAAAATAAAATATATTCAAAAGAAAAAATTTAAGTATTTTAGACTTTTCAGAAATTTCACATCAAGAACATGTCATCTCCTTGATAATAGAACATATTAATGATTTGAATCAGCATTTTATGACTTTTAAAATAACTTTTACAAAATATTTACAAAGATGCTAATGGCTTTCCATAATTTTTAAGTCCAACTTAGAGATAAGTTCAACTTAGGATCTTTGTGAAACACCCCCCTGGTGTATTATAGAAGAGAATCTTACCTTTGGAGCACTCTGGGTGAACTTAGTGATGTGGTTGGTGTCCCATATCCTCACCGTGTGGTCATCACTGCCCGTTGCTAGGAGACCATACTGGGAGGTCGGCTGGCAGAAGTTGGCACACTTGACGGGAGCCTTGTGGCCGCTCAGTTTGCACCACTCTTTGGCTTTCATCTTTAGGATCTGCAACCAAAGAAAAGCGTTTTTGAATTATTTTATTATTTCATCATTTAATTAGGTCGTGGGTTCAAACCTCGACATGGCACTAATGTCCTTTGGCAAGGCATTCATCTTTTATTTATAGGGTTGGGGATTTAGGAGGCATTTGGGTCTATGGTTAATATCTAAGTTTAAGTGGTGTATATGTCGCCACAGCTATGGTCGCCAGAGCAAATGGCACACCAACAAATTTCTTTTGAGCAAAAATATCATAGGAGGGCATTTCACTAGAGCAAACTTTCACTGGGGCAAATTCTCTTGAGTTAAGGAGGCATTATGGCAAAGTGGTAAGGCAGTGGTCTAGTAACCGGGAGGTCTAGGGTTCGAAACCAAGTCCACTCACTAGTGCCTTTTGTTAAGGCATTGATCCTCTGGTCCCCTGGTTGCTCTCTTTAATAGCAGTCAGCTAAAACAAACAAAAACCAACCAAATGTCATCTGAGCAAAAGTCACCAGAGTGTATGATTGCGAAAGCAATATCACGTTGGATCACACGACAATTAATTACCTCCACGGTGTCCTTTTCGTCGAGAGACAGCCCAAAGTCCAGGTTCGGGGACACCACACCCCTCCCACCCAGGCAGTTCAGGTTGAGGACCCCCGTCGCAGTGGTCCCGGCCCCCTTCACGTTCCAGCAGTAGGTGCCGTTGTTCAGGACACCGCAGAGGATCTTGTTATCCTTGGAGAAGCTCAAAGAGCTCTCAGCACCCAACACGCCATCAGAAAATGTCTTCAGCACCTATTGTGAAGAAAAAGAATATTAAATGAATATAAAGCCCAGTAGTCATGTAGCACACTTTTTCATGGATATTTCAGGCAGTAATTTTTAAATAAAAGTTAATTAGGGATTCTCTCATCGAAATGTTTCACTCTCTCCGTAAAAAAAGAAGAAATGTTAATTGAAGCAGCATTTGATTCAGATAAAAAAAATTCACTACATTTACTCAAGATCAATGTATGTATGTTTCAATCAGACATTATGGCCCGACAAAGGAGGTGTCGCAGTTGTGTGGTTTAAGCACTCGACTCGAAATATGCAAAGGCCGTGGGTTCGATCCCCGACATTGCACTAATGTCCTTTGGCAAGACATTAATATACACTTGCCACTCCATACCCAGGACAGAAATGGGGACCTGATAGGATGATGATAGCCTTTGTGTTGTGGTGCCAATTTGAGGAGGCAGTGATTTACCTTCTGAGCGAATATATCCCAGATGAACACAGCCTTGCAGCCAACTCCCATAAGCTTCCCGTCAGGAGAGAATGCCACACACCTCGGCCGCGTCTAAACAAAAACAAATAAATCAAAAAATCAGTTTGATTATTACATTTCAAACAGCTTTGCTATTGATCAAAGCCCCACCACACTAGTTTGGCCAGGAGGGATTAGCCATCCCTGCATGGTCACTGACAGGTGGTTATCTCATCAAATGAGCTCTCAATTAACATAAGAAAAAGAGGAAGGGCGCAGGTTGCTATAAGTAGTGCAGTGGGGCTTTGAAGGGAAAATGAAATATTTGTACGGGGACAAAAGTTTTGTGGACCACAGTGCTGTGATAACAATTTCATTAATTCATCTTCATTGTAAAAACATTTTTTCAACTTACATGCCATGTTTTATAAGCATACCAAAAATATTGTTAGGATCCCAGCAGTAATGTGAAGTAATAGAAATATATGTATCATTGTAATTCATTAATTTTATCTAAAAAAATACAATTATGTACAGCCCACAGGCATTGAAAAATGTACTCTAATGGGAGGAATTCATTCCTTGAAATGCTAGTGCGCTGTAAATAATCAGGAGCGTCTTGAGTGTCAAGTCTGACAGATACGAGTTCTATATTCAAGAACCCAATATTATTAATGCCCATGATGGTTCACCTTAACGTCACTTTTCTGGATCTCTTTCCCGCTAACAGCATTGTAGATGGTGAGTTGGCCGTAGGAGTAGAAGTACAGGTGCTTGGAATTGGCAGGGACAAAGATGGTGCCGTTGACGGGCTCCATTTTGGACACGTTAATGCGCTTCAGAAGCTTCCCTGTGAAGATAACAAATACAGTAAAAGATGAATATGAAGGCAACTCAAAGGAAAAAGCTTCAGTAGATTCCCTGAGAAATTGAATGATACAAATAATCAATTAAGACTAATGCCATCATACACATCTGCCTGGCAAAAAGGTGTATACACATTTGTTGTAAGATTTTAGTTATAATAAGGAGATAGAGAAACTGACATACAAATGATGCATGTGAATGACTTTTAATTATTATTCGATCTGAGCTGAGGCTGTATGCAGCTATTGCACAAAGCCATCGGGCTGAGTACAAAGATAATATATTGCCTATTACTTTTCACACCTTCGAGGATGTAAAACTCATATCGTGTAGATGTAGTCCAACAAAATGTCCTTGTTGGAAGTGAACTGATCAATGACTTGCCTTTAGAGAGACTTGATTGTCCAATCCCATAGGTACAGATTGACTTGTTCCCCAAGATGGCTACCCAGCTGGCCGAGGGAGGAAAGGCAGCCTTCAATGCTGCTGTCTCTATGGTAGCCTCAAGGGCACCGCTTGCAACCTGACAAAGAAAAAAAAAAGAATAACAGTTACTGATCTCATTCAATCTGGTAAATGTAAGGCTTATAAACAGTTTAAAAAGTACCAGAAACCCTTTTTGTCAACATTTTCTGATTTCAGTTGGTAAATAGCAAGATACAAGCTATACAAGTTTGATAGGGCAAGGGTTGCACTTGCGAGATACTAGCAATACAAAGCTGATGTTAATATTTCTCCTAATCAAGTGAAGTGGTAAACAAATGAAAAGTAATAAAATACATATATCATTTCCCATATACTTCACAAATAGCTCTCTACAGGAAGGCCTCATTTTACATTCCTTTTAGATGTTACCGTAAATCTCCGTGTATAAGGCGCACCTGTGTATAAGGCGCACCCCTATTTTTGGAAGAAAAAAATAAATAAATAAAAAAAATTAAAAAAAAAAAAAAAAAAAAAAAAAAAAAATCGTTTTTTGTTCTGTTGTTGTTGTTGTTTTGTTGCCGAAAACCCACGCGGGGAAGGACCTTCATTTTACATCGAGGTGCAGTTGAAGTTGTGGACTTGTCACAATTAATAGTAACAACAGTCTAAGGCTTCATGGTACCAAGTGTCCCACACCAGCCTCCTCACATCACCTAGCAGAAGCAGTGTGTTCTATGCCAAACATCAATAGTCATGCATGATCTATTAGAAAGATTACTTTCAAACCAAGATGACAGACAAATTTGAGTGTTGTTGTAGTTTCCGAGTGGTGAGTCAACACACTGATTACTGATCTAGGAGACATTGCCAGGCATAGCGCAATAAATCGAAACTAAAAAAAAAAAAAAAAAAAAAGAAAAATTCTGTACCTGTGTATAAGACGCACCCCCAACTTTCAAATTTTTTCGGCGGCAAAAAAGTGCGCCTTATACACGGAGATTTACGGTAGATTCATTGTATATCCTGGGGGAAAAACATTAAAATATCTGGAAAATGTATATTCTGATGCAAGTAGAACATTATATTCAATATATTCTACTCTAATTTCCTTTCTGCTACCACTTAGTTATCTATTGGCATATGCTACTCAGCTATTACCAAAGGGGGTGTTTCACAAAATCTAAGATTGACTTTAAGTTGGACTTAACTATGGCAGGCAATTCATGCCACTGGTTGCTCTTGCTATTGGTTTCTCAATTATGATCTTTAGATAATATTTTTTTCTTCAATAATGAACTATCAAAAAATGTAAATTCTGTAGATTTGTGACCACGATTTAAATGTCCATTAAGAAACCAATGCCTGGAATAGTTAGGGGAACCAGTGGCATGAATGGCCTGCCATAGTTAAGTCAATCTTAAAGTCGATCTTAGTCTTTGTGAAACACCTCCCTTGTCACATACTAGGAAGAAGTTAAATCTGCACTCACTATCCATATTCTGACTGTGTTGTCCGTGCAGGCTGTCGCTAGGAGGTTGCCCTTAGGGGAGAACTGTACCAGTGATACAGGTGCAGTGTGGGTAAGGGTCATGACCTCTGCACTTTGGACTTGGCTCTTGGACAAGGCTTGCCAGCACAACTCTGTAAGGACAAAGAAAGAACAGGTTTGAAAGAATTGTAAGGGTCAAATGAAACTGTCATTGACCAAAAAAATCTAGTGCAAACTCTAGAATAGTTGTGGACCATTTATCAACAAAACTCAAGAAAAAAATGTTCTTTTAATATACATAGAATGAAATTTGGACTGTTTTAAGACCAAATAAAGATGTTTTTCATGTTTCAGTATTAAAGAACTTCATTCTTCAAAACGAACAAAGATAGCACAGTAGATGTAATAGTATGTTCCAGGACTCTGTAATGTTCACATTTTAAACGGCACATCATCGGCATACACATAAGGTTACAACAGGTTTACGAACAAAACTGTCCTACAGCCTAAAAATATGGTTTGCTGATAATCATATACCCGTAATGACTTACAAACATGGAGCACTCTCAACAAACAAACAAAAAACAAGAAGAAAACAATTTGATGCACTACTAATCCTCATTACCAAGTCCTCAGAGAGGTATAAAGCTTGTAGTCTCCTGTTTATTAACTAAATTGCCTTCCTAGCAGTCAGGTGAAAGAACGATCATCAAACAAACAAATATACAGTCAAACCTGCTTAAGTGACCACCTGTCTATAAAGACCACATTTTGTGTTTCCCTTGAAAAATGGTTTCTCATTCAAACATGTACTAAAGGAACCTGTCTACAAAGACCATTTTTTTGTGTTTCCCTTGGGCGGTCACTGTAGACAGGTTTGACTGTATATGTATCATCAGACTTCGGCTGTCAAGGGCATATAGTATAGTGGAATTTAGCAAGCTAGTGTACTCACTCTTGGTGCGGTTAGTCTTGAGGTACTCGGTGGCGACCTGGCAGCATGCTGAGGAGTCAGGTTCATTGAGGGCCTGCTGGGTAATGAGTTCAGGGTTCTCCTGGATGATCTGGGCGTTGGCTCGTACCATGTAGTAGAAGTCGGTCACCTTCTGGGACTTGTGGTCCGATTGGTCTGCAGCCTGTCAGGATTGGATTGGGATTATCACTCTAATAGTGCATCTGTGTCATCATCACAATCATCATTGCCATCATCGTCATCATCATCATCATCATCGTCATCACAATCATCATCATCATCATCATCACCATCATCATCCTGACTGTAATCATCCTCACTGTAATCATCGTCATCATCTTCATCATCATCATCATCATTGTCATCATCATCGTCATCATCATTATCAATATAAATTCATCATAATCATCATCATCACCATCACCATAATCATCGTCATCATCACCATCATCATCATCATCATTATCAATATACATTCATCATAATCATCATCATCACCATCACCATAATCATCGTCATCATCACCATCATCATCATCATCGTCACCATCATCATCCCCGGCAATCTGAATTTCATTAACAAGACTGCACCTGATAACCATCAGATATGGACTACCGTAATTAACGGTGTATAAACCGCACCTTTTTGCCGCCGAAAAAAATTCAAAGTCGGGGGTGCGGTTTATACACGGTACACCAAAAAAAAAAGTTTCGATTTATGACGGTATGCCTGGCAATGTCTCCCAGCTCAGTAATCTGTGTGTTGACTCACCACTCAGAAACTAAAACAACACTCAAATTTGTCTGTCATCTTGGTTTGAAATTAATCTTTCTGATAGATCTCAATATGTAGTTTATAATAATAATTCCTCCAATTTTTCTTCTATTACATGGTGTACGACAAGGTCCTATCCTAGGTCCTCTACTGTTTTTTTAATTTGCATTAATGATCTTACATATTCAGCTGCACCTCGCAGAAAAAGAGGGGTGCGGTTAATATACGAGGGAGGTTTATACAACGTTAATTACGGTAGACAAAAAGGTACTTGTATAATACATTCAACAATCTTCACTCAAATATACTGTAAAAGAAAATGATGAGAGTTCACTGACCTGAGCAAGTTCTAGAATCAGTTGATAGATCCTTCCAGTCAGGCACTTGGCTTCTATCCATGGTATGGAGCACATAACCTTCAGACAAACAGATCAAGTTTATTGTAGTTAGATATTCAAATATATTTATAAATGAATACATACATGGACATTGCGTAAAATGAGTTATTTATAAGACCAGAGAAATAAGTGTAAATTTATTCTGTACTTTTCATGATATCTTTAGTTTTGATGTACTATTTTTAAATCATCGTCGTGAAATGCAGTATGTGGTGACGTCACAGTTGGTGTTAAGCTATCAATTTTGATATCGGTATCGGGCTCTTAATTTCATCAGCAAATCTTTCACTCGATTTAAGAGCTCTTGACTGCTCTAAATACTAACACTAACACTAACGCCCAACTTGAAATCACTCAGTGTACTGTCAAACGTATTCAATTTTGCTACCTACGACAAAGAAACGGTTAGTATTAGGATTAAAAGATAAAATTTTGCTGAAGGTTTTCTGTCGCACCTTCTCCACTTCGTCCCACATCTTTGCTTGGATGAGATGATACGGAAGCTCCGTAAGCTTCCTCATGTTGTAACGAGGGCCGGCCGTTTTTTTTAACTCGCTCTGGAGCGACTTGGCACTGGCTGACCTCTCGTCCTGGTTGACACGGTCCAGGACCAAGGGTTGGGTCTGGACCTGCCGGAAGGCTACGTCCACTTTCTTGGTCTTCTTGCTCACGAAAGGCTTAGGCGTGTACGCCCATCTGTGAAAGGAGCAACATGCAAATGTTTGTTTGTTTGTTTGTTTGCTTTATTTATTCACCATGTAAAATAATTGTTTACAGAAAATAAAATTCAGTGGGTTACATTGAGATATAATACATAGTAGGAACAGTGCATAAACAAAAAATGTTTGAAGCGCAACGTCCCTAAGATAACATAGTTGATACTTATTAGTTACAGATATAACATGGCTTAAAACAAGACATTCTGTTGTTACAAAAAGAAAACAAAAAACAAAAATCATGCCCCTTAACGTATTTGAATAACAAGCAAAAACAAGGAAATACACATTACCTCTTCTTGACATAACTAGCATACCGTATTTGCCGGCGATAAGGCCGCACCGCCGCTTAGGCCGCACCCCAACTTTGACATTTCAAAGAGGGGGAAAAAAAAAACACTATTTTTTTTTTTACAAACTGATACCAAATTCATCAATATTCTTATAATTTACCGGAAGATTAGCTAAAAAAGCGATCGCAGGCAGATTTGGTGTCCGATTTACCCCTACCACAATGTACGGTGTGATGCGAAAATGCATGAAATGGAAAAACAAAATGGCGACTTCGGATCGATGCTTCGCGGCAGGTCCGTTTTACGGTCCCTTCCTTTACTTTTGCAATGCATTGGCACGAACTTAGATCAAGATATATCAGCAAAAGTTGTTTTAGGAAGTTATTGCAATGACGACCTTCGTCATTGCCTTGTTTTCGTTCACATTCTGCCCCATTAATATTCTCCTGGTTTTCCTTTTCCTTATCCTCATCCTTATCGTCAGGAAATCGCACGTATGACTTGACCTTCAAAATGCCATCTTCGTACTCAAAATTGAAATCTGAAACCGACTCCGTCAAAAGTCTCTCAAATTCTTGAAAAATGGAACCCTAAATAATCTAAAACTGCCATAACTTTCTCATATAAATTCTGTTTTGTATATAAATCTCACGGTATCTTTATCTCATAATTGCACATAGCCATGCCAAATGTCACGCTCCAATGGCTTTGCAAAACATAAATAGCGCCCTCTAAAGTTCTGGGAATTGGCTTTCTTTCTGTGGCCGTATCTCCATTATGGCTTGGCAGACCCGTACCCTTTTTTGGATTTAGATACTTGAGGATATGCCCTTTCCAGCCATATACAAAATTATATACCCTATCACTGACCAAATTTGAGAAAATTGCCCTCCAAATTCGCCATTTTCAAGAAAATTCCGAAATAACTTCAACTTGCTCTAAAATGGCGATCTTTATACCTACATCAATGAAACTTGGCAGATATACATGTATGTATCCATATACATGACAACTGTCAGCCAAGTTTGGTAAAATTCGCTTATGTCAGTGCAAAGTTATCGCCAAAAATGATGTTTTTACTATGCAATACGTGATAGCGCGTTTAATGCGTGCAATACTTTAGGCGCAGATGACAATGATGTCAACCTGACCGCAATGAAGTGCCCTTTCGAATGATACCAAGTATGGTATATGTTCACATAGAAAATTTTGAGTAAATCGCATTCGAACAAGGGTCACTATACAAATTTCGCCGAATTTCCGCCCGATTATAACACGTATCGGCCATGACGTAATTTTTTCAGAATGTTATTTGGTTGTGTTAGTATGGGCGGCCGTTCGTGCCAAAGCACGCGTTGCAACATGTTTATCATGCACCAAAACCTATTGGTTTTGCACGCAGTGCTTGCGAGCCCTTTCTAGATCCCTTCCTCTACTCCAATTCCCTTCAAAATTCGTAGGCGTAGTCTCTAGCATTACTTCAAGGTCACTGAATTCTTCGTTCTCCGGAAACCCTCATGCGTGACCGTCCAGGCACCATTTTTTTTCCGTTTCGGACCGTTTTGGTGACCTTTCTTTTGCCCTAACTATCTTCACTACCACAGAAGCTACAGACTTCTTACATACTGCTCTGGATAGTCCTAGAGTAGCTCCTTCGTTTGACACGTAGAAACATGGCGTCATTGCACGCACATCGTTGTGACACGATGGCATTTCTAGTTTCCGTCTTCATGTCAACATTGCAAGATAAAATTGTCGATAAGATGTTTGAAAATGTCCTGTATCATAGTGGTATAGTTTTTTTACCGTATCTAGTCCCATATGTGCAAATTCGTGTTGGTTTTGACTTAGGTTTTTTAAATTTTTTTTTACTCTTTCGTCGTAAAGGCCGCACCCCGACTTTTTGATATTTTCTCTTCCAAAAATACTGCGGCCTTTACGCCGGCAAATACGGTAACTGTTTTGTTTGTTTTACCTGACAGCTAAGAAAGCATGTGACGTACTACAACTTTTCAACTCCTGTAACACCAGAAACTTTTGTGGCATAAAACTTTCACAAATTTTAAGGACCAAACGTTTTCCCCAACATGAAACTTTCATGAATTCTTATCCACTTGAGAGATTTGCAAACATTTTTTGCACATGAAAATTATCTGGTCTAAGCTTACAATACAAATAATATAAATCAATTTGTTTTCCCCCTAAAGGTTGACATAAAATAGTAAAAGTAAAATAGATAGATGGCGCAATATAAGTTCATTATATTATCATTATTACTATCATGTTTGGGGTCCAGACTTACCTTTCTGAGAAGTATTCAGCGATGTTCTGATGGAGTTGTTGCTTGTTGGGTTGCACGTAGCGGGAGTAAGCCACCTCAAAGAATATCCTGTGGTACCACCTATAGACAACCATGTTGTCTGCTCCACTTTCAACGAGATTACTCCCTATAAACAACCATACAAAAAGAAATGGTAATAACATTAATATTTCCTAATTTAAACCAAAACAATCACATCATACAGATACTTTGGCAGTAAAACAAGAAACATATTAACAGAATCTGGTACTAAAATATATAAGCATTAAATAATTTTTTTAATAAAATGCAACTTATCTACTTTAGAGGTATTATATGATGTTAATGTCAGCCTGCTGAGTTTGCTAGCTTTTTATTTCTTAAAATCAGTGTCATTATATATGCATCCAGCCTTTTTATCTGATTTGACGGCTTAAAATACCATGTAATGTCAATTTAAATATTAATATAACCAATCAAGACTTCAATACGATACATTTTACATTGTGTGAAATCCATATCCAGTCAAAAATCCCATACATCTATGGATAGATTACATTCTCTATCATTTTGTTCCCTTTCTTAAAGTCTCAGTTAAAGTATTGATTGTTCTTTTTTACTTGCTCTAATTCTTGAATATTATCATTTTCATTATTAAATGGAATTATGTATTAATCTATTGATTGACTAAAGCATCAGTGCTTAAAGGTAACTTACTTATTTCTGTTTCTGTATGATTGTTTTTTGTATAATTCACATATTGAAGTGGAATATAATTTATGTTGAATGGAATAAAAAAAAGATCACAGGAAAACAAAATCTAAACCAGTTTCACCTGTTTCACAAAGCCCTTTTTCAATGACAAATGCCCAAATTCAGTGACAAATCTGCTGATAACCAATCACACGCAAGGATTTCACTAGCTTATAACAAACACTGTCATTTGTCACTGATGACAAGTTTTGTGAAATGGGGCCCAGTTGTAGTTGGGTGGTAATAAGTCTCAACTGGCCTTTACGTTGTTTACAACTGAGTTGGCAGAACCTTGAAAGGAAAAGAAGAAAACCAATTCCATACCTAGATCAAGTCGTAACCTTGTCCACAGTAATGGTGGTAGCTTTCGTATTGGGGGAGTGGAATGTTCGAAGACGTCTTCCAGGACCGGGTCATCACATGACAATATATCGAGCAGCTCATTGGACGTTAGACCGGAGCGGGAACAAGTCAAGTAGCCGAGGGCGTGGGCCACGAAGAGTAAACCATGTTTCTCTTCCAGCCTAAAATAAATCAGAAATAAATTATTATTTATGGAGTCATAGTTAAATAGAAGAAGCGATTAAAGGGGAGTTCCCTGATATAAGTTGTTTTCAATAGAAGCAGAGAAGAGGAAAAGGTCAGTGAAAGTTTCCGCAACTTCTGATTGAAAAAAGGAAAGTTATGAATTTGTAAAGTTGCGATTGATCAAACACAAATTGGCAACTCTGTGACGTACCTTGCTAGGTGCCCTCCCATTTTGCTCTGTACTAAAAACAATCTTTCTTTTTTCCTTCAAGAAAATGTTCAATCATACATGCACCCTAGATATAAATATTGCAAATAAGTATGGAAAAAATCTATTACATCATTCAATAACGAAGAAATTGAAAGTTAATGAAATTTTAAACTGTAATTTAATTTATAAACGGTGCTTCTTACTAAGATATTGTGGGAGATGTGAGTTAGTCTAGCGGCACGTTCACTTGGTTAGCTCACTGTCTTCATCTACAAACTGACTCAGGCGAACCTGGTTCGAAACTGAGTCACGTCTTTCGAACCGGGACGTTAAAGGTCAGTCCCCAGACGTAAATGATCATATCTGATTGATACACGTCTGTACAAAAACCCGATTAGTTGTAGTAGTGGTGGTTATTTTTACCTGACGTGAGCAACCAGAGGACCAACGGCTTTAGGTCCTCTCGAAAAAAGACCTGGCAATGAGGATTAATGCCTTACCAAAGGGCACTAGTGCATCGCCTTGATTTCGAACCCGGGTCGCCAGATTACGAGACCACTGCTCTACCAACTGAGCTATCACGCTATCACACACATACACAAGGTAATAAGATTCTTACTGTTCAAATAGCTGCGTGATGATGCCCGTGATGTTGCCAGCTATCTTGCAGGTGGAGAGGGGTGTATAAGAGTACCAGTTGCTTGCCATGTCACATGCTATCTTCATGTAGAGAGCTGTTGGCTTGTTGTCCTGGTGTGCCTTCAGGACTATCCTCTTCTGGTCTGGCGTCAGCGTTCTAAAGAATACAATTTAATAATAATAGTTATAATACACAACATTTATTAGGCACTTAAAGGGATAGTTGAGTTCTGTTTTCAGACCGCAAATGCCTTCAAAGTGCATGGTTATTGCTCTTATTCTTATCTATGACATTTTTAGTGCCCTTTTAGAACCTAAAATTGCTATGAAGGTAATTTTAGACCCCAAAATGTGTGAAATTTAGCCAATATACGATCATACCAATTCAGCTCCACTTTAAAAAAGAACATGGTGCACGTAAATTAATTATTTAATTAAAAATGACAATACATGAGCTGGCTAATTGTGGGTAATAAAAGCCAACATCGGTATTGGCTAAAATACGACGTTAAAGGCGTTATTTCGTTTTTTTCAACATTTTTTTTCAAATTTTTCAAAATATCTAATATTTGTGGTGGTATACAAGTATTAGAAATCGTTATATTTCAGCCGTCTCTGAACCGATTTTGATCAAACAAAGATGATTTTGTCATTCAAATATTATGTTCTTTCAAATTTGACACTCAGTTTTTAATTATCTCACAAAAAAATTATTTTGTGTAGCACCCTCTGCAACAGAACTCAACTATCCCTTTAATATGATTGTTTTCTAAGCGTACCATTGTCTGTCTACAAGATTTAATTACCAACCAAAACTTAATAAACACACAATTTATAAAACTCTTCTTCTTTCAATAAATAATGCATGTATAATAATAAAAATGAGATCAAACATAAGATCGAACAAACAAGGAATAAGATTGTTTGCACGGCCTCCTTTGACTGACTCACAAGTGAGCCTGTGTAGAATATCATTCATGAATTCAAAAGGTGTGTTTAGTGTGGTCTTAAACTGGTCAAGGGAATTGAGTATTATGAATATGCACTGGTAATTTGTTCCATTGAAAAAGTTTCATTATGATCAACCTGTCTTGCCACTTTTAAAAGATCACACAAGACAATCTACTTTCCTCAGTAATAAAGAATGATGTATACCTATTTTATGATATTTAAGTTTCTCTCATTCTTATCTGTGATTTTATAAGTGCTGTGGTGCCTTTAGTTTTTAGCGCTTCTAAATAATCTATATTATTATTGTTATTATTATTATTATAAAAGTTGGCATCGCTGATTCTCATCACCTTTACGTCTACTAATCAGTGATTCCCTCCGAGCATTAGTCATCGATCAGCCTTAGGTCGGCGAGGCTTATTTCATATGTGAACTTGGCGCTGCTAACCTGCCAATCATATATATAATTGGGCGCTGTCGATTCCATTAACACAATAACCCAACAGCGCTTTGTTACCTGCTGGCTGACCCCCACATTGAAAACATTTAAAAACAGAGTAGTTCGTTTTGACCAACATTCCCCCACCCCTTAACCCTAATAAGGCCGGAGGGGGACGTACATTGTACAGATGGCGCCCGGCCACTCACTGACTTTTTTCTTTCAAGTCTTTTAAAACAAAGAGGAAGCCTCATCGGACAAAATATCAGAAAGTTATGAATATGAACAGGAATGGGCTCTTCAAATTGGTTATATTGCTGTGATGTAGTGGGAGACAACTTTCTCAAAATGACAAAAATTTCAATTTTTCAATAATGCATGACTCAGGATGGTTTATTCTCTTTAGAGGACCTAGAATAATATGCTATCCACAATATATTTTGATCAGTGCCCCCCAAGGGAGAATATAAATTAATTATATTTTTGTACGCGACAAACAGGAGAGTTATCTGAGACTCCGTCACAATCCACTGTTCAAACTGCCAATTTGAGATTTGCATTGACTTAGAAATCTCATATTTCAAACATTCATAACTTTCTTATTATTGGACCGATTCATTTCGAACTTTTACGATTCTGTTTCTCTTATTTTCCTGCTTTCATACAAATGGGTTGGATTGCCCTTTAAAGATAAATTTGAGTTAGAGGGGTGGAATGTCACCGGGGAGTTTAGCCCCTTCTCATTCTTACATAACACCGCATAAACAAAAATAGGGCCCTTTTCTTCTGTTTCAGGCAAGTTGGGACCCTTCGCACTCTTTTCAAAGACATGCAAAGCACTAATTAAGGCCGTTTAATTTTCAATCAATATCTTGTTAATTATAATAAGGATAATCAGTAATCGCAAATTAATTTCATCATGCAGAAGTGACCAACACTATAACTATAACTATAACTATACTAGGTGATATGCATAACTAAATATCGCTGAAAATTGAGGAAATAATAATAATAATAATATTAATTATGATTATTACCCTGGCCTTAGCATGGCTGCACTTACGGCGCTCTAGCAATTCAAGGGATTCATTCCTGCCAGGTACCCATTTACATCACCTGGGTTGAGTGTGGCAAATGTAGATCAATGTCTTGCCAAAGGACATTAGTGCCGCGGCGGGACTCGAACCGCGGACCTTGTGATCGACAGTCGAGGCCTTTTTTATTCTCAACCAACAATATCAAATTTGGTATATACCATTATTTGATCAGTTTAAGAACTCATAAGGGTGTAATAAAGACACAGTCAGCTTACCTTCCATTGTTGGCAAGTAAGCATTCTAGCATGGGCGACTTGGAGGTGTCATTCAGAGGCTTGATCTAAAAATGGAAATGATGTAAGAAAACCATTCATCTTTATGTTCAGTAACTTCAGTGGGAACATAAAAGAAACTTAGAAAATATGTTTAACATTTAATAGCAACTTCTCACAGAAAATAAATAATTGTAAGAAATGGATATGAGTTCAAGGTACTTATTCCCCTCAGAACATGCTGACAAATGAAGCCTTGAAAGTTTGGTAAACAAGTTTAATAAGATAGTCACAGTGCTACAGAATAATGTGGAAATTGTTATCCTTGTTAAAATGATATCTGTGATTTCAAACTTATGAGCACTACCAAACAAATAAAATTTCATCCCCCATTCTTTTGATGCTTTATCTAGCATTGCCAGACTAATACAAATAAATTAAATTTCTTTCAAAATCAACCCAAGATGCTAGCTATATATAGATCAACTTAGAGTTCCCATTGCTTCATTGCTTTAGAAACAGAACTTGTTATAGGCATGCCCTACAACAATCCCTTACACAAAACATAGCTGCCTTCAACATAAAGGCCCGAATTCGCAAAGTAGGTTGAAACTTAACCCATGGTTTAAATCTTCATTTACATAACCCATGGTTTAAAATTAGCGCAAATTAAACGCGCCACAGTTAGGGTTCTCATATTAGACGTGCGCAAGGCAATTACGCTTAATTTGCGCTAATTTTAAACCATGGGTTATGCAAATGAGGGTTTAAACCATGGGTTAGATTTAAACCTCCTTTGTGAATTTGGGTCAAAGAATCAATCATAAATATTTCCCCGAGGTTGGGTCTGCTTTTTATGCTAAAATCAATTTGAGATAAACATTGTTACATGTACATTACAAAAATTGTGACAACCCCATGGAAGGACCCATTTACAAATTATTCACAAATTGCTACAAATAATGCGCACAAAAGAATGTTAATTCTGAGCATCAGATGAGCTCACCTCTAGAAAGTAGTCTGACTTGTCGATGAGGTTCTTAATGGCTGTGAGGCAGAACCCGGCATCCGGTCGAACTGTCACCACCATGTGGACGTAATTAGACAGTTGCCTTGGTAACCAGAGGAGGTCACGACCTTGGTATTCATCCGACAGCTGGTCCAAGGAGTCCAGGAAGATCACTGGAGATGGGAGAGATGTATATATGCAAAATTATTGATTGCTTAAAGTGACTAATTGGTAACATTGTCCCAGATTCTGAAACAAAATCCTGGATTGAGCTCACGCTGCAATCATAATTATTTACCTTTAGGTTAGTCAGAAACCCCATGACTTTTACAAGCCAAGCACCTCTCTGATTATCGAGATATTTATGATTGGAAATCGAAATTTTTAATTTTTTTTTTCTAACAGGTTTTGCGACACTACAGTCTATCGGGAAAAATGAGTATGGTAAAACTGGTCACTCAAAGATTTTTACTTTTTCAAGGCACTTCATGATTATTTTGAAGCGCAATTTTCTTTTTTTTTAAAGGCTTTTACACCATATCACAGACACTGATATCACAAAAGGGAAATATGACTGGGACCACCCTCTATGTTTAGGTGTTGCATCCAGTGGATAAGTCTCCGGATTGAGAACCGCAAGGTAAGGGGTTCAAATCCCTGCCACATCGCTAATGTCCTTTGACATGACATTAATATACATTTGCCACATGCAAATCCAAGAGGGGTAAAGGAGTACCTGGCAGAATTAATTTCTTGAAATGCTAGAGCACCGTATGAGCAAACACTTGAAATCCGGGGTTATAATCCTGGAGTGTCAGAAGTGTCAAATCTGACAGGCATGAGCGCTACTTACGAACCCACTATTATAAGCAGTAGTACATTGAAACCTGTCTATAAAGACCACCCAAGCCAGACTAGAAAAGTGGTCTTTATAGGCAGGTGGTCTTTATGTACAGGTACATGTTTCGATGAGATACCATTTTCAAGGGAACAAAAAATGTGGTGTTTGTAGAAAGGTGGTCACTAAAGCAGGTTTGACTGTAGTACTCACTAATTGGATTATTCCTTGAAGCCTTTTGTAGGAGGAGTAAGAACATGCTCTGTAGCTTCTTGTATTCTTTGGGAATGAAGTGGTCATCAAGGCCAAGACAGTGGCAGATCTACGGAGAAAGAATGTGTGTTAAAACATTGGTTAAACTACGCAGATGTGACTCAATCTCTATGTACAATAAAGACCACACATGTATATGTTTTGGCTAGAGCCATATTAAAGGGAGTGTAGCATGGCAAATACTGGTTAACGCCATCTACGACTTCTTTCGGACATCTGCATGTAAACGAATGGACTAGATTAACCGTAGTCAGCGACTTAATCTCTACATGGTCTGCGAGAAACAGACAGAAGTTCTCCTCATGCTTCGGTTTCGCGTATGTTGCACGCACGTGATTGCTGCGGTCGCGTCGTCCGTATAGTTGTATTATACCCGATTGGCCCAGACTCCGGCCACAGGAAAGACACGTAGTCTCTGTGACACCACACCCCCTTTAAAGTAACCTTGTTGGACAAATTCTGAAACTTGAAATGTCTGCAAATATGTGGCTCACATTCACAAAGTTTCATGCCACGAAATACTTGAACCACATGACATACTAGCGAATCTATATAATACATGAAAGGTTCATGTCGTGAAAATCCCTAGTTTTACGGTATGTCAATAAACCTGTATGATACACGGTACATCTTCTAATTTCAAAGTCAATTATATAAACTGTACATGTAGGATGTACGTCATACCCTTGCAAAACGGAAATGAGAAATGCTACAAACCTGTTCACAGATGCTATAGAGAAGGTTCCTAATGTCGTAGGACTGTGGTGTGATACCAATAAACCTCACAATATGAATTGGCCTAGAAAAGCAGGAGTACAAACGACAAAAGTGAAATAATATGATTTTTAAATCGTATATACCGGGTGTCTGATATGTACAATTACATATAAACACATAGAAATATATACATATATAAATATAAACACATAGAGTCAACGGTGTATCAGTAATTGTGGTTCACAGTCCAGAGATTTATCCACTAGACACAAGGTGAATGAGCTTTGAGATAACTACTGTATGATTAACTTTATCAAAAGCCTTAGAAAAGTCTGTTGTGACTAGAATGGATATGGTACCTAATAAGTTGGCATGCTTCGTTAGAAAGTTTACAATATCTACAAGAGGGTGTGTTGTTGATCTACTCGGTCTACTCCCAAACAGTTTGGCATCTGTATAGTTTGGATGAGATATCAGACATCAACCATACATAGACCACAACACCTCTAAACTAACAACTCTGGTGTACAATTATCAGTTTTTTTTTCGTTTTTTTTTTGTGGGGGGGGGGGAGAGATTGCAGGTAATTTCATTACCTATTGGCGACCTGTCCCTTGTACTTCTCAACGGACATGCTGAAGAGCTTGGCAAGGAGGGCGGTCTTTCCCGTGCCTCCCAGACCGTGGATGACGAAGGGTTTGTCCTTGTTTGTCGCACTCGACAGGTATCCCATCAGTCTCTCCAGGTTCTCTTCCTGTCCGATGACCGTCGCCGCCCGGTCTCGGCAGAAGCTGCTGTGGTGCATGACCTCGACGAAGAGGTAGTTGTCCATGTCGTGTAGAGCCGTGATGGCATCTAAATAACAATACCGGTAATAATAATGCATGTATAGAGCGCAGAAACTATCCATGACGAAAACAGTCCATTTAAACTTCACCCCACTTTGGACCCGAAAGTGGGGTGCATTTTGGTAGTAAGCTCACCACAGAGCAAGAGAGAGTTAGAGTCCCTAATCTGCAGTATAAACAAACTTTGCCAGGACATCGCCAGCCCAACCTTGATAAGTACTGCTTGTAACTCCTCCATGATGTTCTAGTCTTATTCGCAGTCTCATAGGTTCGGATTATGTCCATTCTCATAGCTACCGGTATACATGGGAGATGCCAGTTTCATCTTCCTTGCTTCACTTTATAAGCATAGTTATATCAGGAACTTCCTGGTTATGATTATGTTCCTTTCAAGTTTCATCATAATTGTCTAGTTCGATATAGTACATGGACACAATTAAATATGATATTGTCTAAAATTGTCAAAAATATCTTAACATCAAAATGATTTCTGGTCATGTTTAACTATTTTAATTGAAGCCTTTTTACTTGATCTAATACTTTTATGAGGATGACATAGTCCGCAATAAACTTAACAAACATTATCATCCATACTATATGTCGTAGTTTATAACAATAATTACTCATGAACCTCACACTACAAGGACAACATTCATCCAGATTCTGAGATTGCTCATTCTCTCGAAGCTTGGTGTACGCGAAGATATCGGGAAAGAAAGCGGTCTGTAATACCAGACACGCAAGTGGGGTATTTCGGTCCCCGTTCACCGAAAAGTGAGATTCTCCATTTGAAAGTCGGGTAAGGTCGACAAATATAGCCTCTGTTAAAGGCGTTACTCCGCCACCAAATTTATTCGCATAGACGAAATAAACTCGAACGCGTTTAGAAAAATGGTGTAGGCCTAGGCCTATAAGGAAAGGCCGGGAAAACAAACATTTTGTTGGTTTGACCGTTATATATTTTTGAGGTATTAAAGCAAGAATAGAATGTTGTAAATATTGTTTTCGTTACATTTATTCCGTGCGTAATCTCAAGGTCTACTCAACTTTCTTTGCCTATTTCTTGCCCCCCCCCCCAAACGGCAGATCAAGGATTTGAAAATAGGGAGTGGCCGTGGCTCAGACGTCAAATTTGAAATAGGGGGGGGGGGGGGAGGGGGGGGGTGGTTGTTTAGGCAGACGGCATATTTCTTGGAATTCGTAATAAAGACGGTATTTAAAAAAATGATGATTCTGGCAAGATAAGAATTGAATTTCATAAAACTTTTATTCGATTTAATATGATCTGTATACGTATAGGATACAATATTTATTTCCCCACAACACATCAAGCCGTGATGATTGAATGTCCATTGCATGTAACTCGAAAGAAACGGAAACTCTCACATCTACAATCCTTTAGAAAGATAATAATTAGCCGAGTAATTAGGGCATTACAAGACATCGAAGGACTTAATCTATTTTACAATAGTTGATGCAACCATAATGGAACATTATGCTTCTCGATACTGAGGATATGAAATTTCAGCACAAGTGTATTTGGTTTCAAAATTTTATAGCAGTTCGTTAAAGAAACATTTCGATGCTCACTTGTATAATAAATCTCTATGACAAGCTCATTTTTATCACGACAGTTAAACCTTTTCACTTTTTGATACTAAAGATTGTTGAAGAATTGCCTAATTGACTGCTCGGATGATTTTTTACCTTTCTCCGAAACCTCTTGGTTTTTTGCTCATGATTATAGCGCATTATTCTTTTTGTCACTGTATGTATTAATAAGCAAATACATATCTGCACAATGAACGTCTTTATGATTATGATGTCCTCGTTTCGTTGTATGTTATAAATTCAATATCATGACGAGAAGTGCGTCAAAAATATCTTAACATCGAAATGATTTCTGGTCATGTTTAACTATTTTAATTGAAGCCTTTTTACTTGATCTAATACTTTTATGAGAATGACATAGTCCGAAATAAACTTAACAAACATTATCATCCATACTATATGTCGTAGTTTATAACAATAATTACTCATGAACCTCACACTACAAGGACAACATTCATCCAGATTCTGAGATTGCTCATTCTCACGAAGCTTGGTGTACGCAAAGATATCGGGAAAGAAAGCGGTCTGTAATACCAGACACGCAAGTGGGGTATTTCGGTCCCCGTTCACCGAAAAGTGAGATTCTCCATTTGAAAGTCGGGTAAGGTCGACAAATATAGCCTCTGTTAAAGGCGTTACTCCACCACCCAATTCGGAACAGCTTGCCACATGCAGTATCGTGAATGCGCCCGGCACTCTGAGCGGCCGTTTTTCAGTGTATTTTCTTTTAGTGTTCTTAAAAATTCGCCGTGTCGTTTGATCAAAGAGGTACTGGGCAAGCCTGCCTATTAATGATTTGGTTCAATACATCAGCCATCTAACCTTTATGTTTTAAGGTAATGATTATATTTATGCAGAAAAACTAAAATACTTGTGACAGTGCGATTATTTCAAGCCGCCCTTTTTAGGTTATTATGCAGCAACATGACCAATCAAAGTTTGGTCCAGTTAACGCTTGTTGGTTGGTGGTTTTTTTAAAGTTTATTTGTCCAATTAACTTTTTTATCTTCTCAATGTTTCCTTTCCATGTTTTCTTTCCATCTTTCCTCATGTTTTTCACTATTATCACCTTTGTTCTATATACCTTTCGGCTAATATTATTCTTTATTTTTCTCCTTCTTTCAACATCTCTTTTCTAATTTTCATTATATATTTCTTTATTTTCTCCTAATTTTATCTTCTTTAGCCATCTTTCCTTATGCCCTTCTTTATTTTCTCCGTCTTTCTAATTTTCATCTTTCCTTATGTATTCCTCTATTTTCACCTTGTTTTATTCTCTCTATCTTTTCTCATGTATTTCTTTATGTCTAACCTTCATTATCTTCTGTTTCCATCTTTCCCTGTGTATTTCTTTTTAAACCTTCTTTTATCTTCCTTTTCCATCTTTCCTTATGTTATTTTTTATTTTCTCCTAATTTTATCTTTTTCATCTTTCCTTATGTATTCCTCTATTTTCACCTTGTTTTATTCTCTCTATCTTTTCTCATGTATTTCTTTTTTTTCTAACCTTCTTTATCTTCTGTTTCCATCTTTCCTTATGTATTTCTTTTTAAACTTTTTATCTTCCTTTTCCATCTTTCCTTATGCTATTCTTTATTTTCTCTTCCTTCTTTCCCTCCATTTCCATCTTTCCTTATTATCACCCGTCTTTCCCTATTTTATCCTCCCTTTATATTTTCCTTCTGCATTTTTCCATTGCCAAGCACGTCAATGTTCTCTTCTATACGTAAAAGAAACTTAAATAGCTAGTACTTGCTAAAAAAAAAAACCAATATGAAGTGAGACTTTAGACACACTGAATCCAGGCCTATTATAAATATAGGTGTAGGGTCTGCGATGAGAAGACTATGAATCTGGACTGGATATCAGATACCAGCTGGTAATCCCTTTATCAGTAACTAGGCTATGATTGACCACTGTCTCTCTCCCCATGGACCCTACTGGTAATCCCTTTATCAGTGGTCAGTGCTCCTATCAGATTATGGTAGCTCCAGGAAAAGTGGTGAACTGGTGAGCAGAGCTCAAATGAGATGTTTTCCTAATGCCAACATCAAGTATATACTCTACTGCGCTACAATAGCTCCTGGTATGCTTAGGTTCACAGTTAATTGAACAGATGTGCTTTTAGTTTTGATTTGAAGATGGACACATAGAAAACATGTCAGCTGAAAACGAGAAGGGCTATAATACAATTTAGAATTGATATACATGTATATTTATTAGTACAGTGAAACCTGTCTATAAAGACCACCCAAGGGAGACAAGAGTAGTCTTTAAAGGCAGGTTGTCTTTATGTACAGGTTCCTTTAGTTCAAGTTTCAATAAGAAACCATTTTCTAAGGGAAACAAAAAATGTGGTCTTTGTAGACAGGTGGTCTTTCTATACAGGTGGTCACTAAAGTAGGTTTGACTGTATATACAAGGAGAATTGTAACAGACTTTTATAATTTGTGTAAATACAGTCAAACCCATCTATTGAGACCACCTAAGAGAACAAGAGAAAGTGGCCACTGTAGACAGGTGACCTTTCTAGACAGGTTCTACAACACACATTTCTTTCTTGAGGGAGACAAAATACACGGCCACTATAGACAGATGAACTTTATAGAGAGGGGTCACTAAGACACGTTTGAATGTAGATAGTAGGGTAAAAGCTTTTCGTTTTCTTTATGGATTAGCGTGGGAAAGTCGAGACTCTCTTGTGACAAATAGTATGTTTCATTATTTTGGAGGGAGGAGGGTCTCTCTTCGTAGTTTTCTTAAATCTGCGCATATGGCACCATCTTGCAAACAGTTGTGATTGATTCAAATCCATCACAAAGATTTTAAAAGACAAACGTGTAGGATTTTGTATAAGTTTTCAACTGTTTGAGAACTTGAGATTAAGCTGAATCGATCGCAACTCACTATAGGACAGCTAGGCCAAAAGCTAAATTGCTTTCCGTTCTTGTGTATCATTTTGCTGCTTGACAGATTTTACCACAAAATGTCTGTTCCATAGGATTAAACTCCATGTTGCTAGTATTTTGCATTTTTACCCCATTTTTTTCTTTCCCCCCCCCCCCATATCTCAAATTAAACTCCATTTTGCTAGTATTTTGCAATACAGAGGGGCCTGAGTAATAATCATGCCAATTTTTTGCCATTTTCACCCCATTTTTTTCTTCACCCCACAACCCCCTCCCCCGATTCTACCCAGGGAACACGTGACCTATCAAACCTTACATGTATGTCAGCCCATAATGGAGGTACTTACATGATTTGATAGAATTGACCATGAACTGGCAGAACATGTCAATGAAATCCCTGAGTGTTTCCTTGTTCTTCTCATCCTTCATCATCTCATCTTGGCTTGGTAGAAATCGTAGAGAGTAACTGGGAAAAAAATATGTATTTGTCAATTATTTAGTATTACTTTGTCATATATGCACACTTGACAATGATTATAATGATCATAGCATTAATATGGTGCAATACTATTAAAAAAAATCAAAGGTACAGGCTCCTCTAATAGGTATTGACATATTTGCTGAAAAGGGTAAAATTTGAGGAATGATGTGAATTATTTGAATTTCCTAAAGGAGCGTGTTCCTCAATATGACAGTTGTTCATACACTGAATGGCAAAGATGGTTAAATCCATAGACAAAACACCAGAATTACTACTTAAGGATTATGCACAAAAGATTTTGATGTCAGCAATACTAAATCCATTAACATTGTTAAATGCCAATATGTCACTGTTCAGTCAACAATGAATTGACTTTCATGATGTGAGAAACATAAGAATTAAAGCTTGTCTGCACTAGTTTGGCCAGGGGGATTAAACCTCCCTGCAAGGTCGCTGACAGGTGGTTATCTCATCAAATCAGCTCTCAATTAACATAAGAAAAGGGGGATCATGGGGCACCAACAGGCATCAATTAGCTATAAGTAGTGCAGTAGGACTTTAAACGATTGAAGATTATATAGCACTCTCTCTCTTACATAACCCAACTCCTGAGATCAGCCCTATGTATGCTATGCCACTGACTATACTTACTTGTACAGAGCATCCGAGGACATCGCCTTTAAGAGTTTCTCCTTCAGCTCTCCTAGCTTCCTCTGTTTCTCGGCCTGCTCCGCTGGGGAGCCGCTATCCAGGAAGCTACGGCTGAACTTCTCCGTGGGATCCAGACCGTGAACGCAGCGAGTGAAAGTGAAGCAGCGAGGAGGGCCACTGGAGCTCCGGCTGTCTATTCCTTCAAGACCGACTTCTATCTCACCTGCAAATGAAAAAACGTTATGAAATAACATCTCTATGCGCTTCTAAAGAGCTTTGAAAATTATTACCCTAGCTTAAGCTCCGGCAGCCATTATCAGCGCACAGTGCATTTCAAGGAATAATCCTACCAGGTACCCATTTACCTCACCTGGGTTGAGTGTGGCAAATGTAGATCAATGTCTTGCCAAAGGACATTAGTGCTGCGGCGGGACTCGAACCGCAGACCATGTGATCAACAGTACGGTGACATATCCACTCGACCACAACACCTCTACATTTACATTTACATTTCCCGACTGCCATTTTGAAATTCATCGATTTTTGAGGAATACCATTTACAGTACAGGAAAAAACAGTTGGTGGTTGATCATTCTAATTTTTGGATGAGCAGCGCATGGAAGCGAGGATCAAGGAGAGTCAGGTGACACAAAACAAGAAACGTACCAAAGTTTCAAGAGCGGGCATTTACACTGCAAAAATCTGTGAAATTTCGGCAGGCATTTAAAAAAACCACTCTAGAGTAGAGGTATGATTTTTTTTTCACTTTTAGTTTTCTGTCTTGTTTGCCGGTACCAAAGAAACACCGGAATGTGAGTTAAATTGATGATTTTCGCTTGCAGTGTAAATGTAGTTATTTTTATTTGTTTATAATTTGTATTTTTCCCCCACAGTAGGGTGTTTTATTAAATAATAATGCAGTATACATTTTTCTTCATAACAACAGCTAATGGGTAAATGTAGTTATTGATGCACTTTACAGTATGGGAAGACTGAAGTACAATGTCGGAATACTGTACGTGGTATGTAGACCCATTTATGAGAAGTTCTGGTTAGAACAGCATTCTTGAACAACATGTTTTACCTGCACGGCTTCCTGGGAATTCTGTGGTGACAATAAAGGCAAGGCCCTCATGAGGAACTAACTTTATCATATGACGAACTGTGAGATTTCTTTGAATTCAGTTACCAATCTGATAACATAATGCTGAATTTTCTTGAATTTAGTTTAACAATAATGATATTCAGCTTTTATATAGCGCTCAATACATCTCGGACGTCTCTTTAGCGCTTTACAGATATTACCCCGGTCATTGAATTCAATACTTGCCGGCACACACTGTGTGCACAATCTCACTCCCTGGGGAGCATTCCAGCCATGCGTAACTTGACGCTCACAAACTGTTTGACAAACAATGACGGTCGCATCCTACCAGGTACCCATTTTAACACCTGGGTGGAGAGTAGCAATTGTAGGTTAATATCTTGCCAAAGGATATAAGTGCTGTGTCGGGATTCGAACCCTCGACCTTCGCATCTCCAGTCAAGCGCCTTAAACAACTCAACCATGACACTCCCGTTAGCAAATCAAGTCACTTTGGTTGCTCTAGGGAGAGGGGAAAGTGTGTTTCTATCGTCCTTACCTTCTGTAACTGACTGAGTAACGTCTTTGACGTATTCCGGATCCATGTCAGGGGCGTACTTGACGGCCCTGTAGATACAGGTCTGGAGGACTGAGAACACCTTGTTCCACTCCTCTCTGTCGGTCCCAGCAAGGTCCTCATCAAGGCTGTAGTAGTTCTGGAGCCTGGAGTCGATCGGCTGGAGGAGGTACTCGGGCTCTACATGCCAAGAATAACAGAATTTGTATATATAAATATTCAGTTGCTATCATGTGAAAGATGGGTGTGTTGTAATGCTTTATTTGGTATGTTGTCGATCTGGGGGGTGTTTCACAAAGACTAAGATTGACTTTAAGTTGGAGTTAACTACGGCAGGCCGTTCATGCCATTATTTGCTCTCACCATTTACTGTCATTTGACACTTGGGACTGACCAACATCCATGTACAAAGTGAAACTTCATCTTTTAACAAAGCATTTATAACAATTTGAACATTTCATTCAATGTCATTTCATTCAGAAACATCATGTATTCTGTTTTCTAACATCTTGGGGGTGTTTCACAAAGATCTTAAGTTGAACTTATCTGTAAGTTGGACTTAACAATTATTGAAAGCCTTTAGCATCTTTGAAAATATTTTGTAAAAGTTATTTTAAAGGGCATAAAATGTTGATTCAAATCGTTTATATTTTTATAATCAAGGAGATTTCATGTTCTTGATGTGGAATTTATGAAAAGTCTTAAAATACTTTAATTTTCACTTTTGAGTATATTTTATTTTGAGGCAACCAATGGCTCTCCATAATATTTAAGTCCAATTTAGGATCTTTGTGAAACACCCCCTTTGTATCTTAACTTTCTTGACAAATAAACCATACGCTACCTCCAAGAGCATTGGTATCCTTAATGTACCACTCCTTTATGAGGGCCACAGCTTCTAACGACTCGCTAGTCTCTTCCTTCTCTAGGTAGGATATGACCTTCAAAAAGTGGGTCATTGTAAATTTGGAGGGTATGGGTCGATACCCGTACTTGTCCCCTAGGATGGCCACAAAGTAAGGGCCGATAGAACCATCTCTGTAAAATAAAAAGTGAAGAAAGGAAAAAGAGAAAATAGTTAAATCAATAGATTTGATTTCGCATATATATTTATTTCACATATTGTCATTTTTTTACAATATTCTTGTGTTTACAAACCATATTCCAAACCAAAATTTCAAGAGAATACTGAGGAGGTAAAGGCGAAAATGTTAACACTACGATTCTACTGCCAGTCTTTTGTTTTTAACATAACTATTGATTAAAAAGATTGAAGCTACAGACTACTAACTTCCTTGCCCATAAGGGAGGGGAGAGGGGACTCAACAGATATGCTTCCAGTGTCAAAAATAAAACCTCCCTGGATGTTCTACCATTACATCAACTTTTTCACTTTTTTTCAGGATATTTATAATACCTCTATTTAACATGTTATTCAAAGGATGACCATATTTAGCCCCTGGGGCTACGCAAACTGGCCCTGTAACCCCTTTGCAATCTTGATCTCGTATCTGAATGTTGTTTTCTTCAAAATTTCAAAAGATCCCCTTCTCCCAAACCCATACGCCAAGAACAAAGTGGATTCGACCTTACCTACACCTAGCGACCTCATCGTAACAGATATCAGCAGCCATGTGTCTGTTGGATGCCCCTTGTCGGATGCCCCAGCGGAAATCCACCACGTTGAAGTCGATGCCGATCTGGCGGCAATAGTCCCTGATGTACGGGTAGGCATCCATAAGTAGCAAGTCTCTCTCTATCCTGGTGTCCGTGAAGGTGGAACTGATGAAGACCCAGACGGACCTTCCGCTGGTGTCCATCCCCGGCGGGGGCACGGTCCCACGGATCATGTCGCGGAACATCTGCGTGCTCTCCAGGTCACTGCAGGCGGTGTCCTGCGCCTTCTCCTGCTCCTGCTCGAGGTCGGATGCCGCGTTGTGGAGGATGCTTCGCCAGGGTTCGCGCTCGCTCCGCATGCTGCTCCAGAGCCCGTTGTTGAGCAGCTTGAAGCGGATGGTGGCCTTGAGGCCCATCCAAGCCTTGGAGTTCCTGTGGTGGTGGCCACCTGCTTGCCTGTTCTGCAGGGCTGGAATGGAGCCTGCCGAACCCATTCTGGAACGTTCACCAGGGGCCCGTTTCACAAAGACTTTTTACAATGACAAATGACAAACATCAGTGACAAATCTGCTGATAACCAATCAGAAGCGAGGATTTTAGTAGCTTATAACAAAAAGACTGTCATTTGTCACTGATGACAAGTTTTGTGAAATGCTGCCCAGGTTCAGGCAGCGCTCCTTTGGGCTGGTCGGAAGCAAGTCGGCCTTAGCAAAGGTTTTATTTTTCTTTAAGATTCCATGGTGGTTGTGATGAAAGAACTCTCTGTACTGTGAAAGATAAAACGTAAAGAAGTGTTAATAAATACAAACATTAAAAGACTATAATTGATTGCAAAGTAGTTCTATTAAACTTTAATTCATTAATATACTTTGTCTCAAAATATATTCTTGCGTTTTAACCTACCCGGGTATACATCTACCTTTCACTAGTTTCTGGAAGAATTTTCAAGCAGATGAACTCTCTAATTCTCCCCTCCCTTACATGTATCTCTCTCCCTCTCTCTATCTCTCTCTCTATTTCTTGATCACCACCTCGTACACCCTCTCTCTATCCCTCCCCAACTCTCACTCTCTCTCTCTCTCTCTCTTTTTCTTTTATTCTCTCTATTTTCTTTCTCTCTTTACATATCGTCACCGTTTTCACGAAGTGGTCTCGTGGCTCGCGCAGCAACAAAAGTGAATTTCGAGATAAACGCATTTTAACATTTCATGTTATTAAAACGGGGGTTAACGTACATCTTCAAAGATTTCCTTTGACAACCACATAGTACAGATTCTAACGATTCTGCTCATTTATATTTTGTTTACAAAAAATATATAATCAAGTGGGGATATTGTAACAAACTGTGGGATCGGTTCGTGAAAACGAAAATATGCGCATTCAACATACGCGTCGTTTTCACGAAGCGGTCTAGAGGAGTGCGCGACCGGTTCTTGTGTGAGAGGTCTCGCCTTTTCCGTTTTCACGAAGTGCGCTATTCGACAGCAGGCTATATGAGTTTCATGAAATATCTCGTAAATACCATCTAGGAGTTTTGTTTCCTTTCATAAGATGAAGTAGTATGACCCTTTAAACAACATATATTTTTTCACAAGCTAAATTCTTACACATTAATGAGTTATTATAAGTTTAAGTTGTTTAATTATGTTTGTCGCCCTCTTGAGTCCCAAAATGGACAAATGGACGAAAGGTGTGTCTTTCAACTCCTCTTTTTGTTATATGAGGGAGAACATGATGTAAACCCATGTTGAAAAACTAACTTCTAATAAAGTATGTGAACTTAGCTTTACATCCTATTCGAGGAACACTCAAAACGTCTTTCCCCCTTGCTTTACTGCAAATGTTTCTACTTTTACAAGGTCACATAATTACTTTTCACATTATTTCTCAAATTCTACTTTACTAACAAATGATGAAGGAAATGACATAATAATGATAATATTAAGAATAACTTATAATGATCTTAGGATTATTATAATTATTGCAATCATTCCTATTGATATTATTATTATTATCAACAAATTGTGTTCACAGACATTACTTATTTGGGACCGGGATCCAGAAAATACCATCCATACTGTCAAATATGAACCCCCCCTCCCCTCCCACCCCTATACAACTGCATTCGTCATACCTAGTTGATTCTGTCTCTTCACAATCACATCACTCTGGAATCATGTTCTGCTTCAGATGTAACTAAGTTTGATTGAATATTTTTGTCAATGATCAAAAGTATATTTGTATACTTTTTGTTAGCACTCAATTGCTTCTCAGTTCTTTCTCTCTCTCTAGCTCTCTCATGCAAACTTGAACATTCCCTCTACCTCTCTCTCTTTTTTTGGCTCTCAATTTCTTTCTTCATTTAACACATCTCATAATCGTTTGTAACGCTTCTGCTGCCGTATCTTCTTGCCACATAAGTCATCATTCTATAGTACATTACTCTCTCAGACACATTTCTTCCATAAACAAATCAAACTCAACAAGGATTAACGTTGAATAGCACAAAGCAATCAAATCTTAAGATGAACACTTTCATCATGGTAATGACTGAATTTATTTCTTTGCAATATAACTGGAATCGTTTTTTTTTACAGTTCATTTCACAATTACATGTACAATCATTACAAATTGATAAATCATAATAATAATAATAATAATTATAATAATAGCCTAATAGTTCACTCCAAATTTTATTAAACCGAAACGGAAATTCTTTTTGCCCAATTGATCGTGAGCCCGGCAGCCGCTGAGCGCCAGATCGACGTTGCTCTATCCCTTATTGTTGAACGCCAAACAAGGTAGCAACAACACCCATCTTAACGTCTTTTGGTATGACGCGGCCGGGATTCGAACCCACGACCTCCCGGTTGTGAGGCGGACGCTCTACTGACTGAGCCAACACTCCGGTGTAATGAATCATGTTTGAATATCAAAATTGCAACTTATTTAACTGTAGCCCACACTCATGGCAAAAAATACAACATGGTAGCTCTATAAAGAAGGGGGTACCGGTGTTCTTGGAAAATTCTGAAATGCAAATTCACAAGGCCACTGATTAGGGGGAGGGTTACAATATAGTTTGAGTACTGCCACAATGGAAGAGGAGCTTAAAAGAAAATCATTAATTATTTATATTTTTTGTGTATGACATACAAAGTTGTCAGCTGCATACGTCCCTGTTGCCTCATAAAATTGCAGATCTGAGATTTACATAGATGTTGTAATCTAACTTTTCAAACATTATTTCTTATTCTATGTCTGATTTCTTTCAAACTTTCACCAGTCTATTACATTCATTTTTTTCTGCTTTAACATAAATCAACTTGTTACAAAGGTTGGATTGCCCTTTGAAATATAAACTATTAGCAATTAATATTAGTCCTACATGCCAAATCCTTCTAAAAAACATACAACACTGAAAGTTTATGGGATTAAAACTTCTTACATGCAACTTTCATATGATGGATGACCTTAGTCTGTGCTGTTCTTAGTGAGGAAGGAGGGAGGTTGTCACTGTCAAAATAATACTAACAATATGCTCAAGGCGCTCCAACTATTACCCTGGCTCTGCTATGCAGCCGCTTTCGGTGCTCACAGCAGAGTGCCAAATGTAGATTAATATCTTGCCAAAAGACATTACTGCTGTGGCGGGACTTGAACCATGGATCCTGTGATCCACAGTCCAACTACTTATCCACTAGAACACAAAACCTCTAAATGGAGGCACATTCGGAGTCAGAGTCTCCTGTCAGCGTTGCAGTCCCCGTCCAGTCCACATCTATCTAGCTCATAGTAACTCTTGAACCCACCCTAAGCCTTCCGTTATATCGAAGATCTCGTTTCTTGCCACAATTGATCTCTCCATCACGATCCCACCTAACAATAACTTCTGTATTTTTGTCCATCCTAAGAGGTAATTGACAAAAGATTGTTACAATCAAGTTATCAATAACTCGGTTCAATGATAAGTAGAGAAGACAGTAATTTTATTTCATAAAACAGGAATGAAACCTAGAAACAGGTATTAAATAAAAAGTGGTTTTACTCTGTCCTAAATTGATATTTTGAAATATACAGTAACTATAAATGAAAATCAGAATATGAATTTAAGGTCTACTTTTAACAGAAAAAAAGCAAAGCATGCACCGAGTAGAAAAGCAGATTTGCAATTGTTTTATAAATACTGTTGCACCATTTATTAACTTAGAATGCAATTTGTGACATTGTGGCACTAAATTCCTGGTAGGAAATCAGAGTGGTATAACTCCTATTTTACAAATATGAATGGCTTACCTGTGTTCAACACTTTTAGGTTGGGAGGATTGGTATATTGTTTAAAAAAATTGTGACAGCATACTCCATGGTCTGTATGGTACTATTGTATTCCATTTCAATAAAAAATGTAGAGGACATCTATACAGTATTTATCAACCACTGAAGATGATATGATAGGGTTCCATATGTATTACTGGGTTTGTTGTCAATCATTGAATTGATATGTTCATATCTAAAGAAGATATAAAATCTGCAGGTTATCAGCAAATGTGTGATGAATGTTATAAACCCAGTAAGTAATAATGAATGCACTTGCATGTACTTGTCTGCCAGATTGAAAGAAACTTTATTATATCAACTTTCAGAAAGACCACTCAATAAGGATCAATATTCAAAGTTAGTCAAGCGTATAATATCATTCATTATTATTTAATTATCTCACATAGACACGCGTGATGTAGCAGCGGGTAATATAAGAGCATATTACCATACGTTTCACATCTGGGTACTTGTACATGATAAATGTATAAGTGATACTTGAAATATAAGAAGAGGATAATTGATAATAATAACATTGACTGGCTCACATTTTGGTTGATATGAGACAATATTGCCCTCAACATAACCATATTGCCCTCGTCTTCGACCCGGCTAATATGATTATATTTGGGCAATATAGTTTCATATTCCCATTAAAGCCAGTCAAAATTATAAAAATATTTCATATATAAACAATATCAAATGTAACAAATTCGGTTAAAACTTACCTTTGATGACTGAGGGGACTTAGCTATTCAGTCGGTCGGTCTGTCAGTCGTTTGGTCTGACCTCCAAACCGTGGTATTGGAAACGTAATCAGTTCAAGGGCAGAGGGTGAAGATGCTGGGTTAAAAGGAGAATATATTTGATAACTCATGATGGATGCAGAAAACCCCCAACACAGCTCGTACAGGAAGCTATACTGGGATGATATGATTTTAAAATCGCATCTCTTCAAAAAATTACAGGCATCAGGTTAATGCATATTATTTTATTTTTTCTGTGATGAAACAACACAAATTAGTGTTAACTCTCCTTCTTCACCCCCTTCCCCCTATGAAAAAAAGACAATAAGAAAAATACAAAATATAAGATGAAGCCTGTCATCTTGTAAGTTGATACACAATAAGTAGCTCAAACATGACATGTTGGCAAAATGAATGTCTGTCACGCACATTAAAGAGCGAGGAACTTGTGTTTGATGCCTTACAATACCATCAACTGCCTAAAACCTTTCAAAGCAAGATCAGTCATGCGTTTATGAAAAAAATTGAGTGTTTGGGAACCCGTCATCTTTGGAGGGCCCTCCTAGCACCACCACCACTTTGCGCACATTAGAAAATTATTTCCCAGCATAGTTTTGTCCATGGATCATTGTTATGTAAATGAAAATAGTTCATTTGTTTGCTAAAGATTGACCCCCTCCCCCTCGCCAGCCCAACTCCCAATCAATAACTTTTCTTTTGGAGCTAATTTCCTTACCACACATACCTCGTCAATTTGCTAAAAGCTCTCCACATCAGCTGCACAAACTCCTACATGGACATCAACCACTGGGGGTGCTAGTGGTCCCTCATCTCTTGCGTATCCCAGCTGTCTATTCTACTGGTAAACTATGAAAAAATATGAAAAATATTTGTTTAATTTTCTGCATTTGTTCAAACAAGCCACTTCATCTCACGGTTGGATATCCCTTTAACTTATTAGTAAGCACATCATTATCTAAAGCAATTAAGAAGACCTTGAATAATTAAGTCTCAGTCTTGCAAACATGGGATGAAACAACCCAAATTAGTGCTAACTCCCCCCCCCCCCCTCTCACAACGTGACGGACATGTGCGCTATACCAGAAGCCACTAGTACTATTATTATAAGCAACCCCCCCCCCCCCAACAAAACAAAAAGCCCGTCATCCTCTAAGTCCAAGGCAAAAGGTACACCTTAAGTAGCTCAACCACAACTTTGGTGGCAAAATGAAATTATCATGCACAATAAAGAGGGAGGAATTTGTAGTGGACGTCTTCCCATACCATCAGCTTTATCTTTGTCTTTAAAGCAAATTAATTAAGAGCAGGCATGCGTTTATGAGCATAAAGCCGAGTGTATAAGAAGCCGCTCCAGCTTATGCTAGGTTGACCCCCCCCCCCCCCCCTCCCATCCATTAGTACCTCAACAACATGCTAAAAGCTCTCCACGTCAAACTCCTACTTAGACATCAGCCACTGGGAGTGCTAGTGATGGTCCTCTCAGCCGGCTATTCTACTGGTAAAACCGGGAAGAAACATGAAATGTATTTGCTTCATTTTTCTGCATTTGCTGAAATTAAGCCACTTCATCTCAATTCTCATGGTTGGATTTCCCTTTAAATAATTAGCAAGCACAAAATTGTTTATTCATTCAAGCATACCTGGCTTTACTATTCAAGTCTCAGTCTCGTATTTATAACATGAACATGGAAAGAGCTTACGAGGGGGTCATTTAATATTTAAATCTAGTACTAGAAGTACTTAAGTACTAACGTAGTTCTAGATCTAGACTCTACGCTCGCGCTCGAGCCTAGACTCAACTCCTACGTCGCAATTGCCATTTTATGATTTGGCATTGTCATATCAACATTGACATTGAATTTTAACCAAAATGTGCCCTTGGCTAATTGGGCCTTGCCTTGGAGGCTTGGGCTGGTACTGCTTAATCAGTTAACATAGTTAATGTAAAATTATTATTAATGATATCTCCCCTGCCCTGGCCTGGGCTTCACTCTTCAGCGAATTCGCCTTGTGACTCGTGACATTGTTGTTACTGCATGTAACTGCTCCTGCACTTATACATGTTCAAGCTTATCTAAGATACTGTGTTAATTAATACTTATAGTAGCACTCTGTTGATAGTACTAATAGTACTAGTAGTAGTAGGCGAGTACTACGTACTACTAGTACTAGATCTGCATACTAGTAGACCGACAATACAACTCACGCAGAAAACAGTGCGTGGGACCGTAATGACCTATCTCGCCATTTCGTAACTTGATATCCGTTCAGAATATGAGTTTGTTTATACTGCTACAGACGATATTATTGAACGATGCATAACATTGTTTTAAAATAAGTGAAAATAATTACCTAGGGCGGTCAGATTCCTCTAACAATTCCGCCAGAAGCACCGGCATCTGTGACAAAGGCTTCGCGGAGCCGGTTCGTGTACGATTATCAATAGCAGACTACATTTGCGCGTAAGAGACCACTAGCGCACTTCGTGAAAACGGTGTTTGCCAGTTGTACCGCTTGTGATACGTTTCGTGACGTCACGTATGACGTAATTAAGTAAGATTAGACTTTGAAAATTACTGAAGTTGTAGACATTTATATACATTGCTCAAAAACGGTCAAAACTCGAAATTGAAAATTTCAACGATTTTGGCCACGAGACCACTTCGTGAAAACGGTGACGATATATATATATATATATATTCTTTATCTTTCCCTTTCTCTCCTTCTCTCTTTATCTTTCCTCTTTCTTTCTTTCTTTCTTTCTCTTGCTCTCTCTCTCTCTCTCTCTCTCTCTCTCTCTCTCTTGATATGTCTGGCTCTCTGTCTCTCCCCCCCTCTTATCCATACAGCTACATGTACATGTACACATATATGTGTCAGGACTTTTCTCTACCGGTACTCATCTTGTAGCCAGCAAGCCTATTGTTACCAGCTATGAGATTATACCAAGAACCTTCACTCTCCAATGCCTTTGTCTTGAATATTGATCCACTTTGCAGAATAGAAAGAGGGGTATGTCACTCCAATGAATGAGCTGATCATTATGTAATACATGTAGATAGACACACAGGATATATTTTTGGACCTTGCTATATTAAAACTAAAGACCAGTTATGGTCATATGTGATGGCATTGTGAAAGAAACATTGTGAAATCGATCAGAAAAGGTTGATTATCTAGCATAGATGTACTGCAAGGTTCTGGAATCATCAAAATGAAATTCTTCATAAAGTTAGAATCACTGTACACAGAAAGACGTTTATGGGACTACACACACGTGCGAGACACGTGCATTTGTATCTCTCAACAGGCGAGAGATACACTAATTTACCAAATACTGTATATCAATTAGTAGGCGGTTTCCCATCAACATTTTTATCATCATGTATTATTCAAAACATATTCTTTCACATGATTGGTAATGAGAGCTTCCATTTCATTTTTTGAAATTGGGGCGTATTCCAATACTGGTCTTTACCTTTAAACTGAAAATCAATGGATGTTATGTACATTACATGTATTGGTCTGTTGGCAGTGACTTGGAGCTGATGTGGAAAAATGATCTGAATGAAAGATCCACTATTACAGAAATATTACATTGATACACAAACGACACACATAGATATCCTGTTTTATACTGTTTTTTATACTGTTTTATACTGTTTATACTGTTTTTATACTGCAGCTCCACTGAAAAGGTCAATATACTGGTGTAATTTTTTTGGTTGTATTTATTAGTTAGTTTAATCAGATGAATCTCTTTTCGTTTATTATATTCCCATCATTTTTTAACTCTAGCATGCACCCTCTTTACAAAAAGATGGGAAAATATGTACATGTATATTCAATGACAATGGTTCTCTAAAGGTACGTACAAACAAACAATTTTATATCATGTGCAATCTGTCCACTGGATCCATTAATAATAGTTAGATCTACCAATCAAGACTTTTTCTGACATCAATAAATCAGCCAGAATATAATGATTCTTTGAGTTTGATACACAAATCCAAAAACTTAATAGACTAAATGTCAGTCTTGCACACTGTGCTATATGAAAATAGGTCTAGACCAGACACAAATTATCTGCCATTAATTAACAAAAAATATGGAAAAAACACCTAAAGACAGAAGAATTTGGGAATGTAAGACTAAGAGTATATTTTTATATATAGCACCACCTGTGCGCTTAGAAACACCTGTATAAATTTAGCGCCCTATAAATGAAATTATTATTATTATTACCACCAGGACTCTCAGCTACGGCGCGCGGAAGCCACCAGCATGTGCAGAGCAGAGCACGCCGAAACAAAGGGGGCGATGCAATTTGCGATGCCGATGGCTAGATTCCTTAGAGCTTGGTATGGCAGTTACATAACAAAATCACAGAGACTGTCTCCAAGGGCGTCATTAGCAATTTAAAGCCAACTGATTGAGTTAATGATCATAATTTCAACTTACCAGGTTTAACACACGTTTCCTTTACATACGTATCATCCTCCGGTATAGTGGAAAACTTGTTACATCGATAAAATGAATAAGGTTTCTCTCTGGGATAATTATTATTGGAGCGTGTAAACATTTACCAGGCAACGCTAGTCTTATATTTACAGACGTTAAAATACATTTGTATATACTCTCTTCATTATTTGATCTATTTATCGTCATATTTTGCACGTGATGCTGATATTTTACAGTTTTGTAAGCAATATCAATATCAGTAAAAATCATCTTCTGTTATTTGGACCTCTGCGTATCTATCTCAATACGATAAATGCGAATACTTTTATAATATAAGACTAAGCAAAATATCGATTGGGGTAATCCCTTGAGCACACTTGGTATATTACAAATTCAAGCCATGGTAATGCTGTTTTATATAGCATTCAATTCTTCATAAATTAGATTTGGATTTTGAATATCTCTTTTGATTAGATTTAAACAATATTCAAATAATGATAATTTCTGACTATATTCTTAGGGGATCTTGAAGAAAAAGTCTAATTTCAATCAAAACTCTTCCTATATATTATAGGCCTACTATATCAGCCAACATCAAATTCTGTAGAACCTTCGCTGGGGATCGAAATAAATTATGATTGTGTTGCACGCGTATGTCATATCTGTGAAATTAATGTAAACGTTGTCAGTGTCATAGCCAATTGTGCAAGGAAACCGTTTATCTACTTTCTAGACTTGTTTTTTCTTTGGTATAATAACATACTTAAAATGAGTTGTAAAGGGTACATGAGCATAACATTTAATTGTCTAAACATCAATAACCCACTTCTTATAGGGGGCCAAAATTAAACTGATTGAATCTGCGCGCAGCACAAAACGTACGACCACTCGGTACATTAAGGGTCTAAAAATCAGACTATTTCTTTAGTGATTGTAATCACTAAAGTCGATTCGACAACTAGTATTTCTTATTTTACCACGTAAAGACATTTCAAACCCTTTTGTTTTGAGGGAAGTTCTAAATTAGTATTAATTCAAATGCCGTTGGAATTTTAACCTTTTCATAAAAAATATTTAAAAAAATCATATATGCCTACGGAGCCTATCCACGGAGGGGCATGGCTGATCATGACTCCTATCTCCATATCAACTTTCAGGTTATAGTGAAAATTCCAGCCCCCCCCCCCCCCCCCCCATTTAATAAAAAAGAAAAGAAAAAAAATCTAAGACCGCGGCCTTTCCTCCCGAATATCCAAACTAAATTCAAATTCAAATTTAAGACTTTCTTGATTATAATCCAAACAAAATAGAATCATTCTCATTTTTTTTTATCGACAAGGGATAACACAAATCAAAATTATAGTGAAAGTAACAAAGGCAACTGATTGTAATTTCAAAATTACAATATGCAGAAATCGCAAAAAAGATAACATACTACCAGATGCCTCATCTGGAATTTAATACTGAGAGGAAATGTTCAACAATCTTCTTTTTTCAGCGAGGAAACGAAGAAATACAATTTTGTTGATACGACGGTAATTTGGAAGTACTAAAGCATGATTGCTCCTCTTCTCTCAGCCTTATTTTCAGCCACTGATGGTGGACGGACTAGCAACGTTCCCGCAACGTTCCCGCCACGTTCCAATAATATTGGGTCAAATTCAGTGACACCAGCAGAAGGTGAATCTTTTCACATGAGAATTGCACAAAGATTGACATAATTATTTGGTGGAAGGAGGTTTGATTTTTGTTTTAGGGGGTATTTTAAAATTGGTATAGGCCAAATTTCTCCAGACGTAGTTTAATGTTCATGTCTGCGCTGATTGATCAGGCGTAGTGATCTATACAACCATTTCTGAAACTATACGATTGTCATTTTCTGTAAAGAAAGGAGCCCCTGGGGGTGGGGGTGGGGTATTTGCCTAATACGGTATACGGGGATGTGCCGCTCTAATGGGTTACTTTTTTGCAAAACAAATCCCAAACATGGGGGTGATTTTGTGCAGCAAAAATCCCTAAAATCCCTAAGAAGACACTTTTTTTGTTGTTGAAAATTTGACATTTTTTCCGTTGGGGGGGGGGGGGGGTCAGGTCACCTCTTTTAGTTCAGCCATTGGCATAATTTTTTAATTTTTTTTTAAATTTAAAAAGAAAGAAAAAAAAAGGTCCGGGCTATTTAAGGTCTTAATACGGACGGGGAGGGGAGCATTGTGCGCCTCAAATAGTGCGCATTGTGGGGGAGGGGGTGGAGAAGCATGAACAAAAATTCAACCTGAAAATGTGGAAAGTCATTTATGTTTATCGATTTTAACTTGTTCCACATTCTTTCTTTTCATGACCAGCATCTGCCTTTTTCTATCAAGAAAGTATAACAATGTATAAAGTTAAATGAGTTAAAAAGTTTATTTTTCATTTTTTAAAGAGAAATCTCATCTCCTTGGCAATGTATACAAAATCTTTGTTTTTGGTAGTCCCCCTTCTTTTCTGACAAAACATGGGGGACATTTGATATGAGTGTCCTCCGGAGGAAAAATCGGTCCCCCGGATTGACCGTCCCATGGTTGGCAGCCCCGCAAATTTGATGGCAAAATTGTATCATATAATGTAAAAAACGGTTAAACCACATTTCTGCCATGATTTTCAAAACCAATGCGTTTGTAGACAGATCCGATTGATGAAAGAATACAAATGTAGGTTTTCTGTTGTACGCAGAAAACCTAAATTTTCTTTTATTATTATATATCTGTCTTTAAACTCACTTTTTTTTTTTGGGGGGGGGGCTATCTTTGCAGAATGACAACCTCTTTCATAATCATTATGATACAATTTTATCAGCAATTCAATAACGTTTTCATTTTTTCAAAATTTGCCCTTGGTTTTGAATTAGTTTCAATACATTATTAGTAAAGACAATTACTTGCAGTTTATCAATGATGAATCACTAAGATTTTCTTCGTCTTTTCACTAAAATTTGTTTGCACTCGACTAGTTTCTTCACATTGCATTTTTTCCCATACAGTCGAGTCCAAAACGAATCGCACTTCTCATATTGTGTGCAATTTCCAAACATGGCTGGTGATGGTGACAAAACTCTGGCGAAAGCCGCTGGTATTCCTGAGGCTGTATTCGTGGTAAGTGTAATTTAAGAAGGAAATTTATCAATTATGATGTCTGTTTATGAATATTCAGCTGTTTTGGTGAGATTTAATTGCACGATGACTGTGAAAGAGACGGTAAAATAACTGCTGTTGGCGACATTCCTCGCTCGCTGCCGTCCACATGAATCGCCCTAAACCGTTGCTCGGCGCAGCTACGGCTCTTGGGCGGGCCCACCCGGGCGCAGTGGAGCGCGCGCCTCGGTATAGCTTGGGTCTGGTGCGGCAAAATATCCACCCGTTTTCCTTTAGCTTTTAAATTTGCCGGCTGTTTGTTGGCATCAGTTTTGGACTATCATCAACAGCTTCATATTGTTCTCCATGTCATGACAACAAGTTTTTTAAAATTCGAATTTCAATATTTTATTGCTGTGATATGAATGATGTGTCCTTGAATTGAACTTGAGTGTTGAAATTAGTAGGTGGTCCAAGAATAAGGATCGTCCGCATAAACGAGGATAGACTTTGTAAACACGGACAGGTGCGTCTGCGAAAATAAGGATCGTCCGCATTTATGCTGACGATTCTGATTTCCGATCCGCGCTTTGATGATGCGAAAAACGGATTCCGCAATGATTTTCTTAATGCATTTTACATTGACTTTGTACAGAGACGTTCACGTTATGAGCGATAAATCCTCGGGAAGACAGACAACCCATAAAAGTAGACGGTGAACTGAAGGTATTCTTTTTTCGCATCGCCAGCCCGCGGATCGGGAACCCGAAACCCACAGAGCATCAAAGAAAAGATCCTTTTTATTGAGGAGACAATTTGTCCGTGTATACAAGGATATCCTTGTTTATGCGGACAATCCTCATTCTCGGACCAGCGCCCCTACTGTTGAAACTGAAACAATGAAAGTGGAAGTTTGACTTTGAAACTAAGACCAAGAGTAAGACTGTTGTCTTTGACTTTGTGAATTTGTGAAAAAAGAACAAATTAAAATAGCCAAAAGTAAATCCTTGATTGTTTCCCTTCTCGTTTCACTCTGATTTACAGGAAGATGTAGATAGTTTTATGCAGAAACCTCAGAATGAATCGGCTGAGGTCGTTTTGAAGCGGTTAGAAGAACAGCACCAGAAGTATAAATTCATGGAGATGAATTTATTGCAGAAGAAAAGAAGGTACCGTATGTTTTTCTATGGTTAAGTCTTTAGAATGTTTCAATAGATCTGTGTCTATGTTAAAGATCTAGTTGGCAAATTTATCTGCTAATATATGCCCAAAATAGAGACTTTTGGTGAAGACTGGTTGCCTTTATCAAAATAAAGTTCTTTAGAAGAATATTGTTAAATATCTGCAAAGTGAAGAGGTTCATTCATGTTATTTTCCTTGTAGGGGACCCATCATCAAAAACTATTTTGTAGGTTTCAGGGCTGTCGTTTAAAGCCGGTAACCGGTAAAACTTGCCGCCTATTCACTCGTTTCTTACCGGCTATAATTCCTATAATAAACCTTGCAAAAATCACAGAAAGTAGATCTAAATCAATGCTAATCCAAAATTTCCTTAATTTCGTCCAAGATATAATTAGTGCCGCACATACAAGGCCGCAGTCGACGAAATCCCTTACGATCACGAACGCGACGTCGTCCGTACTTACCTAGACCTATCTATCTAACGTTACATCGCAGTTCTCCCCCCACAGCGCGGCGACCAAGCCCGCCCGTCCCTACCCCATTGCGATCCCGATGTGCACGCGAGAATACACACTGATCATAACAAAACTGAAGCTAGCGCGCTGTAACCAAACTATCCGTTGCCGATTTGATATTTGAAGATCACGGAAACCGGGGCCTATACACGTGCGTGCAATGTCTAGAGACAACGTACTTTAGATTCTGAGATGCGCAAATCGGCAACAGAGTTTTGAACTGGGCTGAGTTTAGGCCGGCCACGGCTGTCCCCGGCGGACCCCCGCAGCTAGCTCGCATGATATATGCAGGCTCGCGCTCCGCGAATATTCAAAACTAACTTCCGATCGCAGTTGAATAAACAAATATACAGTGTCTTCACTTTGTCAGGAAAAACAGTGATATAACATTATAAAATGAACAGGAACTGAAGTAAATTCTTAAATGTATTCAATAATTTCATGTCAAAAAAAAATAATTAAATGAGAATTCATATGGGGAGCCAAATAAAAGTCACAAGTAAAAAAAAAAAATCAAAATCTAGCCTCTGCTGCCCATTATTTAAATACTGTACATGTATTCAACAAATCATGATGTAGAAAGATTGAGTATGGTGCATCATCTCAGTTTAATTAAAAATTACAAAGTAATGGTACAAAGTGATAAATAATTATCAACTATAACTTTTCTTATGAGTTATGATTGTTCATGTAATATTAAACATGAACAATATGTGTGTTTATTACAATATATGTGTAATACAAGGTAGGAAAGATAACTACAAATTTTCTTCTTAGGTATGCACCAGATTGCACGATTTCAAGTGGAAAATCCCAAAAGGTCCCTACCGAGGGAGGGGGGATACCCCCCTCCCACACCCTCCCCCCCTCGGTCGCTTCGCTCCTTCGGGCTTGGTCGCTTCGCTCCCTCGCAGTGATGGTACCTCCTATAAAATTCAAATTACCTCCTTCAAAAATAATTAACAAGACCCCTGAGGTTTAGAGGAAGAATTTTTTATGTATCTAATAACCTGTTCGTTTATCATTAACTTGTATTTTTCATAATTTTTCAGCCTAATTAGTTACTTTGGAAGGAAGAGTTTTTGTATACTCAGGTACTTTGGTATGGATGTGAAACTTTAGAGAGAACAGAAGTAATATTTCATAGCTGATATGCAATTTAAACGTTCATACTTCACAAAATTATAGTGATCAGAATTCAATCATGACATACATGTAAATGAGGCATGCATTGTGATCTTGTAAACATGGTAAAGGAAAGATTTGTATGATGGATGTGTACACCAGTTTATTTGGATTATGGTAAATCTCTTATGGTATAGAATGAACATATACATGCCAACTGTTCAGATTAAAGAGGAACATTCCTCTTTTTGGGAGAAGATAATTATCATTTTAATTCAGGTGTTCCTCTTCCTGTACAAATTTGTCTGTAGTATTGAATAGGAGAGTTAGGATTGTTCCTCTTTTTTTTGAAAATAGCATAATTTGTACAGATTTCTGATTTTCAAATGTTGGCATGTATGTGAACAGCTTAACAACTTTTTAATCCTTGCTTTCTTGTTATACGCTTTGAGTTGAAAAAAATCTAATCAAACACTATCTCTTGTCACAGGTTAAGGGGCCAGATTCCTGATATAAGAACAACTTTAGACATTGTTAAGCATCTACAAAGTAAACAGGTAAATACTTCCTCAGCTCATTTTCTTTCTTTCCTTTTAATAGAACAGGATTCTTGACAAAGTGAAAATCACGTAGCTCCCCTATATGGAAAAATATGTCATAAAGTGTTTTGTTGAAGTGTCTGGGTAGTATCCTGATGGATTTAGATCCAGGGTTTTCTTCAGTGTATAACATACAGTACATAAAGCTCCTACCACGTGTGGACAAGTTTAAAAGTAAAAATAACCGTAAGTAAATTCTTCCCAACAAAGGTATTAGATGGACAATAATAAATATGTTGATCTATACTTTCAACTGGCAAAAACGTTTTTTGTCCTCTTAAAAAGACCCCCCCCCCCCCCCCCCCCCCGGATGCGGTAAGGATTGTTCACTCAATTTGTACTCATACAAATTTATTGTCAAGAAGGCAAAAGCGATGTACATGTATGAATAAGAATATCAAGTAAATTGGTGCCTTCTTGTTATTAAATTTGGTTTAAATGAATGTACTTTTTAGTACGACTGGTTTAAATGTAATGATGAACTCTTACACGCTCTATCTAAGTACGTTGTAAACTTTGAAAACAGATGAATTCTGCTTGTACGATAGTGGTCGATATAAAGTAATTTCATTATTTTTAGTCATCCTGTCATGATTTCTTTTTCCCTTTTGTTTCTAAGGGTTCCGAGGATGAGTTGAAAACACAGTTTCTTCTGTCAGACCAAGTGTACGCCAAGGCTTCAATTCTACCAACGAAGAAAGTTTGTCTGTGGCTTGGGGTAAGTCTACACCAACAGTATCAGTTTATAGTTTGATGGTTTAATGGTTTGGTTTCAAAAAATGTTTTTAAGAAAGCATGTTATGCAACAAGTGGACCAACCGTTTTAAGTCCTCTCCAAGGAACTTGATACCAAAGGGCACTAGTGCCTCAACTTGGTTTCGAACCTTGTAATTCCTAGTTACCATACCACTTGTTAAAGATGATACTAGTTTTTTTGTTATACAGTAGGCTTGCGGGTGCACCATGTGAGAGAGAGAGGGAGGATTGAGGAGTCCTGAAAAGGACTCTCGGTAATCTTTCTTGAGGTTGTGTAGTCCTGAAAAGGACTGTTGGTGTAGTCTTTTTTTTTTATGAACATGCTCCAAATATGTTTCCTCCAGTACCCTACTATTCTAGATTGCCATATAATGTCCAATTTCTTGTCATGCATTTCTCTATATCATATCATATCTATATTCTCTATAAGTGAATTAAAGTTGATCTTTAGTTCTGGTCAGGGTACTGCACTGCTAAATCTTTTCTAAAGTATTTCAGAATTGTTATGTTGCTATATTGTTATATTGCTTTTATACACACATTTAAGTAGTGATTCGTGCAATAGCATTCTCTATTTCTCCCTATCCTTTAGGCTAACGTGATGCTGGAGTATGAACTGTCCGATGCAGAGGCTCTCCTCTCTAAGAACCTGAAAGCAGCTACAGAGAGCCAGACCCAGGTAGACCTGGATCTAGACTTCCTCAGGGATCAGTACACTACCACCGAAGTCAGTATCCTTTTCAGATAATAACATGCATCAAACTGGTAAGAAAAAATAAAAAAGTTTACTGCTGGTAAGGCACAACCAGGGGGGCATTTCACAAAACTTGTCATCAGTTACAAATGACAGTTTTTGTTATAAGCTACTGAAATCCTTGCTTTTGATTGGTTATCAGCAGATTTGTCACTGAATTTTTTCATTTGTCATTGAAAATAGGCTTTGTGAAACGTCACCCCAGAATTCTTCAAAATTTTGATTACATGTAAATTAACTTTTCACTGGAAACATGTTTTATTTTTTTGTGGACCTTAAAAACACTTGGCTTTTACTTATTATTTCAATGGAATCTTAGATTTCTGACTTTTTTTTTACTTGTGAGATGTTGATTTTCTAAGAATTGGTTGCACGGTGTTCGCTTTTCGTCTCCCTAGGCACAGGAGGTAGTTGGCTTAGTCAGTAAAGAGTCTGCCTGTCGAAACTAAGATTGTAGGTTTTGAATCCAACCCAGGCGAATGACTGAAGCCTGCGTGGTGCATTATCGTGCCCCTCATAGAAGCAGGTTATAATTTTAGATGGAAAACATGCTAAATGGAGGCCCTGTTTGGAGGAGAGTCACCACCTTTGCACATTAAAAACACACTGCACTTTTTTTGTAAGAGTAAGGCGAGACCATGGTGTATTGGTCCACCTGCACACCCCCAATCAGTTATACAGGGAGGAGAGACCCCAAGGGTTACAGAGATTCTGTTCGCTTTTTTGCCTCCCAGGTGCAGGTGATGCCAAATACTTAATAATAATACTTAATAAAATAATAGTATGGCAAGTTAGTGCCCCAGAAGGAAATGATTATGTTTTTAGCCATTTTATTATGCCTCCGCCCAATGAAGGTTTATATTAATCGGGTACGAAAGGATATTTTTATTACAAAGTAATGAAGCTGCATCTTTGTTCAGAGATAATTATTCCTTAACTCCAGAATCTCAGATATGGCACGTGTCTATAACTTCGACGTGAAACGGCGGCAGGCAGCAGGAAAATTGTCATCATAGCGACAGGACAGCATCTGCATCAGCAATATTGTTCTTTCGTTGTATCGAAGCAGCCATCTTTTTTTTTTTTTTTTAACTAGAAGTGGATGTATCATATAAAGTCGCTGAGTTTGGAAAAATATGGAGAATTGAAAGAACTTGCTCTCATGCATATTTCATGCATCCTTTGTATTTAACAGTAGATAGATTATATAATTTGACCCTTTAATTCTCAATTCAAAATAGCAAGTAGTGTCGCAGCAATCAGAAGTTGATTGATGGTTCGAGCAAAACATTTTCAAAGAATGGCACTTGTGTTTTTTCGAGATATACTAGGCAGCTTTACTTTACAGCAGTGAGCTACATAATAAGCCTGGGGCAACTGACAGTTTGTCACTTTAATTCTAAACTTGATGCCCGGGTCATTCAAAGGTTACAGACAAGTTCTTTTGAAAGTCCTGGGCCCCCATCTCATAAACAGTTGCGATTGATCCAAATCGATCGCAAGTTTGATGTCTCCTATCTCTCACGTACATAGTTGCGATTGACGTCAATCGCAAATGGGTTGTAATTAATCGCAACTGTTTATAAGACAGGGGCCCTGGTATGTATAATTTGAGTTCAGATTGATACAGCTTAGTTTCTCATTTGGAAAATGATGGCATAGTTTGATTTTTTTTGATAGCACCCTGCACATGTAGCTGTGATCTTTTTCTGTTGTCCTAGTGCTATGAAAAGGCCAAAATTTATTGTACAGAATGCTTTCACCCTTATGTATCAAGAACAGTACTGAAGCAATAGGGATGCAAAGCTTATGGAAGATCATTCCTTTTGGCAACTGTCTGTAGCCTGTTGCTCATTTTTTTACCAAGCATGATGATCAAGTAACTAGTGTAAAATAATCCATTTGTATCTGCACTTCTGCGTAACAATTGTACATCAACATTATTTTATATGTAAATCCCCCAATGAGGTTACTGCTAAGCAGTATAACATTCAAATGTTGATGCTTCTCCCTTGTTTGGTTGCGTTTTTTCAATTTCTTCCAGCCAGTTGAAAATTCTGGACCATTCCCCCCCCCCCCTCCCCCTCTCCCCTCTCAATTTCTCATCTACCTTTAACCGGTACTTGTTTCGTTAGTCAATACTTGGTGTAAGTGATATGGTCAAAGATTTTGAATGCATTACGGAGATCTGTCATCCATGCATCCAGTTGTGCTATTCTGAAGGCATTAAATATGAATACATTGTATATTGGCTTGCAGGTTAAGAAGTATGAATGATAATTCACCTTGTGCAGTTTAAGAGCAGTTGGGAGCTTTGGTAATTCATTGTATTAGTTCCTACATGAAGCGAAACTAGCAGGATAACTTGCGAATTGCAGCTGGCATCACTGAACTTGGCCATGTCATATCGAGGGGTCGGTGACACAAAGACGAACTACATTTTGGCCATTTGAGAAAAAGTGGTTCATGTGTCTCTGAGCATTTGGGCCTGAAGGAGTTAAGTCTCTGTTTCACTAGCCATTGACTTCAATGGGGTGTTGGGTGGAGTTAAGTCTTTGTGTATCCTGGAAAGCCCACATTTTTCTGAACATTTTTATATCAAATACTCATTTTGGCAAAATATGGAGATCCGTCTTTGTGTCGCTGAACCCTCGATATCATATAAAAAGTTCAAGTACAGTTAAACCTGGGCATCGTTTTACTAAATTGTCAGAAGTACAACTTCATGGACATCTCATTAAAGTGTGTGTTAAATGACTTGAATTTAATATACACGTTTTAAAAGGTTGTTGGCGAACTTGTACTTACAAATGTATGACAGTTTCATGAAACCCTGCCCAGATGGGAATTAGGATGTGAATTTAATTACATGATATCACTCTCTTTCTCCTTTACTTCATTTTGCATTCTTGCTCCCTCCATTTCGTGTCGTATCTATTTCTCTACGTTCTCTTGTGGGACCATGATGACCCTGAAGTCTTTGGAACACGGCAGTACAATTTTTTTGATAAGACCAACAGTATGTTTCTACATTGTCACTTTGTACAAATCATAATTTCAAATTAAGGGCTCGTCCCGTTTGACCGGTACTTCTAACTACAGCTATAAAATCATTCCTGTAGGTAATGTGTAAACGTATTGGATATGCCACCAATCTGAGAAAATTCTTACTCAAGGATCACCATCACAAAAGCAAGTGTGGAAGTGAGATGCATGCAATGCCTTTTTTGGATGGAATTTCAAGTACGACTGATTACCGTTATCGTTTGAATGGGACCGGACCCATGTCCTTGCTGTATTAGCTACTTATTTGACCTACAGTGTTATTTTACATGGTGAAGCAGTACCGTACATACAACACCGTGTATGTATGTAATGCATTGTAAATTTGTGTTTTTTCTTATGTTTGAAATAAATATGCAGTGTGTATTAATAATTGAAATTATCTGGTGTCAAACTTTGTTTGTAGACTTGTGTGTTGAAAGTATAAATTTGTGTTCAATCCTTTAAACAAAATGCGGGCAATTTGTTCAGTGAAATCTGCATGTCCATACAAAACACTGTTATAAAGTCCAAGTAGTCCAACAATGGAATTAAACAGGCTGTATTTGGTTTTATGTACGATATCAATTTACTTATAAGCCGATTGCTGTTACAGGTGTAACAAGCCAGTATTCATCAAAATGCAACCACATACACACACACACATACACAAATTAAAAACACACTAGCACCACCATTATAGTACTCTTCACATAAATGGACCATTAACTTGACATTCCAATTTAAAATCAAGGCCCCTGTTTCTTAAAACTTGTTATCATTAACAAATGCTAAAGATGACAAATTTGCTCTCGGCTAATCAAATACCATGGTTTCAGAAGCTTACCACATTTATTGGAACTTGTTATTGATAACTAGTTTTATGAAAACAGGGCCCGAAAGTGTGTTGTTCATATTTCAAACCCTTTTCTTTTAGTTGAAATCATAATTTACCCATACTAAAGCCTAAAGCCTAAATTGTGTTGTAAATATGAAATTGCATCCAAAAGATTAAGATGACAACATTTTTGTTCAGTTTTATTTCAAGCTTGGACAAGAGAGAGAGAGATAGAGAAATGGAGGGAGGGAGGGGGAGACACAGTGAGAAAGAGAGAGGGGAGGGAGGGAGGGGGAGAGCAAGAGAGAGAGTGAGAGAGAGAGAGAGAGAGAAAAAAAAACCCTCTTTAATGTTGATTTGATTTTCTAGTCCCTTTTGAAATAATGAACATGCCCCCAAACTGAGAAAGTGTGTCACCACAGAGCACATAGACCTTATCAAACATGGATGTCTACTTTTTGTGCAGTCCACTGTTGAGAGGATACTCTCCAATTCTAGGTTCACGGTTTAAACACATTTGATAAATGCATGAATGAGTTACACAATGATTAACTTTTTGTAGCATATAGAATAGACATTTCTTTATTTCAATAAAACATGATTATATCCTTTAAAGGTAGTGTATCCCATTTGCAGCTAACATCAAATTCTGTAGAACTTTGCAGGAATCGTGAGTATGTCATGTATGTCCTATCTGTGAAATGTAAACGTTCAGCGGTGAGCAGTGACCTGGTTATGCAATAGAAACCGTTAACTTTTTAGACTTCACTGCTGGACACTGTTTCTGACTTTTTAATAACATAGATAAAATTAGCTGTAAAGGGTACATTATCATGTGTACACATCAATGACTCTCTTCTTATAATGAACAAAATTAAACTTATCAAGTCTTTACTTGGCACAAAACGTACGACTATGCGGTAGAAGGGTCTGAAAATCAGACTACCTTCTAGGTGTATTTTTCGCAACATATTTTGATTCCACAGAGGCAATTAACAGTTCTAATTTTTAGAGAGAAGGATTAGTTGGTATTACATGTATCTCTTGTTTACTATAGGACTTGCATAATTTTATATTAGCATGCAAAAAGGATATGAATTGAGAAATATCATAAACTCAATTTTCCATCTCTTTCTATTACTTACTCGAAAATACATAACCATAACCATGTCAAGTTTCTGCAGCAATATAATGAATCTAATTCTGAATTTGGATTGTTAGAAGATGGTAAGAGAGAAATTTGAGATCCGTAAAGTCTGATTTCAAGTTCCCAGTTTGTCTAATGCCCATTTCGTCTACCATCCACAAGGTCTAATAATCATTTGATGACTATATTTCTATGATTTCACGACTATTAGACCATATGGGAACAGACTAATTGGGAAGTAGACGAACTGGTTGCAGACCAAATGGCAAATCACTGTCTCGGGGGACGGGGTTGATAATTTGTAACTGATTAAACGATTGAAAGTCTCTTTCTCCCCTTTAATCTCAGAACCTGTTGACTGAGAGCATGTGAAGGGCTAGCTGTTCATCATCCTCTAATGACAATCCTGTATCCATGGCAACATCATCCTCCTCTTCATCCATCATCTTCCGCTTCTTTTTCTTCTTCTTCTCGCTTTTCTCTTTGATCGTTTTCCTCTTGGTGGGGCTCGATGCAGTCTTTGATTTTCTGTTTCAATAAAAGAAAGGGTAAAGAAAATAAATGAATTTGAAAACTACATGTCGAGGGGGCGGTGACACAAAGACGTAACTCCATTTTGGCCATTTTGAGAAAAAGTGGTTGATGTGTCACTGAGCATTTGGGCCTTAATGAGTTAAGTCAGTGTTTCACTAGCCATTGACTTCAATGTGGTGTCGGGTGGAGTTAAGTCTTCGTGTTTCCTGGAAAGCCCCCATTTTCTGAACATTTTTATATCAAATACTTATTTTGGCAAAATATGGAGTTACGTCTATGTGTCACTGAACCCTCGATGTATTCCTTCAGATGCAGTGCAGGTGCCGTAACAAATTAAAAGGCTCATAGGTCTCCTGGTTTCTCATGGGGAATTTGACACCATTCGGGTGTGTTTGGCCAATAACAGGTGCTGTCAATCACCAAGAGTGGACTTTACTTTTAAGACCAACATGTCTTGTGTAACACAAGTTTGCAGTCTGCTATCTCATATGTACATACATGTAGTTGCAGGGCCCAGATTTGTACCATTTTTTTCCTTCATTTTCCATGACTTTCCAGGACTTCCAGAAGAATGTATTTTTCCAAGACTTTTCCATTTACTTTTGTGTCATTCATCCACCTTTTAAAAACTTTCCAGACCCATTCCTCTTCTTTGTCTCTCATTTTATTCTGCTTTTAATCAAATCAACTTATTATCAAGTCCCCCTTGACTCACTTTTGTTCTTGTTTCTGAGCATTCTACATTTCTCCTTCTTCATCATCTTCATCACCATCTTACTTTTGTGTCATTCATCCACTTCCCAGACCCATTTCTCTTCTTCTTCTCTCATTTTTTTTCTCTTCCTGCTCTTAATTAAAGCAACTTATTATCAAGTCCCCCTTAACCCACCTTTGCGATTGTTTCTGAGCATTCTTCACTTCTCCTTCTTCTTCTTCATCGTCACCCTCTTCATCACCATCTTCGTCATCTTGAGAGACGAAAGCAGAGCAGACGTCGGGATCCGGAAGGCTCATCGGATCAAACTCCTGATCACCATCATCCAGGCTGATACCAAGACTAACACCTTCATCCTATTGTAAATCAAGAAACAGGTTTGGCAGTTTTTTAATTTATCAAAAGAATAGAAATAGTAAATTTTATGAACAACAAACAAATATATTATGCTGAAGTCTACAATTATATATTTAAAGATGATTTAAAGTGATCTCGTCCATTTTAGTCTATGTAGTTTGTTTTCTTTGTTTTCAATTTATCAAAAGAATAGAAATAGTAGTTTTATGACCAACAAACAAATATATTGTGCTGAAGTCTACAACATTAAAGATTATGTACCGTATTTTCCGGCGTAAAGGCCGCAGTATTTTCGGGTGAGAAAAAATCAAAAAGTCGGGGTGCGGCGTATACGCAACAACAACAAAATTCAGCGGTCAAAACATCACGTCCATTTGCACGTATGGGACTATAGGAACGGTAGCATGACTAGACAACGGTACAGGACAATTCTAGAATAACTCCACACAACTTACCGACAAGTTTATGTTGCATAGTTGACATGAAGACGAAAAAACTTATTTTTCTAATAAAATCTGCCGATAGATCTAGATCTAAGTCCATACCATTGCATCGCCAAAAAGTAAACAAAGGGATAGGCCGTTACTTACGGAGCTAGCTGCCGCACAACGCAACTGCGCAGGTCGAAAAATGCTATTTCCGATTACACCGCACATCGAGGAAGGGGTATTGTAGGATACCAAATCTGCGTACGATACAGTACTAGCTTAAAAGTCGATGAAGATCTGCTAAATTATGATCATTTTTTAGGTTAACTTCTTGTTGATTTATAAGAATATTGATGAATTCGGTATAGTTTGTAAAAAAAAAAGAGTGTTCTACAAGAAAATTACGATCATTTTGTTTGGTCCGTTTTTTTTTTGTTTTTTTTGTTTGTTTTTTTTTTTTTTTGCTGTAGTTTTTTTTTTTTCTCTACGAAATGTCAAAGTTGGGGGTGCGGCCTATACGGCGGTGCGGCCTTTACGCCGGCAAATACGGTAAAGTGATCTCGTCCATTTCAGCGTTTCTAGTTTGTTTTCTTTCCAAATCGTTGATTATCTAAGTGAAATGCTACTTATTTGTTCATAGTGCCTCTTAAAACTGACATAAAGGTTAATTTTAACAAAACATATTTAATTGATTTTAAAAAATTGAAAATCACACTTATCTACTCCAGTTTACGAGGTTCTACATGTAAAAACATCTTAAGGAAACCATAAATATATTCTACTACTTGATGTTAGTGGATAAGTACCTCATCATCGCTATCTTTCTTCTCTTTCTTTGATTTCTTTGACCGCTTTTCCTTTAGTTTCCTTTCCTGAAAATAGATAAAGAAATCAGAATGAACTTGACATAATGAATATTCATGAGAGTATGGAATCCTAAAAACTTACACATACGATTAAATACATAATAAACCAGGTTTAATAATGATTCTAATGTCATACACTTTCGATGACAAAAACATTCGGCTGTTGACTCAACATTTCAGTTCATTTAGAGAATGTGATGAAGAGAAACAATTGCCTAGAACATGGATTCCCTTAAAACAGGAAAAGATGCGCACATTGTGAATGAACAAGAATATGACTATGATCTTGGCCCCGTCTTATGAAGAGTTGCGTTTGATCCAAATCAATCACAAGTCCTCTTATCAATCGCAAGTTTACAGTCTTCTATATCTTATGTAGTAGTAGCTGTCTGTCGCGAAGCAACAGAGACCGCCTTCATTTTCACTTTACAGCTGTTCTCCATACAGCTCGCTGACCTGCAGCATAATGAATATTCATAATATATCTTATGTACATAGTGAATATCAATCGCAATTACGTTTTGATTAATATTAGCTGTTTTTAAGCCTGGGCCCAGGGTAATAATATCACTTAAACACTGAGAAATGATGGTAAGATAGTGTACAAATCTAGATCAATACTATCATTATCAGGACCACTATCATCACAATATTTACATTCTTTGTAGAGAACTTAGAATATTGAGTAAATGCTATTTGTATCTCACCAAGTGTTTTTGTTTGATGCGCTCTTTGTAGACCTGTTTGTCATGTTTATCCTCCTCCTCCATGAACTTCTTGGCCTTCTCAATGTCAATGCCTCCTCCTTCCCCCTCCTCATCACCCTCCTGGAGACGAGACGCTACGTTGGATTGAGCTGGTGGCCACTGAGCTTCAATCTGATAAAAAGGAAATATCAAAATAACAAAAATATCACTATCACTGTTCCCTATTTACGTTTGAATTGTAAGGTGCCTGGATGTGGGACGTGGCGGATGTCGCTAGTATTGTTGAATTGAACGCCATTGATGTTATGTTGATGTTATGTTGATGTTATGTTTTATAATTTGTACATTGTTTGTGATACACCTGAACCAGTGAGCAACAAATTTCCATTTTTAGTGGACAATAAATCAATTCAATTCAATTCAATTAAGTGTCAAAATTAGTACAAATATACAACAAATTAGACTGGTTATGTACCTCCTCCTCCTCCTGTAGATCAATGTCTTGCCAAAGCACATAACAACCTCAACAAATCAAATTGATTGTTAGGAAATTAAAAAGAAAAAGAACATTCTTACCTCTCCTTCTTCATCAAAGACCTTCTTGGTGTTGATCTGAAGGTTCTTCTTCCTGATCTTCTTTGCGAGAGCGTACTTTGTGAGAGGTTTATCCGGTTTCTTAGAATGTCTGCCAGGGGCTATCAACTCATCATCATCATCGCTGGCATCCTCGGTGGAAACCTATGCGGGAAATAAAACAAGAAATAAATTGTTAACTTTACAATCTTAGAAAAACATGAATTTCCATGAACGTAGTATGGCAAGAGCACCTGGGCCTGTGCAACGCCCTTGTCTGCAAACAGCTGCAGGTGCACAATTCACATGGAACAAAACAAGCGACAAAACATGAACTTTTAAAATGCAATAATTGCTATACAAAAATCACATGTAACACAACTATTGAGAAAGGGTATTTTCACTGATTTCACTGATTTATTAATAGTAAGCCTTGTAACGTCCACTTTCATGTCAAATATCTTTCAAGAAATGTTACAGAAATGCATCACATTGGGGATACAGGATAGCCTGAAAGTTTTAATGGAAGTCCCTCTTAGCAACTAATGATAATGTATTTGAGAATATTTGACAACTGGAATTACTTCAATATTATGATGATATAGTACCCTGTGGATGATCAGTGTACGTCACCTTCTTAATATTGAATAATGTATGTATAATACCATCAGCTAATGAGGAAAGCCTTATATATAAACTTTTCTGTAAGTGATCTGCAGACATTAGTTAATGGTTCCTTTATTCTGTCATTGTATTTGTTATTCTACTTTGTTTTCTTCATTCTGTGTAATGTTACAATCCTTTGTATTCCAGAAATGAAATACGATTAAAACTTAAAACAAAAATATACATATGTGACCTTAAACATTATCAAATCTTCTCCTACCTCTTTAGCATCTCCATCTTTCAGTTTCTTCACCAGCAAGTCCTCTTCTTCCTCATCAGCATCGTCATGGAAACCATATGCTCCTTCTCCATCTCCACCGGCTCCTGGAGAATCCTCTTCACCCTCCTCCTCTTCCGATTCTTCACTCTCCTCTTCACTCCTTCCTTTCCTCCTCTCATCTCTTTGTGAGTCTTCGTGTAAAGTCCTTTCATTTGGGATTTTCTCTGTGATGGGTTGGGATGATGATGGGGTTCCTGATAACCTCTGTTGGTTTTTGTTTGATTTCTGGATCTGCTCCTGTTTTCTCTTCTCTGCATTCTGGATGAACCTCACCCTCGGTGCAACTGCTAAACCAAGAGCTCTGTCAGAGATAAATAATAAAATAATAATAATAATAGAAAATGGTGCTTATAAAGCGCTTACCAACAAAGTCTCTAAGCGCTATAACAAACAAGCTATAAGCACCGTTTTTATTATTATTATTCATTCAATAAAGACAAAAGTGAATCTATAAGCCTGAAGATTCACTGGAAATCAGGAAGTTTGTGGTAAAAAGGGGGATACATTTTTCAAGAGATTTAATAATCATGACTGCAACTATGGGATAACACTTCCATTTCAACAACAAAAAAAATTGTAATTTTTTCTAAAAACACTATTTTCACATCAACTCTCAAGATCAACAAGCTTGGACTTTTCAGAATTCTACGTTTACTTTTGTTATGGAAGGTGAAATTCACTGATGATCTATGCATTGAGAAACAGGCTTTTAGTTTACCTCGGCAAAGTAAAATCAATGCAGAACGTAAAAGCTACTTAATCGGTGGAGGCGCGATAGCTCATTTGGTAGAGCAGTGGTCTCGTATTCCGGCGACTTGGGTTCTAAACCAAGTCGATGCACTAGTGCCCTTCGGTAAGGAATTAATCCTCATTACCAGGTCTTCCAGACAGGACCTTAAGCCGTCGGTCCTCTGGTTGCTTACTAACAAGCATTTATTCCTTTTTAGCAGTCAGGTATAAAATAACCACCACTACTACTTCTACTTACTTTGCAAAGTTGTCGAGAGACAGCACATGAACATTGAAGATATCCTTGTTCTTCATAAGGTAGACCGATTTGAGATATGCAATGAAGGCTCTTTGGGCTGACTGCTTGAGTTCTAAGTTCTGAGCACAGAAGGATTGTAATTTCTTCTCTATAGCAAACCTCTTGTTTGGATTTACCCTAAAGAGAAAGAGACAAGAGCATTATAACATTGGTAATATCAAAGATTCTTTTCTAAAATGTTTATCGTATTGTGTCTGTTTTTTGAGAGATGTGATTGTGGGTTCGTTAACATGTACTTCTGAGTATATAGAAAGAACAGTAACTTCTTGTCTGCAGCAAAATATGGTTAACCCTAAACAATGGTTAACCCTAAACAATGGTTAACCCTAAACAAAAAAAAAGATGTTGTATTGCCCCAAAATCTTGAAAGCTATGGTCTGCTTTTTTTTAAAGATTATTTTTTTGAACCATTTTCTAGGATTTATTTTTTTAATGAATAACAAAATTTGTATTAAAGTATTCAAAACTAAGAAATATCAGCCCAAAGAGGGAGAAAAAGAAAAGAAAAAAAAAACTTAACAAAAAAAGATTTCCGACCGACTCATGTTTTGGTACCTAAAGGGCATTAAAACATCTTTCTTTTGTTTTCTAGGCCTAAGCTTTCTACTGTCACACAAACTACATGTAGGGTTACAGTCAAATGCGGCCCAAGAAAAGAGCTTCCTCCGATCATACTCACTCAATCTTCTCGATGGGGATCCTCCTCGTCTCCATCTCGGCCACCATCGCCTCCTCTTCCGACGGCAGGAGCACGAGGAGGGCCTCACCGTCCTTCTCGTACCTGGCCGTCCGCCCCACTCGGTGGATGTAGGTGCTGGAGTCCTCAGGGCAGTCCAACTGCACCACCCAGTTGACTGCGGGAAAATCTGTCAAGAATAACAACATCATGGAATAATGTTTCTTTAAAGCCCATCTGTACTAGTTTACAGGAGGGATTAGACCACCCTGCAAGGTCACTGACAGGTGGTTAACTCATTTAATCAGCTCTCCCTGGATGATGGGGGACCAATGGTCACTGATTAGGCATTGTTTGCTATATAGAGGGCGCAAGTAGCTGTAAGTAGCGCAGTGGGGCTTTAAATCACATACTTTATTTATTGAAGAAAAAACACAAGAGAAGTATGTAAGAAGGAACATTCAAGCCTAGGCTACTGCCTAATTATACAAGACAGTACAAAACGGAAAGATATTACACACAATTATACATGTACGAAATAATAAAAATATAAAAAACATGATTTGTATGAAGTAATCATAGATTGATCAGTACATTCATACCTGCCAACATTTGAAAATGAGAATTAAGAATTTTTAGCACGGTATGTCTTCGAAAATAAGAAATCTGTACCTTTAACAGGCGTTCGCACATGCAGCAACAGTGTAACTGGCAATACGCGGTAAATCTGTGCAAAAAAGCGAATACAAATTCGCTGCTCAATCATGCAGCCCTTCAACGCATGCAATACGTGAACTCTCACATCGCGGCATATGACAAAACAAGCTTAATTTGGTTTAAGCAACACATACACACACATAAAAAAAAAAATTTAAAAGAAAAAAAAAAATCCTGAAAAAACAGAATATTCCGAATTATTTGGAAGGGTTGGCAGGTATGTACATTTGGTGCACACTAACACAGGTATATACTAATCATAGTAAAAGAAAAATTATTATTCAATAATAATGCGCATGCTGTACCTTACTTATGGAATTGGTTGCTACAAGACATTTGTTGTATAATTTCAAGTGTAGATTGCTTTAGAGATGCCCTCAAAACTCATCTTTTCAAAATTACTTTTTCCATCTACTGTAAACTCTGTTATTTTCGCGTGATCAATTTTTTGCACTGAGCGACCCGAAAACATATTCGCTGGTTCTTAACTTCGCGTTGCACACATTTCAGCCCGTTCAAAACATGCACAAGAAGTCATGCTTATATTTTCGCGAGTTCTAAAATACGTGCTTGTTGATTTTAGCGCAAAATTCGCAAAAATTGATGTCCGCGAATATTTCTACTTCTACTTCTACAGTATTTACCTAATCCTCTAGCGGCGATGTCCGTGGCCAGGAGAACGGCCGATTCTCTGACGCAGAACTCCTCGTACACCGCCATCCTTCTCAGCTGATGCATCGAGCCGTACAGCGCCATCACGGACACACCAGGGTTCAACTTGCAGAGCACCTCAAACGTGTATTTGACCTGAAGCAGCAAAGAATTTAAATCAAAAATTAGAAAATACTTCATCTGTTTTTAAATCAATAATAATATTTGCATGTTTATACGTCTACTATGTTTTGTACACTGTTTTGTTATTGTTATATCTTTTATAGGCGATTGTATGTATCTTTTAATAACAGGGACTGCCTTAACAGAACCTTACGGTTTTATTTGCAGTTTCCCCAATTCACTATTGCTGATTAACTTTGTATAATTCCGGTATATTTGTAGACACGTTTACATTTTGTGTGTGTTCTCTGTTTTCTATTTTGTATGTAATCTGTAATTTATGTCTATTTTATGTCTATTTTATGGATTTGAATTGAAATACAATTCGAAACTTGAAACTTGAATTTATCTCAATGTGTATAAAATGATCATTTACTAGTATTTCCTTTACTTCTTATGACTGATGGTTAGAATAATTAAAGTCAGAACTATATAGAAGTGTCGTAGTCGAGTGGTTTCAGCAATTGACTTGAAATCCAAAGGTCGTGGTTCGATCCCTGACATGGCACTAATTTCCTTTGGCAAGGCATTAATCTTCATTTGCCACACTCAACCCAGGTGAGGTAAATGGGTACCTGGCAGGAATGAATTCCTTGAAATGCTAGAGCGCTGTAAATAATGGCAGCTAGGCTAAAGTTAGGGTAATAATTAGTACACCTCGGAATAGATTTTCTAGATAGACGGCGCTATAGAAACGCCATTATTATTCTTGTTATAAAGATGGAAGAGAGTATATACCTGCTTACAACTGGACATGAAAACCAGTGTCTTCTGTTTCATGTGGGCCTTGATGAAAGAGTACAAGACATCTAGCTTCTGCTCCAACTCACATACAATGTAGCTCTAAAAATATGCATTAGAACTTTCAGCAAACTTTGACCAGGACGGTGTTTCATAAAGGCTGTTCGTAAAGTTACGCATGATTTTACGAACAACATGTATATGAAGTGCCAGATAGGATGCCCAAAGTTTTTTCTGCTATTTCCAATAACCTCAATTAAATTATGGCAAAAAATATACTTTGCATTAAAAATGTTTGTTATAATAAGAATGTTAATCTACATCTGCGCAGTTCAACTTTAGTTGATGCAGTTAATAATAATTGAGCATCCCATTTGGCTTTTCATATACAAGTCGTTCGCAAAGTCATGCGTAACTTTACGAACAGCTTTATGAAACACGCTCTAGACCACATTATAATCCAACACTTATGATGAAATAATTCTACATGTGTTTATAAATGTAAATAAATTACATTTTACCAGCTTCTATCAAATATGTCGAACAAACTATTGCATAATTATTTATTTTGCAATGAGCAGGGATTTGAATAATAAATATCTTTATAGTATCTGCTCACAAATGATTATGAGAACAGATTTCTTATTTAAATGTCAACTGGGAACCCGGATATATACAACATGTCACTATATATATTGACCTGTCACAAAATAGTGACCGGTAGAGGTGTTGTAGTCTGGCGGATATGTCACTGGACCGTGGATCACATGGTTCGCAATTCTGAGTCCCACCGTGGCACTAATGTCCTTTTGCAAGACATAAATCTACGTTTGCCACTCTCCACCCAGGTGTTAAATGGGTACCCTAGCCCTAATATCAACCCATTGTCTTTGACAAAATAAGACCTGGATCACCACCACAGGACACAAAATAGTAGACCCTGTTTGCACATGAAACTTAAGCCATACCTGTTCCAGCTGAACTGGCGTACTGTGGGTGTGATGTTCATGAACCGCAACGTACTTGGGTTCCAGCAAACTGAGTCGGGCCAAGTCTCGCACGGACCTGAAAAAAACAATACCGGACACAATTATTTAAAAGGAAGAACAAATATAAATCATTAGGAAAGGATTGCATAGCGATATATCAGCTGGTCTGGATGACTTACTATACTAATTTAAAAAATGTGTTTACATCATGATACACCCAACGTCAAAACCCATTTTATGCTGCATGAAGAAGAACAAAATCTATCTCATCTTTATCCCATATAAAAAATGATTAAACGATCTGATAATTCTGAGCCGATTTAGCTTTAGCTCCTCCAAGGAAGCGTGAAATTCCTTAAAATTCAGATCTTATTAATCAAATGACTATTCTGATCCTTTGTCATTAAAGTTTTAAACGTTTGAGTGTCGATATCGAAAACTGTTACAAATACTTCCAAAATTGGATTGTACCGGTGGTGCGTTGGACTTTGGAACCGTCTAGATTCCACTGACTTACTTAGTTTGTGTAGCAGAGAAGAGGAGGGTCTGTCTTTCAGCTGGTAGGTGATCCAAGATGGCGTCTATCGTCCTCTGGAATCCCAGGTCAAGGATGCGGTCTGCTTCATCGAGGACTTCAAGCAAGGAAAAGGAGGAAAGACATTAATTTTGATGAGAGATCTAAGCCATTTCTTGCTTTTAATCATTTTCCCGTCAAAGTCGATGTAAATCATGTAAAATGTACTCTAAGCACAATAATATCAACACTACCCAAATTGTGGACATTTTGCCATCCAATTTCATTTTATCATCAATCAAAATCCTGTAGAGGTGCAATCTTAAATGCATTACAAGAGAAGGGCAAAGAGATTTCACGAAATTGCACGGTCTGATTTCCTGCTTTTTGAAATTGTTTAATGTTGAAAAGCATGTTTCTTAAACAAATTTTGGAATCTATTTCACATCCTCCTCCTCCTCCTCCTCCTCCTCCTCCTCCTCCTCCTCCTCCTCCTCCTCCTCCTCCTCCTCCTCCTCCTCATTATCACTATCATTATTATTTTCATATTCATGTACGGTCAAATTATTTTCCTCACCTAAGATCTTCAGATTGAGACTCTCAAAGCAGGCTGTTTCATCCATGTGTTGCAGGAGTCTACCCGGAGTACACACCACCACGTTTGTCTTTGGAATCCTCTCCATCTCTGTCTTCAAATCCTACAACAAAACACACATATCACTGAACACAGGTTTCTTAAGGCTTGTTCAGATATGGTGCTGCAAACTGCCACAAAATAGCTGCCACATTTTTTTTAACGTACAAATGAATGGCAACTGTGAAACAAAGAACTTACACAGTCAGTCACTGAATAGTGTCTTACAGTGAAGTCTAGAAGGTAAACAGGTTTTCTTGCATAATTTGAATACTAGGACACTGCTGATGTTTAAATTTCACAGATAGGACACACATGACATATAATCATAATTCCTGCAAAGTTCTACAGAAAACATTGCCAATTTTAAATATAGGTGAAAATATGTAAATGTACATATTATGTGAAATATAAAACAATAAACTGAAGAATACCTTTCCCCCAATGATGAGCCCTGCAGAGAAGTCATGGTTTGCTCCTACTTTACAGAGTACTTCAAACGTCTGATAAGCTAGCTCCCTCGTGGGTGAAATGACAAGAGCGCCAAGACCATCGGGCACCGACCAGGAGTTCCGATACAGACACTCCAAAATCTATGATTCATAGAACAACAAAGTATGTGAAACAGGGAAACCTGTATGATATAAAGACCGCTCAAGGGAAACATGAAAAGTGGTGATACAGACAACTGTAATCAGTTTGGGATAAGGATAACATGTACATGTAGTTTTTAAGCTTCTACCAACCTCAAATTTGTTATGCAAGCTTTCATCCGCTCCTGTGGACGTTCTCAAACTAAGTGAAAGCTTGCATAACAAATTTAAGGTTGGTAGAAGCTTAAAAACTACATGTTATGAAAAGTGGTCTTTATAGACAGGAGGTCTTTAAGTACAGATTCCTTTAATACAGGTTTCAATGAGAAACCCTATTCAAGGGAAACAAAAGTTGTGGTCTTTCTATACAGGTGGTCTTTCTACACAGGTGGTTGCTAAAGCAGGTTTGCCTGTATAATGTAACTTTATTTTGTTACAGTTATCAATCTTTTGCAACATAATAGTATCATGAATTGTACTGAACTGTGGACTTCATGGCAATCTTGAATCTTTTGTGAAATTCAAATTTCATGACATTGAATTATTTTGCTTTTTTACTTTATCTCCATGACATCACCACCAATCTCAATCACTCAGAAAAATAGGCAAAAGCTCCATGCTTGAGAAGTCTCTAGTTCTTTTAGGTTTGTCTTGAATTACTCAAATATATTTCAAGGCTCAAACCCTAACATGTTCCTCAAAATTGCTCCTAAATGTGATTCAACTATGAATTCGCTGCAACACTTTATAACATTTTTAAGAATCTCCATCACTTAAAAAATTTGTAAAAGTTCTATGAACATGAATTTTCTCAATGAATTCTAGTTCTACAGTGATCTCAGAATTGTCATTAGTCTAAAATTATTAGGGCTGCGACGAGTAGTCGAATGCTCGAGTACCCGCTCTGTTGACAAATCGTACTCGAATATTCGGCCGAAAAAAAAAGAAAAAAAAAATCCCGGTCACCTGGCACTGTCCAGGCCGACGCTTACCCATGCCAGGGAGAGCGCCTGCCGCTGGCATGGTACTGTCAGTAAAAATGTTTCCCAGCTCACTCACTGTCAAACTCACCACTCAGAACCTGGGACCAAATGTCCGGATTTCCGTTTGGACTCGGAGGAAAATGGATTATTCTGCCATTTTTGGTTTTTAAAACAGCATTGTTTACTGTATTATTATTAAATCGGCGCCTTCGACTGCAACTCGAAGTAAAATTGCATGAGTTTTCGGAGACGGACCTGGGATACTGCTCCCGTGGTATGATGGTGGCAACAACAAAAAAATCAATCAAAAATATTTTAATTAAAAAAAACAAAAACATGGCATGAATTGGCGTCCGAATATTCAAGTATTCGCTTGTAAGCCTGGGAGTGTACATTACACGGTTGTGCACAGCCTTAGAAATTATAATGAATATTTTGATTCTACTTGAACAACTACACTAAAAACAACCATATTAGAGGACGTATCCAAATATTTAGACTGAGCTGACTATACTCACTGGGATAAGGAATGCTAGAGTCTTGCCCGAGCCCGTCTTCGCTGCTCCAAGGACGTCATGGCCCTGTAGTGACAGACCTATAGCTCCTCTCTGGATCTCGGTCGGGACCTTGTAGCCAGCTTCCTCGAGAGCGGACAGCGTTCTTTTACTCAGCGGAAAGTCAGAGAACGACTCTATTTTCTGGGTATCAATCTGAAACGAGACAAGATCAAAGGTACCTAATATTTGTCAGGATCTTCGTTGATGGTCGTTGGTTTTTTAAAACAAATATGCCTTAGGTCTACTAGACTATTTAGTCGATGGTCGTTTTCTTCTTTTATTCAATAGTATTTGGTCGGTGGTCGTTATTTTAATATTTGTCGATGGTCGTCGCGTTGGACTCTTTCTTTCAATAGTATTTGGTCGATGGTCGTTGGTTTCTAAATTCTATTTCTAATATTTGTCAGACTGTTGGTTTTGTGCCCCTGTAAAACCGTGGTAGGGTATTCTGCAATTTGTCCATATTTTATAGGCCCTAGGTCTAGATCTACACAATTTGCAATTTTGTTTCCCAAACAAGTCAAAGGCAAAGGTAGACATTCTCAAGAATATTGATTTTGGTGTGTTCAAGAATGGTGCTACTAATATATTGTTACGACTATCACTCCTGCAAAGCAATATCTAGATCTGAAATGAAAGAAAGATTAAAGTAAACAAACATAAAGTTAACAATGACATGTCTGAGACTTGAGAGAATTCATATCAAAAACTTACACTAAAATGAACGCATGGGACTACACCAAAATTGACACTGTGACATGTCGACAAATACTCACCTGACTGTATTGTTCCATAAGCTCATTAATCTCTTTTCTTTCCAGTTGCATTTTCTTGAGAGCCAACTTGTCCTCATTTTTACCCTTTTTATTGTGTTTCAATTTTGATGAACGACCCTTTCCAGGCTTTTGACCACGTTTCTTGAACTTGTTCTCCATGACCATGCTGCGCCTAATTCTTCACGTGTTGAATTCATTTGTTTACAAAAGCGTATGAAGGGGAGGTGTCGTGTAAATTATCCGGAATCCAGACGATTATTTCTGGCTTAAATAATCTTAAAATACGGTAAGCAGTCAGCATTTATGTGTATTTAAGAGACCGATGCGGTGTATTGAAATCAAGTGATATGAATTATATGTACTCAGATCTATGTCGTGTTTTGGGTAGGTTTTTGGGGGGTAATAAGGTAATATTTGATGCTTGAGCTATGATTTGAGTTTGGCCATGGGGCTGCACTGCACTGTACTACGCCAGAGGATCGGGCTACCCAGCCGCTAGTGCCCGGTATACGTTACGGTGGACTGCGTTCGACTTTAGTTTGAGTGGTGGTTGAATGCATGGCAGTCTGCTCAAGCACAGCAAAGGCAGTAGTGAAGCAGTCATGTGTGCAATATTGTGCATTGTGTGGATCTAAGAAGATAAAATAGATTAGACTAAGGTCTGTAAGGAGAGAAAGAACAATATATATATAAGCAGATACATGTATAAAGGAAGATACATTTTTTAAAGGGGTCAAGATTGACAAGAGATATATTTTATGAGATGTGATTTTGTGAAGGGGAATATGATAATCACTGATAAAAAGTGATGTGACATGATATAGACCCTAGATCTATTCTAGGTCTCTAGTGATATACCACCACTCCATGAAGTCTTACCGTAAACAGGATTGGCATGATACTTGATATTATAATATCAATAAATTGATATTATTGTCATGATTTGTTGTTGTCCCTTTGTCAATATATAGGCCTATAATCTATATATTTTCGTAATTTTTTTGTATCTTTTCGGTTTAGAATTCATCTTTGCATTAAACACAAACAATACAAAACATATCTGGTTCTACTTGATGCAGAGAAGAAGAGAGTTGGACTTGAACTTTGGAGTAATATTTGTGTAAAAAAAGTGTATGTATATATATAGAGAGAGAGAGAGAGAGAGAGAGAGAGAGAATGAAACAGAAGAAAAGGAAAATGGAGAGGAGCAGAAATTGTACTATAAATGTGAAGTGAATAGATAGTGACAACAGTGGTTCTCGATCAGATTCTAACAAAATTCTGCCTTTCAGGAGATGTCTGATTTTAATTTTGTGAGCATCATTTTGCAGTGTCATTGTCACAAATGTATGACTCAGCACTTTTACAAATCTTGCAAGAGGAATGTATGTTCTTCAAATTGTTTTCCTCTCATCTAGCTGTTCTTGTCATTTTTCATTTCCATTTTCTTTTTATCACCTTCACACAGACTATGTTTCTTTTGTTCATGATTCATTATCATTCAGGACATTACCCCTGACTCATCCTCATTGGTTCACATAACCCTCAAGTGGTTCTTCTATACTTTCTGGATTCTTCCATTTTCTGTTCCTCTAATGGTTGGGTGATGTCTTTCTGTCTTATTTCAACATATTTTGTAGAAGTTTGGGAAGTGAGGTCTGCTGTGTAGACCAATAAATCAAAGCACTTCTTCTTGTAAACGTCTTTTTTCTTCTTCATCACTTCTGTTCAGCTAATATACAGGTACTGTACCGGTATATACTTTATTACTTTTAGGTTCTTCATTTAATTAACTTGGTGCTTGCTTTTAAAAGCTGTTTCTTTGTCTGCATGAGTTTGTTTCTGGCATGATTTATTGTGGGGGTGATTCAGCATTTATTTTGTGTGGTACAGTTAGAAAACTTAAATGCTTGGTGCCCACTGCCCAGGGTGTAATATTTTGTATGTTCCTTCAGATGATACATTTAACCATTTGTCATTTTGGTTTTCAAATAGCGCGCATAATCTCATAATTGTGTTTGAGACAAGCTTTTGTAAGCATGCATGAACCCTTGCCCTTCTCTTGCAGTTTCATCATTGATTATATCATTGATTATATCATCGAATAAATTATTGCAGTAGACATTACATATTTACATTTTTATAGAGGACATTGGCCTTTGTTCTGTCCTATTTGCATACATTGTATATCGTTTCCAGTCACCGCTCTTTACACATCTGATATATTTACATAAAAAATATTCTGTTTGTTTTATCAACCATGGGTGGGTTCGCACTCCCAAACAGTGTAAACTGGTAGAGTTCATCTCATTGGCTCTCATGCTTTAATGTATTTTGTTGTACCTGGTACTATAGGTCGAGCTTGCTAACTCTAATAGACAATATTTTTCTCCATTCAGTTCTATTCTTCATGATCTTTTGGAGTACCAAAAAAAAGTCAAAATTTATTGTGATATATCTGGTATTATAAATGAATGCATAATATTACAATACATTAAGCAATTCTTATTGGATGAACTGCATGCTTGATGTAATACCCTTAGCAATGGTGCAGCTACAGAGGGGCACATGCATGCATGCCTATTCTCTAAAATGACAAAATAAAGAGAGAGAGAGAGAGGGAGGGAGGGAGGGAGGGAGGGGGAGAAGGCAACAATACTTTTAAAAGGGGCTACGACTCCCAACCAAGCCGTCCCACAACTTTAATGGCCCTGTTGTCTTGTCTGTAATGTACCAGAGTGCAGTGGTGCCCCTCCCTCATGCCAGTCCCCCCCCCCCTCCCACCAATATCTGGACCAGTGCTACACCACTGACTCTGAAACAACTTCTCAACAGGAAATACAGCGTATAGTTATGTCAACAAATAATTATCAGATCATTTTATGATGTCTTTGTTTTCCTTCCTGCATGACTGCAATTTTACAGACCTACTTTCAGTTTCCACCGAGACAATGGGAACAGGTCGGTCCCGCCCACACTCTCGATCCCAGCTTGCTGGGAATGAAACCAGCAACATTGATAATTGCGGATCATACCGAGGCCGAGGTACAGACCTGAACAGATCAGAGTCCGGCAGCATGGATGAGCAACTAGAATACAAGGAGAAAGGCAGCATGGAGTCAGAGAGGAAGGGTGAGACTGAGAGAGAGAAAAGGGAGAGTACGTACAGCGGAACTGCACTGGAAAGTGGAAAGGCTGTGGTAGGAGAGGACAATATGTCGGAGGAGAGCAGAGTTGTAGGGGAGGGCGATAAGTCGGAGGAATACAGAGTTCCAGGGACGGGACACAGTTCCTTGGACGCAGAAAGGACCCTTGAAGATGCCTCAAAGGCACATGAACCCAAGGATGATGCAGTAGGACCAAGGGGAGATGCAGGAGAGACCAGACATGAGAATGATGATATCGGAATAGAAGAAGAAAAGAATGATGATGAAATGGATTCGAAGGTGGAGGCTAGTGAGAAAGAGGCAAGTACTCCGGAAGAGAAGGAAAAGGACGAAGATTTATTCTCTAGAGAGAAAGAGGATTCTGAAATTAAGGAGAGGGATAATAATGCCCCTGCCAAGCAGACTGGTGGAATGAGTCATGGCGCAAAGGGTAAGTTTGATTAGTCTTTTATTACGCAAAATATTTGTCTGTAGAACTCCATATACCATGTATATTAAAAAGTAAACTACAGTAAATATCATTTATACACATGAAAGTACAGTGTTTGTTTTTTTAAGTTTTGATAATTGGTGTTTAATCAATGTGGGGTGGGGTGGTGGAGTGATAATTATACATGACGTTTCAGCAATCATTGAAAAAGTCAGGATTAAGACGATGAATTGAACAAGAAGAAAAAAACAAGAACAATGTAAGCATTGCGTTATTATGTACATGTACATTGTATACATTTTGAAGAAAAATTTGCAATTTAAGTCGCTCAGCGTAAAAGGTAAAATGGAGATAGTAATTTCAAAATTTATCCTATTTTAAGGAACAGAAATAAAATGTATACCTTTTTCTAAATTTTGATCCACAGTATTCTTCAAAATTCATTTTCATATACGAACATATTTCATAACCCGGTACAGTATTGCATCATTTCCTCCTTTTTGAATGACTCGTCATTATTTCTTTGAATATTTTGTTATGCATGACTTGTGACTGAGGATTAAATCAATATTGATACAATATCATACATGGGCAACAGGGCAAGAAACTTTTTAAAGAATTAAAGGGAAATAGACAACTCCATTACTCTTTAATAAAGAAAGCAGAAAATCAGAGAAGCAGACTGATAGAAGCTTAAAATTAAATAGGAAGGTTGTGAATTGTTTAAAATTGTAATTGGCTGAATTGGTAATGTACATACTGTGACAAAGTGTTGGCCTACTATCCCATATTTTCTAACACAAATGACTAAAATTTCAATTATGGCTCAGGAAGGTCTTTAGAGGACCTAAAATTTATTGCATAAATGTGCACCTTATTTGAGTGCTGATTATATTTTGGCAGCTCTGCTATTAATACCAGGGTTATTTATGTCTAAGCACCACGCGGGGTATCGATATCATTCGCCGTGATGGATAATGCATGGATATGGGCAATATATTTAATGACCTTTATTGTTATTATTATTATTTGGGGGGCGCTACATTCTCTGACACTCTTTTCATTTAATTTAATAGTCTCTCATGGTGCAAGCACTCAGCCTCCAACAAAAGCTATCTGTGACCCTGCCAAATTTCCATGGCCCACCAATGCGACCACCATCAGCGAGGTGGTCGATGATGTCTGGAGCGAGATCGACGACCAGTGCCAGCTGTACCCGTTGTCTCACATCAATCTGACCCAGTCTCTGACCGGGTGGAAGGTCGTTCGGCTTTTCGTGTCGTCCACCTTTCACGACTTTCAGAACGAGAGAGAAATTCTGGTGAAGAAGGTAAGGAGAACCATTTTATTGTGTTTCTATTTAAATTTTGGTAGTTGGTGAACAGCCGTGCAGCTTTTTGCTTCTTTGACTTTTCTTGACCTTCGAAACAAGAGATACTATAATTGTATTTAGTTGAAGTAGAGGATTACTGATGATTTTTACCCCTAACTCATCCCCTGACAACTACCCTGAAAAAACTACTAAACAAGACAACTATGAATTTTCTACCTAGGATCTGGGAAAAATAAAGAATAATTAAACTATAAACTTATGACAAAGAAGTACATTAGTGAATCAACTGGCAATAGGAGGTAATTGTACATGCATTAGATGCATAAAATAATAGGAGAATGCAGCTGATTTAATAGAAGAAGAAAAAAAAAAGCTAGACCAAAAAGATAAGTGCCATATCATTACTACTGCAATGGCGCCGAAACTATTTGTTGTCTCTGATTTTGATAAAATTAATTGGTTAAATCAATAAACATCAAGATATGTGGCTTCCTGTGTTTGTTTAAAAGGGCAAGGCTAGTGCATCTGCATAAAGTATAGTTTACTTTTAGATAAAATGTCTCTGTGAAATACAAACAAAGAGGAAAAAATAAATGCAACTTGTATGTTTACATGAAGCAGGATCGAGGATCGACCTCCTCCCTTCATGAAGGTTGCCTTGTATTTGTACATAAGAAATTATTGAAAGCCATTAAAGGGAACAGGAGTTACAATTCTATGACTACCATTATATGACTATTTTAGTGGATCTGCGTGATTAATGTTTACTTTTAGATAAAGTTTCTGTGAATATAGGGGAATAAATAAATTTGATCTGAGTACTTGTACAGTATATGTACATGAACAAGTTTATCAAGTTAATGAAGTTAATGAACATACCGGTACACAAAATATTAAACTCATTCAAGGGAACAGGAGTTACATTGTATGACTAGTCACTACCATGACCTTTTTTTGGGTGGATCTTCAAGATTATATGTTTACTTTGAGATAGAAATCTGTTTTAATACAAACAGAGGGGAATCAATAAAAGGACCTTGTATCAATACCGGTAATCTGTTTATATGAAGACTGATTTGTATTTGTACCAGTTCATACCAAAACTTATTGAAGCCATTACATTAAACAGGAGCTACAATTCTCTGACTACTATGACTGCATTATTGGTCTTTAGATCATGAACATGTTCATCTAAACTTCTAAAGTTTATATAAAAAACTACGTATTATCATTTCAATTGTATAGATGCAAGCTTATGTACATGTAAAATTGCAAAAGGTTACAAAGAGTTTTGTTGTTTCATAATTTACATTTGTAATTGCAAATTGACATAGAGCAATGTAACCGTTTCTCCAATATGTCAATGTTCATATTAACTATTTGTAGGCAACACTGCATGGTACACAACCTGAGGCATACAGGATGTACAGTATACTTTGTACATGTAGAATTATAAATGCATCAAAATTGCATGTATTATACATGTAATTTTGATGTTTGAACTGCAGTATCACTGTTTGTGAATAGTGTAGGTTCAAGGACACACATTGTGTTGTGGCTCTTAATAGTCTTCCCACTGTTTCATTCAAACTGTAACTTGTCAAAATTGCAAACAACAGTATAATATCCTTTTACTATTTTTAAAACACTTGTATTGTTGTTAAAACTTATTTTCCAAAGATAATTGCTGAATGCGTTCATTTAATATACAGTGTATGACGTACACCTTTCAAGGCCTGTCGAAGGCTTATTTGTTTTTATATGATTAAACTTTGCTCAGGTATGCTATTGATTCCCAGTGTACATGTATTTTAATTGAAATCATGGCATTAATAGCATTTGGACCAAATTATTGTGCTAGCTGTTATGTGGATTGTTTTATAGAAAAACAGAAGTATAGGATTGTATGAATCAGACTTTGCTCCTGGAATAGCCAACATCTGTTTTTGTTAGCCCTTCCATTCTTAAATTCTTGCCATTAACCCTGTATAAATATCACATTCAAATATAAATACATTTGCAAATAGTACCGGTACTGTAAATAACATGCAAAATCTTTCACTAGAATAAGTACATTAAAATATTTATATAATATGGACTGGCCTTGAGGGAGATACCACATAATATTTCCCAAACTAGACTCATATTGCCCGAGTCAAAGACGAGGGCAATACGGTTCTTGTGAGGGAAATATACTGTATGTGGTATCTCCCGAAAGTTAAGCCAGTCAATATTGTTATTATTATCTAAATCAGACATCTAGAGCAAATACATACATGACAATCTCATAGAACTGAACAAACTTTGTCAAACCAGCACTGTGCATCCAGCTGCTTGACAAAATTGTCGATACACTGCAAACAGTGTACCCAATTTGGTGTGATTATTACGTCACAATAGAGTATGCGCAAAGTGCGCAGGTTCTCGTACGCATAATAGATGCGCATATGAAAATGACAAAATACGGCGCGGTGAATATGGTCTTATATTTCATGCTTTTTTAACACGTAAAGTCCATAGGCTTTTTCATGAAAGGTAAATATGGTCTCATATTCCCCGATTAGCTCTTTTAGGATTACAAACAAGTGTAATATGATTTTGAAAAACCACCCAGCTCAGATGTCTGATACGGGTAATAATAAACAATAATGGAAAAAGGGAAGTTATAAAAAGAAAACAATAATTGAGTTGATATATCTCCCCCAAAAGTTGTAATTAAACAAAATGTGATGAACATGATAAAGATTTTAAATTACATAAAGTTTATTTTGCCCCAAAGAAAACTGGTATAAACACAGAAACAAACAGAAAAAAAAAACATACAAGCCCTACAAATACACACGTATGTCCATGTATACACACATTATATAAAGTGGAAAATATAGTGGTGGTGTTGTAGGTACATTACATACTATTAATATAAAAATCATCATTATCAGTGTTATGATCATTATCATATTTTAAGATTGTCATATTATATAATTTTATTATTCGGAACTCTAGGTGTTTCCCGAGCTCAAAGAGTGGTGCGAGAAGCGACATATCCACTTTATCGAGTGCGACTTGAGATGGGGTGTGCCCCGGGACTCCACAACCAGGACGGTTCTCTGCACTTGTATGGAGGAAATCGACAGATGCCACGAGGATACGGAGGGAGAACCGTTCTTTCTTAACATGCTCGGCGACAGGTCAGGAAATGCTAAATAATTGAACAGTGACTAAACCTTTAACAGGGATGCCAGTTTTCAGGCAATAGACTGAATTTAGGCCCTGGCGCGATATTTTCATACCATAGTTTAGGATTTTTGTGTGTAGTACAAAATAGCTCATTCTAGGTGATTTTCAGGCCCTCTGAACAATTCTAACTGGCATCCCTGCTTGAAGCTTTTACCAATGAAATACAATCGATAATGTTACTGATGATAATGAAAGAGATGAAATCATTTTTCTGAATTTGGTGGGGTGAAGTGGATGCTTTATACATGTAGCATGCTGGGTAAAATGTTAGTGATGGCTAACTGTAAATATTGGGAAATTTAAACTTTTACCACCGAATTGAAAAAGAAAAAATTATTGTGATGATGAAATAAAAGAGAGAAAAGCTCTAAAGGTGAAGCACCTTTCCCTAATCCTGTAATAAAAGATAAGATATACCATTTATCCTGTATGGTGTTGATAGGGTTTCTAAGATCCGTAAATGGTAGGTCGGATTTCCACTGAATTTGCTATGAACGTCATCTTAATAGGCCAAAGGCAGGAACTATGTGGTTTCTGTATATCCTGTGGGAAGTAGAGAATACAGTAGTAAAAATGTCAAATGAAACAGCTTCCTGAGAATAGTGGGTGAAAGGTGAGAGAATGCTCAGGAAATGATCCTCTTAATCTCCTCCATCTTTTCATAAAAATACAAAAAATGCAGATAAATGAAAAAAACATGTCTAATGGTCAGTACGTTTACTGTTTCATTCATTATTTAAAGGACAATCATACATTTTAAAGATATATCCGGCTAAGTGAAAAGTCAGGGAAAGAAAGAAAGTTTGCATTTTGATTCAGTTAATTTAAAACTCGAAATTATAAATGTTTCTATCTTTTAATGATCATCTTGATGTATGAAAATATGTTTTTTTAAAATGATGGAAATGGGTGATTCTGTTCAATCCTGTATGAAAAATGCTTTTGATTTTGTCCCCATATTACATCTAGTAATGATATCTTGAATAATGGTGCGTTCTGCTACCATCACCATTTAATAGTCGTTGTCCTGTCAAGAGATTTTTCAGTCATGGATGATAGACATTAAATGTACAGTGAAACCTGTATATAAAGACCGCTCAAGGGATACATCAAATGTGGTCTATCTATAAAGGTGGTCCTAAAGCAGGTTTGACTGTATGCATAAGCATCGTATGTCAAATTTGACACCTTGCAGAGAATTGCCCAAATAATGAAAATGAAGAGAGAACAAGCTGTTGTGAATAAGAAAATATTTTTGGTACTTGAGCTTTGTGATAAGTGAACTTCTGAACCTGAATGCAGATATGTTTTCATATTTAACAAAAAGCAATTAAGTGGCCAGACTTTAATGTTTGCCACTTCATTATCCTTTTCCCTTTCCTGTTTATATCCCGAATTCAGATACGGCTGGGTTCCTACCAAAGATGACGTCCCCGAGGACATTGCCAAGAAGTACGAGTGGGTCGGCAACAGCTCTATCACCCACATGGAGATCCTGCACGGGGCCTACCGATTCTGCAACCGCAATGCCGCGTTTTTCCTGCGAGAGGTGGAGGATATGCCGGATGACGTGAGGGCAAAGTTCGCCGACCCCACAGATCTCGGCCTTCGACAGATTGATGTAAGTCTTTATGTCAATGTACATTTTATATTAAACCTTCTTTCATGTTTTCTTGTATTTTACTGTAATATGACAATAGTAATCTTCAGATTTTTGCCATGTTTTTTATACAATAAAACTAAAATTGAATTGAATTTAATTGAATTTAATTCAATAAAAGCTTAATATCAAATTGTTTTGGTTGCTCTTCTTAATTATTTTAAATTTTCCATATTCAATCTTACCACTATGTTTGTTGAATTAAGCTTATGAATATTCCAAGATGATCAGTCTCATTTTTTTAGAACTTATTATTAAACATCAGTTCATGTTGACCGACATAATAGAAGCATTATAATTAGTTTGAAGCTTGTTGAGCTTTCATTATATTCAGTACTTGTCTTCTTTAGTGAAGAATCGACTGCCAATGTTGAACGTGCAGTTCATATTCCCTCATTAAATTTTCACTGACGACAAACTAATTTTTTTCTCCCTCGATTCACAGAGATTGAGGAAGAAGTTGGCCTCAAGGTTTCCGGATCAAGCACAAACTTACACCTGTCAATATGACCCAACAGAGACAAGCTCTGTAAGTATATACTTCCTGTTCAGTTTAATTGATACTATCGAACACGGAGATGCTGGTATGAAAGATTGGCATCAGCAACAATAATAATACTGAGGGTAGCCTTATAAGAATGTATACTGTTCTCCCAGATGTGCTACATATTTAAAATAGCCTTTGTTTCCCCTTTTTCAAAGAATACTTCCACCTGTGTATCATGGAGTGCACTTCTTGTGCATGAATGAATACCGTATTTGCCAGCGTAAAGGCCGCACCGCCGCATAGGCCGCACCCCCAATTTTGACATTTCGTAGAGAGAAAAAAAAAAAAAAGGAAAAAAAAAAAACGGACCAAAGAAAATAATCATAATTTTCTCGTAGAACTCTATTTTTCCTACAAACTAATACCAAAATTATCAATCATTTTATAAATTTACAGGAAATTTACCTAAAAAATGATCGTAATTTAGCGAATCTTCGATTTTTAGGCAGATTAGCACATTCATTGGACACTAGAGGGCGCTTCGCATGCATACAGAAACATGAATGGCCTGCCATAACCAAGCTGTGGCCATAATGTTATCCGGTCTTACCCCTATCGTACCGCCAAATGGAGAAAATAAACAAGCTTTTGTATTCTTATTAGAGATCTACCGAGGTTAGTTTGTCGCTTTAATTAATTAGATAGTCTCAATTATAATTCAGAATTATCTTACTGAAAAGTTACTGAAAAGTTAAGAACACCGACGATTGCGCGAATCTCCGAAGCTGCGTTGGATTTGTTGCAACTCCCAGCCCGGTAGCTCCCCACCACAGAGTGTGTGAGCAAGGTATGATTTTGGTTACCGGGCCGCGCGTTTCCGTTTTACACCCTGCCCTAGGCTTTTCGGCAAGAAATTACACGAAACATGCTGTATCCGAAGTCTAAGTTTGTTTATATCGACGTCAAGAATAGCGAAGCCAAAGCTTATGTACAATTTCAATTGGGGATGCGAGGGTCTTCTTGTTCAAGACGGTTTTCCCGATATATTATTGTTTTGTTATCGCTGGGCTAAATTTTGCGAGCTGATCACGCATCCTCACGCTCTTAGAGTATTGCGTATTAATGGATAAAAATAAATGATACGACTAGGAAGATCAACTAGTATAGAGAGTTAGCTAGCGCTACGTGACGTTTTCAGAGTTCTGGTGGTGTGCAGAGCGCCGAGGCAAGATGTGGACGACTAGACTCCGAATACCAGTCGGTTTGTAAAATTTTATTGGAGAAAAGCCTAGGGCAGGGTGTAAAACGGAAACGCGCTGGCCATGCGCTGTCTAAGCCAAGGACATTTTTACAAGTACGATTTTTAGTACAAGTTTCTGGTCAGTTTTCTTCTTATTTCTTTGGTTGCACAACGATTAAAAAGATAACTTCTTCAAATTTGCTGCTGACTTGGTTCAGATTAGATCTTGTCCGATGTGTTTTCAAGTCAATTTCGTTAATATATTTTTTTGTATGAAGTTGCCTAGATCTACAAATAATGGACGTGCTGTTTTGACTTGCGATTTTTACTGTTTCGGCGTTACGCCGCACCCCGACTTTTTGATATTTTCTCTTCCAAAAATACTGCGGCCTTTACGCCGGCAAATACGGTAATGATTACATAACTTTCATGAGCACGTATCCAGTATTTTGTGTCCGTGTATTTCACAATTTGTTCTGCAATGACCTTTATCTGCTCATGCTCAGACTGCAACCGTAAACTGGTTTATCGATACTATTGAACACCTAGATGCTGGTATGAAAGATTGGCAGGGTATAATAATAATGACAACAACAACAACAATATTAATCAGGAGAGCCACAAAAATAATGCGCTCAAGCATTCAAGGACTTTTTTCTTACCGGGTACCCGTTTACATGTACCTCACATGGATGGAGTGTGAAAAATGTAGATTAATATCTTGCCAAAAGAGATTAGTGCCACGGCAGGACCGGAACCACAAACCATGCGATCCATGGTCCTGATCCATTAGACCACAACACCTCTACTTAGGTTGTATTTTTGGGAGAAATCATATCAATATGAACATTTGTTATTTAACTCCTTGAGGTTTATTTGTAATTTTGTACCAAAATTTGTGAAAAGAAATAAATACGGTATGTAAATGTACAGCTTATAGAAGATTTTTCATACACATACATGTATTGTTAGTAGTATTGGAATGTTAACCTACCTGTAAATGGGCTCTTAAAGGCCCACTGCACTACTTACATGTACAGTATAGCTACTTGAGCCCTCTATATAACAAACAATGCACAATCGGTAACCATTGGTCCCCCATGATCCTCTTTTTCTTATGTTAATTGAGAGCTGATTTGATGAGATAACCACATGTTCAGTGACCTTGCAGGGTGGTCTAATTCCTCCTGTACACTAGTACAGATGGGCTTTAATGCAATCTTTTCTTGCATGCATGCCTGCCTTCATTTTACCCTTCATATTACATGATTATTATTTTTTCTTTAATTCAGATTAAGCTTGTAGGATTGGAGAAATTTGGGCAGGGCGTCTTGGATTACTTCAAGATGGCCATCGACCGGAAATATCCTAAAGATGCTGCGGAGCTCACAGCAGAACAACAAGGTACTTATAGACCTTGGATCAGTTTCCTGCAAAAGAACCCACTACTTTTGATCCTTTAATTCGTTTTTCATATACCACTTTATTAAAGATAAACTTGAGTTCTGGTAAAAAGAGAAAATTAATTCTCACATAATCAAACAAATTTTACACTGAATGTTCAAGATTACAAATAAATGTCATTTGCCAAACAATATATTGGTAGAAAGTGTATAATGGCTGAGTAATGAGCGTAGAAAGATAAGGAAATCAAGGTACCGGTAAGTACTGTAGGCCCGACACCATTTGTGTAGTTTTGTTTTCTTCATCTAATACACTGTACATTTAATGCAGAGTCTAAAGATTCTGTGACAACCTAACTACATGTAGCTTCAAGACATGTTCATTGATACTCGTCATCCTGATTTCGACATTCTTTTTTTGTTTTCCCCTTTTTTTTCTAAACAGAGAATGATCGACAGACTCTGTTCCTAGGTCACAAGGGTCAGTTGATCTACGGCAGGGAAAGGGAGGTCAAGTACTTACAGGACTATGTGACTGGTGCAGGAGACTACTCCTCCCAAAGCTTGGCTGAGCAATGGCAGGAAAGATTCTATCCCGAGAAAAGTGAGTTAACATAATGATTTTCCTTGTTTTTGTTTGCTTTCGATATGGACATGTTAATTCATACCTGCATGTAATACTCTCTGTACCGGTAATTGGTACCTGTTTATTTACATTATTATACAATGATACATTATGTTATGCCAAAACAATAATTTGATGAAATACATTTTATCCATAGATGTGGATTTTTAAATGATGATGACTTGGTATTTTCTTTAAAGGTCATGTTCAGGAATTTCACATGTCACAATTAAAATGAGTATACCTGTAGTAGAACCTGTCACTCAAAGACTTTTTTGAGGCACTTCATGATCATTTTGAAGCGCAATTTTTTCAGAGCTTCAATATTGCACCATATCGCAGACACTGGTACTTGGTAATGGTAATGGTTTGGTAATGGTTTTATTAAAAATTCATTTGCAGCCAGATGGTTGAATTGCAGAACTTTGTACATTGTAAAAACATAAATATTTATACAAACATAAAACGTATTGAGACATATCACGCAGTGATTGAATTTTAAATAAATCAGTGTACACATATATATATACAAATTAATACAATTCATAAAATTCGCTTAACATTCTATTCCACAATCATCATAGGGCTGGAGGGAAATATAGAAGAGAGGTAGGGAGGATAATAGTGCAGACAGCACAGGAGATCCAGGAAAAGTGTGATATAGAGACAGACAGAGAGGGAGAGAAAGAGACAAAGGGAGAGAGGGAGAGAGAAAGAGAGACAAGGCGAGAGATAGAGATATATATATATATATAATAAATGATGCTGAGGATGAGAGTGTATATCAGACATATCGAAAATAAGGTAAAAAGTACAATTTCGACAGAGAGAATACTGGTTGTAAAAATTAATAAATTACATTTTACATTTTCATTGGTGAGTTATGGATAACATATATTGTAAACTGATAACACGTAGAGTCATGCATCACTGATTTAACATTGTTAAACAATGCCTTTAAGTCTTGAAAATTGGAGGAGGGAGTTTGATTATTCCTCCCTTCCTGTTAATATCATGTAATTGTTTTAAATTCCAAGGTGAAGAAGCAGGAGAGAAGAAGGATGAAGAAGGAAGTGGTGAGAAGAAGAAGGATCACGATGAAAGTGAAACGAAGGAGAAGAATTCCCATTCTCCCGTTGCCGTGGTAGCCCAGTCCGGCCAGGGGAAGTCGTCTTTGATGGCAAGATTCATCGTAGAAGCTAAACAGGTGCAGTTTTAAAATCATATTGCTTGATTCCAAAATTATTATAATTCAATTTATAATCTCTTTTTTCGTCTAGACCATCACAATTCTGCCTCTATATCGCCCTTTATTTTTCTCTCCTTTCTGTCTTGTCTCTCCCTTTCTGTCTTTCTCTCTCTCCCTCCCTCTATTTCTCTCTCTCTCCCTCCCTCTATTTTTATGCCTCCGCCACCGAAGGTGGTGCCGGAGGCATCATGTTTTCGGGTTGTCCGTCCGTACGTCCGTACCGTCCGTCCGTCCGTACATCCGTCCGTCCGTCCCGTTTGACCGTTATCACAATATCTCAAGAACCATTTAAGATTTAAACTTAAGACTCGGGAATAGTATTTATCACCATAGGAAGACGATCTGATTAGATTTTGGAGTACGTAGGTCAAAGGTCACAGGTCACAGAGGTCAACTTATGAAATTCCTTGTATTGAGTTTGTTAGCGCGATATCTCAAGAACCATTTGAGATTTAAACTTAAAACTTAAGGATAGTATGTATCACCATAGGAAGACGATCTGATCAGATTTTGGAGCACGTATGTCAAAGGTCAAGGGTCACAGAGGTAAACTTATGAAATTCCATACATTGAGATTGTTATCATGATATCTCAAGAACCACTGGAGATTTAAACTTCAAACTTAGTGATAGTGTGTATCACTATAGGAAAACAATCTGATTACATTTTGGAGCACGTAGGTCAAAGGTCAAAGGTCACTGGGCTCATTATGTATGCAAAAACAGCTTGTGATCGCGTTATCTGAACAACCGATTGATGGATTCCTGCCAAACTTTGGTCATGTATGTATCTTGCAGAGCTGATGAACTGATTAGATTTTGGGGTCACGAGGTCAAAGGTCACAGGGCTCATTATGTATGCAAAAACAGCTTGTGATCGCGTTATCTGAACAACCGATTGATGGATTCCTGCCAAACTTTGGTCATGTATGTATCTTGCAGAGCTGATGAACTGATTAGATTTTGGGGTCACGAGGTCAAAGGTCACAGGGCTCATTATGTATGCAAAAACAGCTTGTGATCGCGTTATCTGAACAACCGATTGATGGATTCCTGCCAAACTTTGGTCATGTATGTTACTTGCAGAGCTGATGAACTGATTAGATTTTGGGGTCACGAGGTCAAAGGTCAAAGGTCACAGGGCTCATTATGTATGCAAAAACAGCTTGTGATCGCGTTATCTGAACAACCGATTGATGGATTCCTGCCAAACTTTGGTCATGTATGTATCTTGCAAAGCCAATGAACTGATTAGATTTTGGGGTCACGAGGTCAAAGGTCACAGCGCACATTATGTATGCAAAAACAGCTCGTGATCGCGTTATCTGAACAACCGATTGATGGATTCCTGCCAAACTTTGGTCATGTATGTTACTTGCAGAGCTGATGAACTGATTAGATTTTGGGGTCATGAGGTAAAGGTCAAGGTCATGCGGCTCATTATGTATGCAAAAATAGCTTGTGATCGTATTATCATTAGAACAGATTGATGGATTCCTGCCAAACTTAGATCATTTATGTATCTTGCAGAGCCAATGAATGGTTCATAAGATCAAAGGTCATGGGCTCATTATGTATGCAAAAATAGCTTGTGGACGCATTCTCATTAGAACTGACAGATGGATTACTATTTAACTCAGGAAATCTTGCAGAGCCAATGAACTGAGTAGATTTTAGGGTCATGAGGTCAAAGATCAAAGGGTCATATATGTTTATGAGAAATTGCTTGTAATCACGATATTCTGAGAACATGTTAATGGATTACAATTGAACTTGAATTTGAAAAATTTCTTCCGTTTCGGTTTGTAAAATTGCTCTATGACGGAGGCATCATTTTCGACTGCGCGCAGTCGAATTCCATCTAGTTCTTCTTAATATTATTGTACGATTATGTTGTATGTATAGATTTGTAAAACTTTTAATTTGGAAACTCCATGTAATTCGCCCCAGGGCTACCTTTAACAAAATAAGTACCAATACCAAAGTTTATCAGCCAGAATAAAAAAAGACAGTACCATTTTGTTAGGGGTAGCCTAGGGGGGGGGGGGGGAGTAGGGGAATGTATCCAAATTCTCATTTATGATCACTTCTTGATTTGGTAAATATAACGACATATAAAAACTTTCTTTACCTGTATCTCTCACTCTTTGTTGCAAGTTGCTCTCATTCATTGGGACGTGAAATTTTGTGGATTGCAAAAAATAATGTTCATGAAGCTTCGAGGTATTTACTGTAGCACACTAATAAAATTAACTGGATTTACTGGCTTTTAAGTTAGTATACAATGTAGAGTGAAACTATGGTGCCCTCTTCTAACTCTCTCTCTTTCTTTTTGTTTAAATTTTGTATCCTTCTCTATTAAAGCCCCACTGTCCTACTTGTAGCTACTTGCTCCCTCTATATAGAAAACAATGCCTTATCGGTGATCATTGGTCCCCCATGATCCTCTTTTTCTGATGTTAATGGAGAGCTGAGTTGATGAGATAGCCACCTGTCATTGACCACGCTGTGTGGTCTAATCCCTCATGGCTAAACTAGTACAGCCGGCCTTTAAAAGAATGCATGCTGAAGTTGAATGATATCCTTGATAATTAAAGCTGTTCTCACTTCCCCAAATTTTGAAATCACAGGCTGGACTGAATGTGTTCTTCCACCTTGTCGGGTGCAGTGGGGAAAGCCTCAGTCTGACTAAGATGCTGGCTAGGTTGTGTCGCTATTTGGCACCCTGTGAAGGTAAGGGGTGTCCTATTCAGTTCTGTGATTAGTTAGTAACTCTTGAAATACTCAGGTTTTCCTTAGAGCATTATTCTTGTCCATTTAACTTGATTCAAACAAATTCATAGTAATGCAGCCATATTCAGTCCATTTCAATTCTATTGGCTAAATTCAGCTTCATCTATTTAGTTACTTTTGTTTAGAATTTCAGTTAAATTAATGTGGTGATCGATCATCTTCCCCTATATAACTCTCCATTAGTTATCTCTTTCACTCTCATGTTGGACGTGAAGTGTAGTGTAGTTCAGTCAAATTCTTCCAAGAAAAATTCAGTTCAATGCAAGTCAATTACTTCCCCCTTCTCATCCGTCTCATCACCCCCCTCTCACCCCTTCAGATGAGAGAATGTCTAACTTGAGGGAAATGTCAACGGAGGATGTTGTCAAGCTAAGTAGAACTCTTCTCAAGGAGTACACAGAGGAAGGCAAGCAGCTTCTCATCGCCATCGATGACCTAACTCAGGTAAAATAAACTTAAAGGCATCATCTAACAATGTCAAATCTCAGATTCATGGCCCTACGTGTTATCAGTGTCTGTGATATGGTAAATGTTACAGTAAATGTTTACCGGCAATACCTGTACTGTAATCTTTGTGAAGAGATACATTGAATGTGAAAGAATATTAAACTTTGTTTTTCTTTGAGCAACCTTGAAATCGATCTTCAATTTTATACCTTCTAGCTAGAACTCGATGATGCTAACTGGTCGGACTGGATTCCCGATGCCCTAGAGGGCAAGGTCTATATGGTCTTCAGTCTCGTCTTGGAGGAGTACAAAATGAAGGACATTCAAGCCAAGGTACCCTCCATTCAGTTCCTGGAGCTCGGTCATCTTGACCATTGTGCTCGGGTGACCATTGTGGAGAACTACTTTGCCCAGTATAATAAGGTGAGTTATAGTTTGCTGACTGGAGTATGTGTATGTACCGTAAATCTCTGTGTATAAGAAGCACTCTTTTGCTGCCAATTTTTTTTTTTTGAAGTTTCGATTTATGCCCCTCCACCTGGCACTATGCCTGGCAATGTTTCCCACCTCTGAGTCAGTAATCGGTGTGTTGACTCACCACTCGGAAACTAGCACAACACTCCAATTTGTCTTTCATCTTGGTTTGAAAGTAATCTTTCTAATAGATCTCAATATGAAGTTTATAATAATAATTCTATTACACACGGCGTACCACAAGGTTCTATCCTAGGTCCTCTACTGTTTTTAATTTACATTAATGATCCTACACATTCTTCTAAAGACGACATTGTTACTATTATTTGTGACAAGTTTACAAGCATCGGCGCCTTCAACTGCACCTCGTAGTTAAATGAAGTCCTGCCCCACATGGATTTCTTTTTTTTCTTTCTTGATGTTAAGTTTTGTGAAACTCCCCCCAGGTGTACATGTCCTTCTGCTCAATATGTAGTTGGGAAAGCCGGCTTGTAATGGTTTTCTTATTTTCTCTGCTCATCAACGGCCATTATATCTTGTAGAAACTTGACGCAGAGCAGTTGGACATCTTGACACGGTCTCCAGGAGCCGAAAACGCCCTCTGGCTGGCACTAGCCTGTGAGGAACTGAGGGTCTTTGGAGCATTTGAAGCATTGACAGCACTGGTCAGGGATCTACCTGACAACCTGGAGGGATTGGTGTGTGACATCCTGCATAGATTGACCACGGAAGATGAGACAGGGCTAGTGGAGAAGGTATAGTTCAACAGGAGTTTGATTGAGGTGAAAAATAATTAGCTAAAAATGCCTTGTAGTTGGCTTTAGCCGGCAAACAATTGAGGGTCTTTGGAACCTTTGAAGCATTGACAACACTGATCAGGGATCTACCTGACAACCTGGAGGGGTTGGTGTGTGACATCCTGCATAGATTGACCATGGAAGATGAGATGGGGCTATTTTAGAAGACAAAGTTAGGAGAAGGTTGAGCTCTGGAAAAAATAATCAGAGCTGAGGGTCTTTGAGCCTTTGGAGCGTTGACAACGTTGATCAGGGATCTACCTGATAATTTTGAGGGATTGGTGCGTGATATGCTTGAGGATCTTAGTATCACAGCACACTGTAACTGTGCTTTAAACAGCCTAATGATAAAATATGTATGTTGTGCTTTGTAATCCGAGGAAAAAACAGTTCATTCATTTGTTTGTACTACTCACATCCAGACTCTTTGCTACCTGGAGTGCTGCATGAAAGGGTTGACAGAACAGGAGCTAGAGTGTCTCCTAGGGGACATGGACACCAAGACGCCCATCCCTAAGCTTCACCTGGCAATGGTTCGGAGGACACTCAAGCCATTCCTCAGGAAGATCAGCGGTATGTGCAAGGTGGAATGCATCACATTCTTCCATCATGCCATTGGATTGGTAAGATATTTCCTTGAAAATTTAGTCATATTTTGTTCTATTGTCAGATTTCATGAATTTCTTAATTTTATTGAGTACTTCATCATGGAAAAAGTATTGTCGTACTCAAACAGTTTAACCACTTGGCTGGATAGGAATACATTGGTTGTGGGATTAAGCCTCATCTCTGCACTCCTTTCATCATGCATGCATTTGTTGTACTTTGCTTCTGTTCATTGGAAGTCAATAGGATGCAAAAGTCTTTTAGGTTCGATTGACATTTTTCCACCTGTTAAATAGATGGTCGCAAGGCAAGAATGTGTCACTAATTTGACATTTCCAACATTCTCTGTGCCTTTTTTTTATAGATGAAATGCTTCATTGTTTTGTCCGTCTTTCTGATTTTTGTGATCAGGTTGTGAGGCAGAAGTGGCTGGCTGATGCCGATGAGCTGTCAAAGTACCACCTCTTCATGGCAGACTACTACCTGAATTGGTATGAGCACAGCGAGGGCGTGGCAGCCAGGAATGGTGCCTTCCATCTTAGCAAGTCCAACGACAAGGGCCGCTTAGTGACCTTCCTCACCAAGGACAGACGCAGTCGATTCCTAGGACCGGCCCTGAAATCATCTCACCTCAAGGTAAGGAGGTTGTCTAAGAATTTTAGTAGAAGTAGTATTTGTTGCCTTCTATCTCAGTACGTCCAACGACATGGGCCGCTTAGTGACCTTCCTCACCAAGGGCAGGCGCAGTCGATTCCTAGGACCAGCCCTCAAATCATATCACCTCAAGGTAAGGAGAGTGTCTAAGAAGTTTAGTAGTAGTAGTTGTTGCCTTCTAATTCAGCTCATCCAAAGACAAGGGCCGCTTATTGACCTTCCTCACCAAGGACAGGCGCAGTCGATTCCTAGGACCAGCCCTGAAATCATCTCACCTTTAGGTAAGGAGAGTGTCTAAGAAGTTTAGTTGTAGTAGTAGTAGTAGTTGTTGCCTTCTATCTCAGCACATCTAACGACAAGGGCCGTTTGGTGACCTTCCTCACCAAGGATAGGCGCAGTCGATTACTAGGACCGGCCCTGAAATCATCTCACCTCAAGGTAAGGAGAGCGTCTAAGAAGTTTAGTAGAAGTAGTAGTTGTTGCCTTCTATCTCAGTTTGTCCAATGACAGGGCCGCTTGGTGACCTTCCTCACCAAGGACAGGCGCAGTCGATTCCTTGGACCAGTTTCAGCCCTCAAATCATATCACCTCAAGGTAAGGAGAGTGTCTAAGAAGTTTAGTTGTAGTAGTAGTAGTAGTAGTAGTAGTTGCCTTCCATCTCAGCAAGTCCAATGACAAGGGCCGCTTGGTGACTTTCCTCCCCAAGGACAGGCGCAGTTGGCTCCTCAAATCAACCTACACAATTAAACTTGTGGCCTATTAAAGAAATTGCTTTTTAAAATTACTATAAACTTGCTGTGAGAGATCAGAAAGCATGAGGTCATGGTTCAGGTGAGGAACTTGTATCGGTGTTTCGTCCGTAAGGGGCTTTTCTGATGAAGTTGATGGAGGGTGTGTCCTAGCTTGACATGGAGTCCATTCTCTGTGATTAATAACATCTATTACACAATAAATGACTCAATGATGTCAAATTTCCCATGGGAACCATAATAATGTAACCTTAAATACTTGGTATTTTGGACGTTGTTTTTATTAGGTGTCTTTGCCACTTGCTAATTTCTGACCATCAATTGGAACAGTCCCTCCCCATGCCATCTCTCATCAGTACAAAATGGCCCTAATTTGTTAAAAAAATTGGGCACAACTAGGACAGGATGACGTCTATTGCCTACATCATCTTCCCTTTGAACTTTGACATCAAGCAACGAGTCTCCATTCTTTAACTCATATCTTGCCATAAGGCCGCATGCACGCTACCGTTATAGTGCTTTGTATACGCGAGCACGCTTTCGATTGGCTGCTTAATTTACCTCAGAGCCACAGCTTAGCTGCTTTATGCATGCATGCTCGCATTTGTAATAGCAGTTATTGTTCATGCTCATTGTACTGTTCTGAGTGCTTTGCACGCACTATTGATCGCACCATCAGATTATCTCAAAATAAACTTGGCGCTGGGGGATTTGTGGCTTGGCACAATGGGAATTAGCCCTGTGGCACTGGGCTGTATTTATTACGGCAGGATAAGAGTTAAACAATAATTTGTTCAAGTACATACAAATGTAGGGAATGTTTGTCTTCACTTCCAGGCTTGCCGCTGTCGCACGATGATCAACGCGAAAGGACCCTTCCACACCCAACTCTTTCTCTGCGATTTCTGTGGTCCGCAGCGTAATGCCTATGGCAACGAAGCCTGGTCCAACGCAGAGAGCTGTATGCTGTGCGGCCAATTTGTGCCACTGATGTTCAGGAAAGAGAGCAATAAAGGTAAGCGTTAACCTGCAAATAGTTGTGGATTTATCTGGCGGACATTACTGTAAACTATGCAGCAATGATTTGCCAAGATTTGTCAAATGACTAGAAGATTTTAGTGCTCTACTATTAAATGAAAAATTCCTAAGAGTTTTAGTCTTTAGGTAATTACTCTGTTGAGGGCGTTATTCAGTTGTTCGCAATATGAATATCTTTGTGAAAGAGGTGAAAGAGGACATTCAAACTTTATACTAGAAGGCATCACTGTAGGAAGATGGTATTTGTAAACACATTGTCATATAATTATCGGAATCGTGGTTGCAGTTTTTTTTAATGCATACCTTTACTATCTCTTTTCTTCAATCTTCCAGCTTACAGATGTCAGCGGCATCCGATGAAACGTCCTCACCTACCAAACGCCAAGACATGCATGCTGTGCAGTCGCAGCATCATGAAGGAAAAGGAGAAGCCAGTCTTCCTCTGCCAGTTCTGTCAAATGGGTGGCTTTCCCACATGCTGCAACCTGAATACAGACAGGATATAATGACATCAATGTCTTGGACCGTATCTGGACACCAACCGCCTAGACATCAACCCTAGAGGGTGGTTGCCCTAGGGGGTAGTTGTCCTAGGGGTCGTTATCAGGGGGACGGATGTCCAGGATGTAGGTGTCTTAGTACTGTCTTGGACACCTATCATGAAGAGCCAGGAAAAGCCTGCCTTTCTCTCCCGGTTCTGTCAACTGGGAGGGTTCCCCACATGCTGCAACCTGAATACAGACAGGAGATAATGACACCAATGTCTTGGACACCTATCATAAAGTGATGGGAGAGGAAAAGCCTGCCTTTCTCTGCCGATTCTGCTTAACTCATATCCTGCCATAAGGCTGCGTGCACGCTACCGTTATAGTGCTTTGTACACGCGAGCACGCTATCGATTGGCTGCTTAAATCACGCGAGCAAGCCACAGCTTAGCTGCTTTATGTATGCATGCTCGCATTTGTAATAGCAGTTATTTTTCATGCTCATTGTACTGTGCTGAGTGCTTTGCACACACTATTGATCACATCATCAGATTATCTCAAAATAAACTTGGCACAGGGGGAATTTGTGGCTTGGCATAATGGGGATTAGCCCTATGGCACTGGGCTGTATTCATTATGGCAGGATAAGCGTTAATGGGAGGGTTCCCCACATGCAGCAACCTGAATACATACAGGAGATAATGACACCAATGTCTTGGACACCTACCGTAAAGTGACGGGAGAAACAGCCTACGCCTGCCAGTTCTTTCAAATGGGTGGCTTTCCTACATGCAGCAACCCGTTTATAGACAGGATATAATGACACCAATGTCCTCTCAAATCGTCAACATCCTATTGTACTATCGTTAAGGGACAAGAGAAACAGCCTACCTCTACCAGTTCTGCCATTTGTGTTGGTTCTCTACGTTCTGCAACCTCAATACAGACAGGAGATTATAATGACACAAATGTCTTTAAATAGGGAACATCGTCATCCTTTTGAACCATCATAAAGGGACAAGGTAGACCAGCCTACCTTTGCCAGTGTTGCTGAATGTTAGACCTCTCAAGGTGGGATAATGACACCATCATCCTGTAGATGCTCTTGCACTTTTCATCCCTTGGTTAAGGTGATGGACCCCAACAGTTCTGCACTAGTTTGGCCAGGGGGGATAAGACCTCCTTGCAAGGTCACTGACAGGTGGTTATCTCATCAAATCAGCTCTCAATTAACATAAGAAAAAGAGGATCATGGGCGACCAACAGGCACTGATTAGGCATTGTTTGCTATATAGAGGGCGCAAGCAGCTCTAAGTAGTGCAGTTGGGCTTTAAGTGGATATGTGTGGATGGGTGAAGTGAAGCATTTGAACTGCAGTGTGACCAACGACAAAGTTCCAACAGTGACATAAGCTTCGTTCCCAGTCAAGTTTGTATTCCAACAGCTTCATGAGGAAGTTGTCACAATACCAGAGCAACTTCTGCACCACTTTTCATCTTGTGGATATGGTGATGGACCCGAACAGTTTAATAGCTTTTCTGAGTGTTGCATCTCTTAAGTGGACATTTGTGGATGGGTGAAGTGAAGCATTTGAACTGCAGTGTGACAAACGTCAAATTTCTGACAGTGACATAAGCTTGTTTCCCAGTCAAGTTTTTATTGCAACAGCTTCATGAGGAAGTTGTCACAATACCAGAGCAACTGCAGTGTGACCTACTACAAAGTTCTGATAGTGACATTAGCTTCGTTCCCAGTAAAGTTTGTATTGCAACAGCTTCATGAGGAAGTTGTCAGAATTCCAGAGCAACTAACAAAGACATAACACAGACAGTGACTAGGCTTGTTTCCCAATCAAGTTTGTATTGCAACAGTTTCATGAAGAAGTTGTCAGAATTACCAGAGCGCCTAACACAGACAAAGCTACCACATTACATTCCCTTTTTTGTAAGTAAACCAAATTAAGATGCAAGTATTCACAGTTCTCTCCTTGATATGCCTTAAGTCACTCTTGAACCAGTTGAGACCAATTTACATAAATTCTGCCAACTATTCCTGTATTGCATGGAGTTATTCATTCTTCTCCTACCTCTTCAACAATAATAACAACAATGATTACTACTACTACTACTACTACTACTACTACTACTACTACCACTACAGTCAAACCTGCTTTAGTGACCACTCGTCTACAAAGACCACATTTCTTGTTTCCCTTGAAAACGGTTTCTCTTGAAACTTGTACTAAAGGAACCTGTCTACAAAGACCACCTGTCTACTAAGGCCACTTTTTGTGTTCCCCTTGGGCGGTCACTATAGACAGGTTTGACTGTACTACTACTACGACTACCACTACTATTATGAGCTCTACGATGTATATTGTGCAGGTTGTACCTATTGATAATTTTTCATGCCAGTTTAGACAATGTGACACCAAATTAACCTCCTGCATTGGACTTTCAACGTTTCATTTATGAAGATTGATTCATAGTGAAAATTGTACATTAACCTTGTGAAACAGAATAGATGGAATTAAAATTATAGTCCAGAAAGGAAAACAAAAATTCCTTATGCACAAACATTATTTATGGGAATATTTGATGCTCAATAAAATGCATTTTCATTGGAGTTATTTTATTGAGTAGAAAAGGCAATAAATCACTTCTGTGATTCAGGAGGGCATTGAATTCAAAATTTCTCCTCTGTTTTATGTGACCAAAAAAAGAAGAAATAAAACAAACAGTACTTTGTATGAAAGATGTGTAACAGACATTCTTTCCTTCAAAACAAAATGTGCCAAACTTTTTGTACCATCAGATATTGTAACTCAACTGCAAAATATTCTTAAGATATTTTTAATATATATATATATTTATGTAACCTTTTGATGTTATACTGTATTTTTACAAATTCATAAGGCAATCATGTAATCCAATGTCAGATATTGCCATGTTTGTATAAATGTTTTCCACTTTATAATGTACAATTTGAAGTACAGAGAAAACAAATGCTATTGACATGATTTAGTTTTTGTTAGTGTCAAGCAGATTTTGGTACCTGCCATTTCAAGATGTGATATCTATTAGTAATAACATACTTGTGAATAGTTCTTTCAATTCAGTTCTTTCAATAGTTTATGCAATAAACAAATATCATTGTATGCATAATGTTGATATGGTTCATTATATGATGATGGTAACAATCCAGTGATTAATGTTGTTTTATTCATGTATACTTGTATACAGCTTTTGTGAAATACTTTTTAGACAACTTGACTTTTCAAGGACATTTTTTTTAAATGTCAAATTATCTTTGTAATGTCATCATTCTGTGAAGAATTTTTAATAAACATGTGTAATAAAAGGACAAGATTATGAGCTAAAAAGCTGAAAAGGGGGGTATATGAGTTCTTTAAATTCATTCTTTGCTAATGCTCTAATACATAACATTATCTACATGTGTCTGTCATATATGCTAGGAGGGAAGTTTATACAGATTCAAGAGACATGCTTGTCAGAATATTACACATATGTATGTGTACAAACATTATTTATTACGCACATGTATTTTTGTAATATTTGATAAAACAGTTTGAGTAATTTTCAGCTCAAGCTAAATCATGGTGATTGGTAAACTCTGCCCAGTACAGATATTGCAGGTCAGGGCATTGAAATTGTGCAAGTCCAGTATTTGACAAGTACTGTAGGTTTGAAATATAGTAATAACATAAATAATAATGTGAATGCTTTATGTAAAAAATTGTGAATACAAATAATTTATGAATCAATAGTTTCTGTGTTGTAACTTGTAAGCTACATTTGGCTACATTTCGATAATTTTAAATATGTTTTGTTTTAATGCTAGTACAATCATTTTCCAGCAAATATTTGTGTCAATTATTTGTTTTTACCATTCATTAGGGATGTCAAGCTATGTGTGAATGATTGATATTTAATTGTGAGCATTCTGAATATTTAATAACACATTTTAGGTTATATTTACCCATATACATGTATTATTTATTATATTTATTCTTTTTGTGTATGTTGATTACTTTTTGAAATATGTTATGCATATTATACTTTTGCTTTATAAGAAAGAAAAAAAAGGTTTTAACACCTCCTTGACTGTGGCTAAATGATACAACTCCGCAAAATAATGTGTGAATATTTCAGTTGCACTGAAAAGAATCTGTTCAGGTAACATGAATGATTATGTTTAACAGAAATAACAAACAGTGTTGAGCAAAATCATTATAAATAGACCATTTTGATGTCTTTGATAAAATTATTTGCTCTCTCCTTTTCTCTATTACATATATTATAGTATATTAGTTATATATATATATATATACACAATATTTAATCGTTTAATGTTTGTTAATTGCATGGTGTAGATTTTCCTTGTTCTTTCATGTTTATATATCTTTATTTCATTTGCTTCATGTGTCAAATCTGTACAATGTATTTTCCTACCTTGTATATTTTTCTGGTTTTTAATGTGAAAATAAATGAAATGAGAAAAAATTGAAGAATGCAACTCCAAACTTAAGTTGTTCTTTACAAATGGGTCATTCCATGGTGTTGCAGGGGCTATTTACTTGACATACCAGAAGTGATAAACTATGTCTCCTATCAGCTATAGCAATGTTTGCTGTATTGAGTTTAGCATTGAAAAAACATAGCCAACTATTTTTTGAAGTACCCTAGATTCATGGTGAATCAATATTTATAGGCCCAAAGTTTATATAATGTTATAACTGTGATGTCCATGTAAGCATAGATTTTTAACAGGAGCAACTGAAAAAGGAGTGATTTTGGCAGGGCATTACGTTATATTCATTGCATACATATCTACTACAGACAATTTCATCTTCCATGTGCAGAGTAGATCTCTTACCAACATTACATGGACATCATTATATTTTTTGCCCCAACCTCATGGAATGTCAGTCTGATTAGTCAGAAATGAAAGCAATTCTATCACTTAATACAATGTGTATTTTTTAACTTGAATGTACAGTATATACAACTCAATAAGAAGATGTGAGAAATGAATATTATCCTTGAAATGTGTACACGTATAATTGAATGTAATGACATTTATTATTCTTCTTTTCACTTTGTAGATACAACATAACAGCAATATTACTGTGAAATATGTGATATGCGTTTTTATTTGATAGTTGTAGATGGGGATTAGTATATTAATGAAGGTGATCATAGTGATCATGATGTGCTGGTGAATGTAAGTGGAAATGATACAGATATTTTGGGGATGAGAATGGTGGTGATAAAGATGATGGTGATGATGATGATGATGATGATGATGATGATGGGGATAATGATAATGGTGCACTGGCAAGTGAGGATGATGATGATGGTGACTAATGGTGATGGTGATGTTGATGGTGATGATGAGGAAGAGGAGGAGGAGGAGGAGGAGGAGGAGGATAATGACAACGATATTTTCAAATACTGGATGCAAATCGAAAAATATGTTCAGGAAGAAACATTATGTGTGATGATGATGAGATAGAAAATAATGATTAGCTTAAAAAAGTATTTTTTATACACTCAAAATTTGTAAAGCACAAATACATTATATTAAAAAACACTCGCCAATCATATCCTTATTTCTACAGGTAGGCAATTCTCCTTTCATTTCCTGTCCTATACAGGGCGTATCATAATAAAGGATATTGAAGTTTAATGACGATTTATATGATCACTACTGATTTCATAATCAAGCATTTTATGTCTGTTGTAAAGGACAGAATGTCCTCTTTTTAATGACACCCCGATCATACTTCTACTGTCACAGTTGACTGAATAACAAAGCATTGCTGTCCACCATGTGAAAGGTGCACTGTGCCAAGTTTGATAACATTTCCTTCTTAGACACATAATCCACTCATTGTTCATCATTTTGATATGTCGGGGCTGACACAAGCACTAATCTTTAGAATTTATCTGTGAATGCTAACTTGTCACAGTGCACCTTTCACATGGTGGACAGCAATGCTTTGTTATTCAGTCAACTGTGACAGTAGTAGTATGATCGGGGTGTCATTAAAAAGAGGACATTCTGTCCTTTACAACAGACATAAAATGCTTGATTATAAAATCAGTAGTGATCATATAAATCGTCATTAAACTTCAATATCCTTTATTATGATACGCCCTGTATATCTCGTTCATATGATCTCCCGGCCCTAAGATTTAGTCTAGCTGTCTCTCTAACCCCCCCCCCCCCCCTGCTTGATGCCCTTCTTCGTCTCTTGATCTGTCTCTCTTTCTCTCGATCACATTTCTCAAAGAAACTTCCAAGATTTAATTAACATCATTAATACTGAATAAGGAATATGTTCTGCTTTATAGTGCATTCCCGAAGTGTAAAGTTATGTATACAAAATAGGAAATGCTGCATATAACCAGGCACATAGCCAGAGTTTCATGTTTGGGGGGGGGGGGGGCACATACATGTAATCGATCAAGGTAAAAAAAAAAGGGGTCTAAAAAAGTTCAACTACCGATCTTGGAATTTTTTGTTGGGGAGGGGGGGGGAAGTGCCCCCCCCCCTATTGTGGCTATGTGCCTGCATATAACCCACCTCTGGCCTAAACTTCAAGTAATTCGCAGAGCTCTCCTAACTCCATGGACGTCCATATACACACATTTTCTTCCCTAAAATTTGAAAAGAAATGTTTCTAATATATACCAACTCCTTCAAGTTGTGCCAATTCGTTTGAGGAAACTAAAAAGAATGAATCAGAATAAAAGAGAAAGCCGATTTGTCGCGGGACAATGAAACTGATGACGAATAGATGAAAACATCCGTATTTTGGGGGAACTCCAAGAAACACATCACAGCGATATTAACATAACAAAACAAGAAGAAAGGGCGTGGATCTTGGACCAGTACCGTACCAACACGTTACGCACCACCAGTTTTTGCAGCTGTACGGTGGCGCCGCGCCGC